CAGGCCTTATCAAGCAGATGAAGTACAACACTTTCTTCTTGAGTTGTTGGACACAAACTGAGAAAGTCCAGCCCAGTGAGCCCAGACTCGATGTGACTCTGTAGCTGCTGAATTCCCCACTTTGTTCAACAGTTAGCTGTTAACTCTGTCTGTTTGCAGCTCGGTGTTGGCCAGATAGCTCACTGTTGTTGTATTTTTTGTGTGTGTGTTTATCCACTGAAAACAGCCGCCTGCATCAGGTAAGTTCAACATTCAAAAAATAAAACGAAATGAAAAAAAGGTTGTTTGGAAAACCAAAACAGGCTCTCAGTAGGTAGGAGATGATTCAGAAAGCAGAGAAGAATGGACAAGCTTTGAAGTAATTCTGAGCACTTAAACAAAAGGAAACTCTTTCATATGACACAGTAGATGTCTTTTTGTGAAATACAGATAACAGTCTATTTTTAAGCGACTTGAAGGAAGCATGACCATCAAAATGATTGGTTTTTAATAAATCTTTGAAAACCTTCCTTAAGGTCGTTACCTTACCTTAGCAAAGCAACGCGAAAATGCTTAATATTTAGCGTCGCCTTTTCCTACACACACCTGGTGCGACGTGAATAAAATTAGCATATTTGCATAAAAATATGGCACAGGGGAACAGAGGGGAAGAAAGAGGAACGAGAAACAGTGGCGACTACATCCTCAAGTGATGACGACTTGGTCATGTAGGACGATCACAGAATCGCGGAATTGGACATTAAAAAACAGAATTCAATATAAATGCGGAATATCACGGAAAATGACGAAATTTTACGTACATAAAAGGAAAAAGGAAGAAAAAGGAACATATCTTTCGGGAAAATGCCCCGTGGGGATCACTTATGCTGCGGACCGTGCAGTTTCACTCCCCCCCCCCCCCCCCCCTCTTATTCACTTTTCAAACATGGCGGAGCGGCCGCTCGAGACCCCGGAAGTTACGAAACTCCCGGCTAAACTCCAAACTACACGGCAGAGCAGTTTCCAAATGAAAAGACCCGTAAAGACACGTGTGAGTAGAGTCTGATATCCCGCTGGAGAAGCTACCCAAACTACGTCCTTTCCTGGTGAAATACTGCAAACAGAGAGGGGCTTTACTGGAGACTGTGAGCAGCCTTCACCAGCATTACCTGCCTGCCGTGTTTCATCACCATCTGACTTATATACTCAACAAAATCCGTGGGAGTAAGTGACTGTGTCGTCGTTGATGAGACCACCGACTGCAGCGTCCTAAACATCATCGGTAAGAAAATATAAGCATTTATTTTGTGTTTATGTGTCAAAATAAGGGAAATTTATTGATCACAAAATTACAGCTGCTCTCTAGAATTATTATTGTTTTTTTATATCGATTTTTATTTTATTTATATTTATATATTGTTTGCATCTGTCTTTTTCTATATGTCCTTTATCTACTTTTTGTAACTGCTGTTGAGAGTCTAATTTTCCTAAGGAGTTTTCCTAAGAGATTAATAGTAAAAGTAAAAGTAATATCTAACCTAATCTAGCATGGGGGATTGAAAATTAAGAATATTTATAAATGATGAAATAGGACAGTTAACAATCAAATAAAGCAGCTGCCTACCTCCAGCTTTACCTTACACTTTGATAGTGGCGCAATACTAATCATGGTTATTTTTTTAATCTCTCATTGCCGGGGTTGAAAAACAGTACTTCCTGGTTGATGTTGTTTTCATGGACAGATACAACTACTCATCATTTTCCCAATCCATACTAGCCTTCCTCAATCGCAACAATATGTGTTGGCCCTGGTTTCAAAACATGTTTTATTGTTCAGTTCATGGGCTGTTGCAATTTTTTTATATACTTTTGTTAAAAATATTGTTGAAAGGCAATGAAATGCCAGCAAGCATTAAAGTTTTCAGTTATAACTGAATAAACTGCCTGTATCTCATTATTTTATATAGTGGTTAAGGGTTAAATTTGCATAAAAAAACTAAAAAACCGAAAACCCCAAAAAATTTTAACCGAAAAAAAAAAAAACTAAAAAAAAAACGGAAATGGGAAAAATTCAAACTGAATTTGGGAAAAAATAAAACAGATTTTACAGGGCCCTAGCCATGGTTGTAAGCCTATTAAATAAAAAGAAAAAGAAGATTCTAAGTGTCTGGGTACATCCAATACTGACCTTGTGACAGGAAATGGGGGAGCTCCACACAACGATCCAGGAGCTTAAATTGTATTCCGAGAAATTCCAATAATACTTGTGAATGTTCCTCGGACAGTTTCAACAAATTCAGCTGGCTCCACGTTTGCAGAAGGAGAGGACGAATTACAGAGAGCCAATTGATAAAGAGCAACTGTTGCCACATGTCTGAGGTAAGGTTTATATTAGGCTATTGATGTATATAACAGTTCACCTGCGAATGTGGGCAAAAGGGCGAAAAAATGAGTCTCTTTTTTGCTCTGCAGAAGTTCTGCCGTTGTGGAAGCTTGCATCGGCGTTATTTTTAAAAAAGCAAATTATTCGCTTCGCTAATTCACCAGTGTGTAACGAGTTTTAGACCCCAATGTAGACAGACGACTAGAATAGCAAGATAGAGGTTCAGTGGTCAGGATTTTGGTCAATGGATATGTATTACAAATAAGAAATAACTGCTGTCCGGAGGGAGACCAAAGATAAAATAAATTAAATATTGTAACTGTGTGAATATGTTGGCATGAATCTCAAAGAATTGGTGTATTTGATAAGTCCCATTGTCAAAGTTACAGTAAAGAAAACATCTCTTGACCCTCTTGAGTTAAATCTACTGCCAGATGGTCATTCATGAAGTCAAGATGACCCTTCATGGGATTAAGGGAAGCTAAGAGTGAATGATTTATCCTGAATGCAAGAGTTTTGCCAAGTCAGCTCATTCTACAAACCATTCACTATTTTCCAGAAGAATGCAGCTGTAACAACCAGACCCATAATGCATCTGGAGCGACTCGAGGCCAGTGACTGAAAAAGGAAAGTGAACTGTTCTCAGAAAGAGGTAAACACTCGTTAAGATTTCACAGCCGGTATGCGTGTCTGTTCAGTGTCACATGGAGGCTTCCTGCTCCTTTTAAACTGTATTTGATAAACAGTTGCTGACAGGGAGGTATTGGATTTGCAAATTGGATATGTCTACAAGATTTAAGCTTTTTCGAGAAATTAAACAGAACCGTAAACAAAAAAGAAGAAAAGCTTACAAATAATGCTTCTTCACCAGTACTGAAGACAGATAGGACACTTTGTATTTTCGGCACGCAGCTAGCGTCCTTGTCAGAGAAACTTATACTGACTGCAATAAAGTTGAATTCTTGAATCAGCAGCACTGCGAGGAGCCAGACACGGCTATAAAGGTCAGAAACAAAGATTATTTCTGTGACTGTTAAAAATAAGAACAAAATGAAATAAGAAGAGAAATGCAGTTTAAGTAAATATAATTGGGAAGATGAAAGGGTGAAACGTTAGTAAAGCACTGTATTATTCAGACATCAGCATTTTAGCATTGAAGCAGACAAATGCAGAAATTTCATTGTAGGTTGGGTATTTTTAAGTTTGGGTCAAAGTGAAAATGTAAGGTTCAGGAATCTGGTTGAAAAGGCAACAATAAAATTCATATTTCATATTTTATGTCAACCCCCACAAGTCTGATTGTGTTGGAGACCGCCTTAAGTTATTGTGTGATATTCTGATTTTCTGCAGGTGACAGAAAGCAGGGATCAGTGAAAACAATGAAGAGGAGAGAAAGAGAGAGAGAGCTCCTCTCCTCTCCTCCACACCCACAGGGTCTCTCCACTTCTCAGCTGATGGTGAGTAATTGGTGTTTAGTGCTGTTGTGAGGAAGCCTCAGCTGCGGGATGGCTCTTTGCTGTCCTTCGACATGCTGCCAGTTTGGATTTCTCATTTTGGCGTGTGCTCTTTTTTTTTTTTGGAGGGGGGGGATTTAACCCCATGAGGTTTAGAGAAAGTAGAAACACACATAACTGCATATGTCACTGTGCTGGAATCATGCTGGAAATAAAAGTTATGAAATCCTGATATCTGTTGCATCACTCTTCGCCCCTTATATTCTCTTAATTTGTAATCGTCTGCCTGCTGGTGCTCTTCTCACATTATAATAAATGTGACAGTGAGACAACGTGACCTGCTTAATAATCACACCATACTTGAGTTATTCATGAAACGCAAGCCTAAAAAAACAGAATATAAGGCACACATTATGTTATACAGCGATTCCCTCGGGACCTCTTCTTTGCTGTGTCACTGTCCTTTCACTAAAATTGTGTCTTGATGACACTTAAGGAGCTTCTGCTCTGTTGAGCACAGCGCCGTGTGCAGCCCTACACTTCATGTTTATGGAGCATCCCCTCATGTCTGAGTCATGAGTGATGAAGCTTGGATAGGGCAGCAGAGTACAGTCAGAGGTGGCCTGTAGGGGGCACTCTTGGTTCTCATCAGCGACCTATGGCACAACAGGTTGCGCTTCTCCCCCTCCTCAAGTCCCCTCTCCTGAGTGTAATGATCAATCCAGGTTGTAGTAGTGAAGAAAGAAAAATGAATACACGTAGTAAATCATTATTTACGCAAACCTACCAAATGAAAAGTGTGAGTTACAAACCTTTGATATTTGTCTCTTTGCACTAAATCTAACAAAAGCCAAACTCTTCCTTCTTTACGTTCAAAAACAAGTTATAAAACGCTGAAAAAAATCTAAAATACATGACTAAACCTTAAAAGGACGCAACTTTAAGGCACGAATTCTGATTATCATCTTCCTTTTGCTCATTTTCATCCAAGAAACCTAATTAAACACGTCGATAGGTGTGTGTCCTGCCTAATCTGCCGTCTTCCTTCTCTCTTCTGTCTGCTTTGAGACCAAAAGAAAGATAGCGCAAACCCCATGTGATTTAAACCGGGGACTGGATGGCACAATAGTTGCTGACGTGACGCCCGCAAACCCTCTAATTTGCCAATCCAGACCGGAGTGCGCGTCCCGCTCCCCCCACCCCTTCTCCTCCGTGCGCACCAGCTCTCTTTCTCTCTCCCCCCTCCACAGTCACAGGGTGCAGCGAGAAGACAGCTCAGGATCCCGCTGCTTCTTTGCCGGCTCTGATCTTGCCCGCTTCTTCATCGCTGAGGAAAGTTTGTGGACTATGTGTTAGATATAGCCTGCAGTTGGAAGCCACTCGCAGCATCCACAGGGTTTGGAGCGCTGTTGAGCCATCTTAAAAAAACAGAAAAGAAAAGGAAGAAGACAAGAGGCGCGTTGGCATGAGATCTCCTTTGCAAATCTACTGGATTTACTTTGTCATTTTCTGGTGAAAAAAAGTGTACCCTGACAAGAGGACATGGATGTTTTAATGTCACATGTTGGATGAGACCGCGGCGTGGAATCCAGAGCAAGGGGAGGAATGGTAAGACGCAAAGAAACAACCCAACACTGCATCAGTTTCACACATTTTTGTCTTATTCGGATCATGTCGATTTTTGTAGTATCGGGTTTGTTTGAGAGAGAGAGGGACAGAGGGAAAAGGGAATATTACTCATAAATAGCTGCGCACATTTGTCAAATATTTAGCATCCTGTGCGCTATGGGATGTGAACAGTGTCCCGAGGCACCTGTTTCATTCCCTGAAATTGTCACTTAGATTTAAATATGAAATTTAAAAAGTTGATTTATTACTTGCATTCCCTTAAATGCACCATTTTGGAAGAAAACATGATAAATGTGGACTTAAAAAACTGCCCTGTATCTTGGTCTGTGGGGGTCAGTATACTGATGGTGCATTCATGTCTGTGCTGGCAGGCAGTGTCGCACGGAATAAACCTGCTCTGCTTCAAATGGAGGACCGCTTGGAGACGATAAATCGCGTGCAAAGTTGTGCGGCGTTCTGCTGAAGGAGTTTTCCAAAATAAACATGGGTCCAGCTCGAGCCATGGGGCCAATTCAGTGTGTGGGACTTACTGCGCTGCTCCTGTGCACAGGTAAGACAACACAAAGAACCAGCCAATGTCAAGGAGCACTTCTAGTCATACTGCAGGGAAGAGTTATGGCAATGAGAGGCAGCAATCATATATTCAAAGCACCATATATCCATCAACCTTCATAAAGTGATTTCATTCAGTGTGGGACATTTAATGAAATGCTAATTATGTCCATTCAGCCAAGAGGACATTTATGATTTATGAGATCTATAATAAGCTGTTAGCTGCAGTGGCAGAATACAAAGTGACTTGTAACATGAGCGAACTGACAGTTGCCTAGAGAGGGGGCTGGTTTGGGGCTTGTTGCAGCGCTTATATGTGATGCAGTGTGTGTGTGTGAGAGAGAGAGCATGGTCCTGCAGAGCACCTAGAGCAAAGATAGGCTGCAGACACAACCTATAACACAGAAGTACACCTTTATGTCTATTAGAGTGAGCAGTTCTGCTCTAGAAATAACTGGCATCTTAGGGAAATTGATTTTTGAGTATGCGCACTATAATTAGAAGTACCAAGCTTACTGAAATGTGTGTTTTCTGAGTGTGTGCGTCGCTTTTTTTGGCCATGACATCCCCTGAGAGATCTTATTTGACCATGTGATGGATGATTTGCAGGAAGTTGTGTTGCATCTACCCTTACATTTGATTATTATTGCTTTATTTTTTAAAAGAAAACTCTTGACTGTCCATTACCGAGCAGCAGTCATGATTGTTTTCTCTAAGGCTCTTATTTGCAGAGTTGGGTAGACTGGTCTGAAACTGTGCTCATGTTAACAATTTCTTTATGGGAAGCAATGCAGTGGTGAAAAGTTCTCTCACTGTAGCTTGACAACCTCTCTGTGAGCAGGAGACAAAAGAAAAACACTGCACACAGCCAAGAAATGACCCAGCACATAACCCCTGAAAAAGGCAAACAGTTGTCTCTACTCCTCAGTTTCGTAAGCTTGGACAAACCAGACATAACTTCTTAATGAGTGGACTTCAGATATGTGTCAGAGGCAGGCCAGCTTCTCCTCTATTCTCCAGTTTTAAGCCGAAGAAGGTTAACCTCTCATTTTTGTGGCTTTAGATTTGAGTGAAGTGATAGTTATTACCAAACTGGAGCTAAGAGAGTGAGAAAAAGATGTGCTTTTATTGGTTAAATGCTGAAGTAAATCCGCGGTTGTTGTTATCCATGTCTGGTTCTTTGGTGGCAGATACAAAATTCATGAACTTTAGACTCAAGATGAGTAAAGTGCACAAAAGTTCCAAGTTGACAGTTTTACTTTGCGCTAAGTTGGGAAATTTTGTCTCAAAGTTTTGAACCGTTAACTTGTCTTTTCATCCTTCATGGTTTCTCCTTTTATTTTAAGAAAATTTAAGTACTTGGGAGCAACTGGAAAAAAGTGAAATCATGAAAGAGCCAGATGATCTATATGATCTCTAAAATCTGTGTTGAAAGTACATTAAAAAAATAGGCCAGAACAGCTCTCTTCATCGTGCGAAACCCACCCCAGAGGCTTAAAATTGATCCACATCTCGCTGGTTCGAGCTGCCTTCTAATCTCTGCAGGTGAAAGTGGAGAGGGGGGAAAAAATCAGATTCCATCCTGTCAGTCAGCCCCCACTTGTGTGCAGCATCTCAGAGGATATTACAGCTCCCTGGCCATTTGATTGCTTTCACAGAGAGGTTCCACTTTGTCTCTATGAGTAACACACACTGACAGGCTCACATGCTTACAGACAGACCATCGAGATGAGGCTGGTATGCTGTAGGATCTGATACGGTCCGTTTACAAGCTAAATTTGGAGGGTTTTCATTTCTTGGCTGTATAGAGAGGGGTTAGGATGAAACATTTCAAAGTTATCACATCACAGTGATGCAATCTCTTCAAAGTTGCAGAATTTGTTATTTAAGCCCTGGACAGAACAATTAGTTTGTGTTGACTTTGGCGCCCCCTGTGGACAAAGTGGTACCTCTGATATCTTCACTGATCTTGCCCTGTAGATGCATAGATAGTTGCTAACTTAGATGCTATCCTTTAACACGAAAAGGTATCACTCATTGTACATCTTTATTTTGGAAACTTTACATACAGGTTGTGCTGGGCGATATGGGAAAAAGTTTATCACGATATATTTTTTTCATATCAGTCAATATCGATATATGTCACGATATAAAAAATGAAATTTAAAAGTATTTATTGGTAGCCTGTCCTTTGCAATATAATAAGCTTCTGTGAGATCTTTGTGTCTCTTCAATGTTTTGTCGTAAGATACGATGAGATGTTCCTTGAATGGTGATCTAAAGTGTACATGCGCCGCCCGGGAATCGAACCCGGGTTGCAAGAATGGGAATCTTGTATGATACCACTACACCAGCGGCGCCACAGATGCTACTGAATGGGGACTGAATTGTCTGCTGTTTCAGCTGCACGGGGGCCATGGGTTCCTTGCTCCTCTCAGGGTTTGTAACCTTTTGAATTGTGCGTGCTCTGCCACGTGGCGCTGCTTCAAGCAGTGAAAAACATTTGAGGTATATCCTGACTTTGGGAGAACATGTACTCGACATAATTTGCAGTACTCATTACTTTGCTTCATGTCCAATCTCAAAAAAAACCAAAATACCTCCACACCACTGTCTTTTCGTGCCTGTGTTGTCGACGATGCCATCATCTGTTGAGCCTTCTTCCGGGGGTAGCATTTATTTCTTTTTTCTCTCACCAACAGTGCTGTTGGCTTCACGGGTTAAAGTGCTATAGTTGTGTGTAGCTGCAGCCTGCTACGACGCAGTTGTTTGCTACTTGCAGTAGCGGTTCTAGGCACGGGCGAACAGGGCAGCCGCCCGGGGCGGCATTTGTGTCATGACTCATGGGGGGCGGCACGAGCACTTCCAAAAAAATAAAATAAAAGATAATAATAATAAATCTTAACCGCAAAGCGGTTTTGTATTAACTCTTGTTGTCAAATTGGCGCCCCCCCCGCTGCTGTAGGCGCCCCTGCTTGCTCCGAAGGTGCTGCACAGAGGCTGACAGACTGTAGGAGACGAGGCGGGGAGAGAGTCGCGGGGGGACAGCTCTGCTCTGTGTACGCATGTCAGCATATCAGCGGGAGCGCGGATACATCATTTTGTAGTTTTTTAATCATTTCTGGAGTCGCGGTGAATGAAATCACCGTACCCGTCTGCCTTTGATAGGCGAATAAAGCGCTCGGGTTCATGCTCGGATCTTGCTACGTGCTTGATGAGCTTCATGAGTGAAGTAAACAAAGACGGAGGCAAAGAGCAGCTTCAGAGGAGAAACATCCAGCAGTGTGAGCAACCTCTTCATATGGAGTGCTGTGGCTCACACTATCAGCGTTTTCTCTGAGTGTTGCATGACTTTGGGTGAGAACAGAGATGAACACACTGTCAGCCATGTATTTATTTATTCATTTTTTAGTTTTTAGTTCTGCTTTTGTACTGGCACTATACTGGGGCAGCTGTATACCCTTTCAACACCTTATTTTCTATATTTACATTTGTATTGAATGGACACTTTGTCATGACTGCCACTTGTTTTACAGAAAGCAAATTATTTGTCATTCTCCAGTGCAGAGCCTCTACTTTTATTTATACAGCCGCTTTATTTCATTTGAGTTTGTTTGTTCAAGGTTTTCAAAATGTGATGAAGGTTCGCAAAACTAAAGGAGAGCTTTCTTGAAAGCCACGTGTTTAAGCTCTCAAATACTTTTTGAATTTTGTTTCTATCTACTACAGAGGCCGAGATATCAGCTTTTTTGTAAACCTTCACACTTCAGAAAACCTCAGGATCTGGGGGCCCTTCTCAAAATGGCCCTCAGGATTGTGTTTTTTTCTATTGAAGGATTTCTGCAATTGAGAAATATATTATTTTTGTTGTTATAATAATAATAATACTACATAGTAATACAAAACTATCTGTTCAAAATTCTCTCTTTTTGTGTTTGTGTGTGTGTGTGTGGGGGGGGGCACTTGGAGAGGTGCTCGCCCGGGGAGTAATTTGGTCTAGAACCGCCACTGGCTACTTGGTTCTAATTCAGCACAGGATTGGTTCTGCGACGGCGGCCCCAGAGCGACTCCCCTTTTCAGTGGCTATTCATGTAGTCTACTAAAACATGGCAGAATGCCGACTATCGAGAAGCACGTTGACCATGTTTCATGTTAATATTGGGACATTAATATATATCGTTATCGTTTTATCACCCAGCCCTACAAACAGGCTCTCTCTTTATTGTACTGTAACTCACCTCTGGTCCTGTTTGCTTCTTCAGACCATATGTAATTTCATTGCGATTCATAATTAGCTGAAATCTCCTCACAGGCGCTTTAATGGCCTTACAACTTTGTTAACACAGAACCATAAAGATTCTTCCATTGCAACTTAGGTTTGAGTGTGTAAACCTTAAAACTAGCTGATAATTATTCCATTCATCCTCTTTTGCTGGACTTATGATGACTGAATTGTGGAAAATTATTAAATAATTGATTCCTGCACAATGAGAAGATGTTAAATTCAAGGAAAAAATGCGTACAAGATCAAATTTATCCGTTTCTGTCAACTGCAGAGTGATATTTAACTCAGCTGTTGCAGAAACCCTGGTAGAAAGGGCACACTGCTGAACTGGAGTAGGAGGATTCCTGCTCTGAGTGCTCCTGCTCTTTTGTACGTGTGTGGGCCCAACCACAGTGGATTGGGATAGAGAGGTTGAAAAGTTAAAAACCCATAGCGCTTTAAGCCCTAATTTAACAGTTGTTCCCTTGGTTTGTCTCCCTCTCTTAATCACACAAAGAACCTGAGCCAAAGTGTTTGTAGCCAGAGGCATCCAGGCCGACTGAAGGAGAATTTGTTTTGATGTTAATAAAAGTTTATTGCACATTTTGATGAGGAGAGCGTTTTTCACATCAAAAATCACTGCAGCAGCAGGTATTGAACATTTTGAACCAGCTTTTAATTTGGACTTAAAGGAAGATTACTTTATTTGCAAATATGGGCAAAAGTGTGCTGGTTTTGAGTCTTTCTAGTCTGTGTCAAGGTGCCAACTTGCCAACTTGCATTGATGGTGCCCAATAAACGTCTACAGCACAGAGAGGGTACACAAAAACAGAGACGAAGCCTCAATAGTGGGGATGAAAGACTCCACACAAAACAACATTTCTGAGGTCCAAAACCCACAGGCTTTGTTTGAAGCAGTATCAAAATTACCAAAGTCAGCGCTCTAAAATATGACAAAGGAAGTCAGCCGAGGGAGAAAACGCCTAGGGAGGCTAAGATTAGGATTCAAAATTCCTCACCAAAATCATGCTGCCGAGCAGAAACTCAGGTGCAGAGCAGGCAGAGAGAGGACGGACCAGAAGGACAAAGAGAGAAACCCTTTGAGGTTCAAGGGTCCACTTCTGTCCACCTACACAGCAACAATAAGCGTTTTTACAGCCTGGTTAGAAAACGACTCCCTGTAATTTAAATAACTAAATAATTTTCAAGATCAGGTTATGAGTTTTGCGTAATAAAAGACATGGTGGATTTGTACTTACCCCCACGCATCTAACTCTGCATCTTTGCCTTATCCCATGTCAGCTAAAAGTTAGGTTGAGTCACTCTGCAACCACCACCAACAGACTTGAAAATTCTGCTTCAGAAACTGATGGCTGACAAGTAGGGCTGGGTGATATGACCTCAAATTAATATCCTGATTTATTGAACAGTTCACCTTAATAACGATAAATGGAGGATAACTAATCCACAAGCTGCTCACCCCCCTCACATAAACTTAATCTACTTCAGTCGCCGCTCCAACTTTTGAACCGTCCTCCATCTCCTCACCTGTCTTTCTCTCTTTGTTACGGACTGAATGGGACCATAGCCTACCTACACACTTTCAAAACCAACTTTTATTTATTTATTTTTTTGACACCAAATACACCGATATGGGCAAAATGATGTTGATTATTGTCGTAAATTTTGGTCTCGGTAAATTTTCGGTTTATCGCCCAGCCCTCCTGACTTGCTCCACATTACATCCCCAACAGTAAACAAACACCTGTTCCATGAGTGCCTGTGAAGATCTAGATTATCTCCATTTCCATGTCTTGATTTCTAGCGTGTTTTTTGCAGTTGTTCTGGATGTAACTACAGTAATGGATTGGCGATTAATATTTTATTTGCAGCCTCATAAAATCGTCTCCTCTGAAGACTCAGTTTCAGAGTTTTCCTTTCAAAATCGAGTCATTTTAGGATCACACTCAAATATTGGAGTGGGATAAAATCATCAGCTGAAGAATATGACTTTTCATTTCCAGCTGCACTGTGACAGTCATCTGCACACTGAAGAGGCTGTATTAGCCTCTAAAGAGTGCTGAATGTTTTACACTGGATGCTACTGTAAGTGTTCAACAGTCTGCTGATAAAAATGCTGGAAATTTTAGGACTGAGAGCAGATTATCTCATGCTAATGTTAGGGAAGAGGAAGTGACCCTGCAGAGGCGTTGAGGCTGTGAAATCTAAACTGCTTTCTGCCTCCAGGAGAACAGAGTCTCACGGGGTATTACTTGTTGACTTAGAATGTCTCTGGGTTTAAGGTTGGGTGGAGTTAGCAGAGCTGTATGTTTCTGGGCACTGATTCTGTTTTAAGAAGAAGCAGCCTGCAGAATGAGCTGACTTTGGAGAAAACTCAAATGTAGAAAACCCTTCCCATCTCTTTTTTTTTCGTGTTTTTCTAAATCCTCCAATGGTCCAAGACACATCTCTGTGGGTTGTAATGCTCATTACCATGAAACAAGCAGCAGCAAGACACTCATTACTGAAAGCGTTGACCTGGGAGCCAAAATGCATTCGGAACAAAGTATTTGACTTCCTAGAAGCAAAGTCGAAGTTTATTATACTGACATTTTGTCTTTAGAACAACAGCCCCACGGACAAACACACCTTCAGTAAAAGCTCAGGGGTGGAGTAAACCTTTTCTCAGTAAAAAGATGGGGGTTCAATCCCTCAACTTTCTAACCACTGTAAATGGGAAAGACAGTGAACTCTGAAATGCAACCAGCGGCGTCAGTGTGTAAATTTAGCATGAAAGGCTGAGTGTAACATGTAACGTGAATGGTAACATGATCAGAGACAGTGTCATAGACCATTTACAAGAGAGAGACACCCACCATGCCCTGGTACCATTTGTAGAAGAAGAAGAAGAAGGAAGAGAACAAGCAGGGGAAGAAGAAGAAGAAGAAGAAGAAGAAGGAGGAAGAGAACAAGCAGGGGAAGAAGAAGAAGAAAGTGCCAGTTAACTAGCTGTTGTACCCCAGTGGATGATTGTCAGACAGTGATGTTTCAGAGGTTGTCCTGAATTGAAGAGTTTGTTCCTCCTCATGCAGTGCTAATCATTGAACATTCAGATAAACATTTTTTTTAAACTGCTATTAGTGTTATTGATATTACCTTTATTATTTATTGAATTTATATATTCAGGACAATGCAGCTTAATCACCATCCTAGCGGCACTCATCAGTGGACATAAATGCGCCAGAACCAGCACAGTAGCTTCATTTTCATCTGTAGTCCAAAAGCAGATATATACATTAAACAGAAGTTACAAAACACATCACAAAATAACACACTAACATTTTTACATAAAATGGACTCACTTTATTTTTTAACTGATCTGTAGTTATGCCAGGTTTTCTGTACACTGCTATATCATTATAAGTAAATATTTCTTGGCCATGGTAATCCTTAGGTGTAATTGTGACATCCTGACAACCCAAATTTTGAACCCCGGAAAAGTATGAGCATTTTTATTAGATTTGCGGTTGACCAGAGTAATTCTCACTGATTTAGCAGCATCAACAGAGCTTTTATTGTCTATTAGACTCATAGAGACACAGTCAACTAGTTATTGTCTCTAGTTTGTATTGCATTCTGGATGACAGGGCAAGGTACAATTTGAAGACAGGTTTTGCAGACCTTGCTCTTGGGAATATAGGGTAATTGGTTTTGCTAATGTAAAAGCTGGTGAAGCATTTGTTTACAACTGGATCTCCTAATTATGACAACAGTGCAGATGCCCAGCTTTAACGTGTAGCATTTCTATTCAAAAGTCAACCCCATGGACTAAGGACCCTTTGGTTGTCCTGCTGAGGACTCATGCGGGTGCTTGTGGACATGCATATATGACAAGGTGATGCATCGCTGAGGATCACAGGAAGTGCTTTGTTTAAGGAGCAGTGCTAATTAAATCAGGAGGTTGAACTGGAGATGTACTACTTTTTGTTAAAGTTAATTTAAAAAATGGAGTGGAATTAAAGCATTTGTTAGCATAATGAGGGAACATTTTAATATTTCATCAGTAGAGACTGACATCTGTAGCACCAAGCTTGAGGAGATCTATGTGAAACTGGCAGTGAAGGTCCTGTTTTTTTGTGGTTATCTAATGGCATCACTTAATGTTATTAGCTGGGCTAGCTAAGTGATTGGCAGGGATTTAATTTGTTGTGGCACAGTGACTTTATTGCACAAGGACAGTCCGGCTCCTCTTTTTTTGTGTGCAGGAAATCCAATGGTGGCGTGTCCACTCTGCTTATCTGTGTTTTCTTACAAGTAGAATTCCAGGAAGTATTAAGAAAAACTATTAAAAAAAAGAAAGAAAAAGACAGATTTGGGGCAGCTTAAATGAAACAAAAAAGTCAGGCATTTATAGAGTGAAACCGAATAATTCAGAGAGGTTTTAAACATGATGAAAAATATGGAGATTTTATCCCTCTGCTGCTTTACTTCTTCAGTTGCAGATCATGGTCATATGCTTTACCGAGAGGTATTCCCTAGGAGAAAAAAAAGCTAAAAGTGTCTCTCTGTCCCCAGAGGTTTTCCTTTAGTAATAGATTTAGAAACAAAGCGGATGAAAAGGAGAATATTCATTATATGATTGCATAAAGATGGCCCTTCTTCCTGCCTTCAATCGGAATATTTGGAAGACTGGGAATACAGTAGCTCGCCTCACTGTATCTGGCACATGGAGATCAAGCTGATACACTCCAACACACACATAATCAAACACAAACACACATGTAGACCTGCTATAAAGCTTCTGTGACACATTGTAGCTGCGCGTTGTAAACACACAGAGTATCGCACACAGATTCATCTTCCTGTGCAAACAGCTTCACAGCCGTCCAACTGTGAGCGTATCGCACTCAGCAGGAGGTCTGGAGACGATTACCATAAGTAACTGAATGCTCAGCTCACACCCAACAAATCAGAAGCAAATGAAAAAACAATCTACACCATCGGAGCAGAGAGAGAGAGAGAGTTAACAGAAGTCCATCACTTTCAGTATGGAAGATTGAGCCTCAGGTTTCACCAGCATTGATTTCACATAAGGAACAGAGCACGTTCTTCCTTGAGTTTCAGCCTCTTTCCTCCCCTTTAGGATAGAGCAGAGAAAAAGTTTCCAAAAAGTTCTGAAAAACCATTTGTCTTGTATTTCTGACGAGAGCTGTACGATTTAGTTTCAGTCGTTTTGTCCCAGTTTTTCGGTGTGTGAATGCTGCAGGAGATAGAGTTGATGGCAGGGTTGATAGGAGAGTTCTCAGAGATTGTAGTTATCTTCTGAGGTCAGAGCAGAAAGATATTGCCTCTGTGTGTTTTTTTTCCCAACATGACTGATTACAGTGGAAATGGCCGTGATGGGCGGTATACTGCTGTGAAGTCTTTTTCTGTCTTCCTGTCAGGGAAAAGACTCAACAGGAAAGAAAAGGTGGAAAGTTCAGCCTAGCACAACAACGAAATATCAGAGGTGAATTTAAATTTTAAACTTGATAGACACTTTTAATTGAAACCTTGGGGGGAAACTATTCAGCACCTTTAAGAAGAGGTTTCCAAACCCAGACTCAATTCCCATACCAATTTTCAGCAACACTACCCCAAGAGAGGTAACATTGCTGAAAGAGCCAGCATATGAAAAAGCACCAGTTTCCATAGTGCTAGTAATGAATACACTGGAAAAACTCTGTGCACTTTTCTTACTTCTTAACATGTATTATTTGCTTTAGATTTATGAGTGTGAGATTTTCTGGTGTATGCATGCAGAATGTGAGCCTGTCTATGCACACATGCGGTGCTGGCTCAAATATGCAGGACAATCCTTATTATAAGACCTTCTCCTTTTCAAGACGTATTCTTAAAAAAAGACTTTCAGAAGACAATTCACACATTTTTTTTTATAGAAAGCAATCAAGTTTTATTGTCATGAATGAGAATCCCAAACCATTTAATGTCTTTTGAAATTAAACAGTCACATTTGAATGTTATGAAATTGAAAAAATTGAACCATTTATGGTGTTAAATAAACATGGGAATAAAATAACCTGCTATCTAGTTGATGGACGACAGGTCTATTTATAAATTGTTTTACAGTTGAATATCTCTGCTGCATTAATAACCTTTTTCCAAGAACAATATCATAACTACACCTTCATTGTTGACCACCTTGCTCGGCGCTGTGCAGCTCTATTTATTATGTATTTCCATTTTTTTCATTACCTTGGCATCATACAGTAGCTCTGAGAAACTGTTGTGTGTGCGCATGGAGATATTCGTGTATGTAGGTGTGCAGGTATAGGCAGGTATGTGGGTATGTGCTGTATGCATCAGCTGCTCTTATGGATGTGCGTCTGAATGGTTTCCTGAGCTGACTAATACATAAGCCGGGAGAAAGAGCTGTCTGAGGAGAGCTAAAACTGTGAGCGGCCTCCATCAGCTGTTATTGGGCAATTTCTATTCACTATTAAATGTTCTGATGGCCAGTTGGTAAGCCCTGTTAGGTCAGTAAATTGTAATCTGTACAGCAGTGGAACAGATGTTGATCTGAAATGAGAAAAAAGGGTTTTTCATCAACTGTACCGTGTGTGTTCGTGTGTGCGTGTGTGTTTGTGTGTGTGTGTGTGAGGGAGAGAGAGAGAGAGAGATAGAGAGCGAAGGCAGCATCGAGACACAAAATGTCAGGTTCTTAATTTTGGTGTGGCCTGCCAAAAATACAAATCTTTAATCAGATTCATGATAATCAGAAATCCTTGCATATGGTCTTTTTTGGGCTTGCTCTCCTCTCCCCTCCGTTCCTTCCTCTTCTTATCATTCCCTGTGTTTCCTTTCTTCCCCTCCACCGTTCATCCTCTCTCGCAGCTCTGCACGTTCATCATCTTTCTTTCCACCACCTTTTTTCAATAACTCTCACACAGTTTGATATCTGACCCAGGCCCCAGGAAGGGTGCAGTAGGAGGCTCTGTAGCAACCCCTCCACATTATAATGAGGCAGCCTTTGCAGTGTATTACACAAACAAATATGAAATTTCACAGGCATTTGCATCATGCCCAGACCCATGAAAAGCTTGGGCTCTTATTAAAAAAGAAAGTGGCATGTTTTGAGCAACTTATTTGCTCATATTTTAATCAACTTCTCACACTTGGTGAAAATTGACTCTGGCTGTGGTATCATCCATGTGGCTTTTGTTCTCATACATCATAATAAAAAAAAATAAAAAAAACATTTGTCCTTATTTACAGCGTTTAAATATACACTCTGGAGTATATAAATACACTCCATATTTCACATACATTATCAGATTCCTGTCCTGAAGATGGGAGAATGGGAACACATTTGCTGGGGAGCACAAGAAATGTGCCCAACATGTACGGGTTCTGGACTTGACAGATTTACGTTCAATATTCAGCTGCTGTCATGGTGCCACCCAGTGGAAATATTCCTGTATAAAGTATTCAGTCTTCTCCAAAGTCTTTGTGCAGGACTCAAGGCCCAGCATGAACAGTCTTGCTTATGAGAAACCTTCAAGTTTTAATTTTTGACCATTAATTTAAAAAGTGTTAACTTGAAATACTGCATTTTTACAGAGACGTACTGTAAATGCCAGGCTCCTACTTGGCTGGTCATAGAATCCAGTGTTTCTCCAAGGTTCTTTGATTTGGTGGCCGGGGGCTTTGATATACGTCACTCATCATACGTGGTGGCGGGAGATGAGCTAGCGCTGTTTTGGGGGCTGGTAGAGATGCTTAAGCTAGCATCCACAAGAGAATGTGTGGCGTCCGCACCACTAAATGCCGTCTTTTTGAAGAATGTAGATATTTTCAATTGGGGTGCTGAACGTTCGGACAGTTCGGTGCTCAATGACCAGTTTTTTAATTGTATTGTTGGCTGTAAGCACGATGGAAAGGAGCCAGAACCCGGGTTGTCAAAACCATCTTGTGCAAAACTGGCAGGGTTTAATACGTGGTGCTGACATGCCACGCCTCTGAACCATGTGTCAGCACGCGTGTATGTTGTGAGATAGAGAGAGGAGCGAGCAGGGAGATACATTTTTCTTTAGAATAATGAAACGATTGCGATTGCGAGCTAACCCCCACAATCGGATATCCCCACTCATTGGCACGGCGGGGGTATCCATTGGCAGGACGGGGCGCTCTGCCAAATACATTATCGGGGAAACACTGGTATCTTTTGGAGTGTTTTAGTCATGGAGGTTTCACAGCGAATACATAAAACTTATCCGAACAAAGAAACTTTTACTGTAATTGTTTGAAGGGGACAAACAAAGACAAACACACCTGGACATGAGTGGGATATGTTTGTTTGCCAACCATAAGAAAGTAGTCATTTCAGTCATTCACTCTGGCAACAGCAAGTGCTCTCCAACTGTGGTGATCAATTTTTTTGTTTCATGCACAAACACTGTCAGTTGTTTTTTGTTCTGTTTGCTGTATTTGGTTGTTTTCCAAGTTTTAGTATTTTTGGCAACTACAATTTTCCTACATGCTCAAGTTTGGTCTCCCTACATGTAAGCTATGATTTCACTGAGCTCTTAGGGCCACTGGATATGAAGAGGCAATTATTCTGGGTTTTCTCTATTGATTGAGCGTAATCATTTTAAATTGTGCCTAATATCATGTGAGGAAAGAATGAAAAGAAATCCATCCATCTTCCCTTAAATACTTCAAGGAAATGATTTAAAAAAAAATACACATAGATGTCCCTTCCATCAGCGGTAATCTACCAGAGCAACCTGTATTGATCTCATGTTTTGTCCTTTTTGCCATTAGCTGCTCTAAACGGCCTCGCCTCTGCTCTTCAAAGACAGGATGCAGTAACAGCACACAGGGAAACTCAGAAAAATGCCTAAAAGTTTTAAGACTGTCTAGACAGAAATGTTGGGGGTAGATCAATGATCAAAAACTATGATCCCAAAATTGCAGATACTTCTGACATCTCTACAGGTATTGCAGAGAAAAAAAGTGCTGTATCTACATCGCTGGTGTGTTCATTGATTTTTCTGACTTGTTTTTGTTCTCTGAGAACAAAACTGTTTATGTCCAGTTGTGATGAAAACCTGCAGAATGCCTCTTATACATTGTGAGACTTCATTTACTGTTGTTTGCTGTTGTCTGCTATTGCTGTTCAAAGCCAAACTACTAAAAATAGCAGTTGTTGCTTGGGGTGTTCCAACAAAGATACCTCACACTTCTAATTAATTACGATTACAGGAACTTTGATTCTTTAAATATTATCATTTTAATGCTTTTGTCTTCATCTGCGGCTACATTCCTAAATAAATAGCTGAGAAATTAACTCAGTTCTTCTAAAACTACACTCAAAAAGTAAATAAGAAGGTTTAAATGTTTTATTTTGACCTACTGAACCTGAGGAGCCTTCTCGGTTTCGCGATGAAAGTCCACAAGGTGCTACCTCATGTTTGTGGTGTTGTTGCTGAGTTACTTTTTTGCTTTGCAAATTGCGTAGGTCTTGTCAGTCATCTTGTTTGCTCTCTCGTAAAATCCGAAGTACTTCCACGCGGTTGCAGTCAACCCCGGTGGCGAGAGAGTCGGCCGCTCTTTGGAGGCTGCTGAAGCTGTTGCCATTTTGCAAAGAAACTAATGTGCTCTGTTTGTTGTGGTCCTACTTACTAAAAAGTCTAGGCGGCGCGCGTGTTCAAGTTCTGTTTACATGTTTATTTGCTGTGGCCTTGCGGCAAAGCATCAATGTCATTATTCATAAATTTATTTTTTCATCACGTGAAGCATCGCCCTGCATCAACACATTGATGAATTGCACTAACCTCTAGTTATTGCGCTCTTGTTTAAAATGTCAGCAAGTTCACCCACAGCAATCTCACTTTTTGTGGTCTGTCTTGGTTTTTGTCCAAAATTTCTAATCAGGCCAAATTTGACTCATATGATATTCTAATGCAGAACATAATTGAACTGGGACACTTTGCCAACGATAAAGCAGATGTCAAAAAGTTCAATGTCAACCTTCATTCATTTTAAATCCAATTTGTTGTTCCTGCTCTTGTCTTTTTAAGCTGAGCTGGTATTTGTTTCCTACATCAGGGGACAAAGCTGAAGAATACCTGAAATAATTAATCCACATAGAGCCCTCACATGTAAAGAAAATCTCTGCTTAAACTGTTTAGGATTTCATATTCTGTGCATGCTTGTGCGTGGCTTTGGCATGCTGGTTGATCAGATTACCCTAAATAACTAATAGGCCATAATGTGTATTTTGAATGCCTTATAATCTATGCTTAGCATGTCCCTGCACCCTATCCAGAGCTAAAATAGTGATTTTATTAAGTCTCTTATTCAACCAGCCTGTCCCCATTTTCCTCATGGGCAATGCACTGTGCTGCTCGAAGCATGCCCAGAGCCAGATCTGGGCCCAGTGTCTCAAAAATGGAGGATAAATCAGTTTCTAAAAGGTCCACATAGAAAATCTTTCCAGAACTGAAGGATTATAGAAGAGACATGAAATCCCCGTTGTTTGGCTGAAGGCAGGAAGCTAAGTGAATGAGGCTTATGTGGGATCTCGGCACAAGTCATAGGTCTCTTCAGTGCCAGGATTTCGCAAATGGTAATTGTAGATACTATCGTTTCCAAATCCACAGTGGCTGTTCAGGCCCCTCTGTGCGATAGTAGAGATTGCATTTACATTTGAGGTCACTGATGAGGAGCACAGCTGGACTGATGTGGTCTGGTCATGTCTGAACACTCATAGCCTGAGGTTTGATTTTTATCATTACTTTCATTTCCTTTTCTTCTCGTCCCTCTGCTCTGGTCCCCATCTGACCTTGCTTTATGGATTCCTTGAGGATCCACAGTGCTGTTGAATTATGCTCCAAATTGTTCTGGTAAAAATGTGAATGTATTGTATCTTGAACTGTAAAGGAGGCTCTGTAGAAAATGACTTCAAAAATTGGCAAACTCAAAGCTGCTGTTTACGTAATTGCTCGATGAAATGATTCTTTATTTTAGATTAATAAAGCCTCAAGATTGAGGCAATGATGAGAATTATATGAGTATACAGGATCTGTCAGTAGACACACTATTTGTTCTAGTTCTTTGTTCTAAGTCTGGCAGATTTAGTACAGGATCTTTTCTCTTTGCAGAGACTGTCTGATGCACATTTCTGTCTGAAAAAGTAAATATGTTTTTTAAACCTCCACAGACTGTCGGAGGAGACAGATATAGCTTAATCTACATCACTTTCATGAAGCATAGGAAACACTACAGGGCATTTAAACAGGGAAGCATTTTGTTTAAGAATTTGAGCAAGGCTAGAATATTTTATATATTCAATAAACTGATTCATTTTGTCTTCAACAATCCAAGGTGATGCCTCAAATATTCCTCAAATATATTCCATCTTACAAACAGTAAAAGGGCCTTAAATATTTCAGTTAGCAGTGAAATGAATACAGGAAAGCAAAACATCCAAAAAGCATTGATCATTCAGTTAGAAACATGTCTTACGGTCCAGTGGCTCGGTGCTTGGAACTGCTAAAACTTTTAGTCAGCCCTCTGCAAAATGAAACTCTAAAAAGACATGGATTTGCACAAAGTATTGATGTTTCCTTGATATGATATGTACATTTATAATCTTGCTGCCATATTTTATTTTCCGTCTTTTCACTAGTAATCAGTTTGTTGCCTTAAAAATCAACCAATAATACCAAATGAATTTTAATCAATTATTTGCAAAGGGTGATAAAAGTTGAAAGTAACAGAACCGGTCGGTCCCCAAAGCCCATTTCAAAGTGAATATAAAAGCTCTTCAAGCCCAGGCACAGGTCTGGAGAGGTTATTTAAGTTCATAAAAGTTGAGAATAAGTCAAAGTTTCATAGAATTATTTTCATACAGTATGGCTTAAATTCAATATCAGAACCTCTTCTTTTGATCCCATGTACTCCCCCTGTGTTACTGCAAAGGTAATGGCAGCCATTGTCTTCCCAGTGCAGTGTAATATACAGCAACTCATCTAGATCTTCATATACAGATACTGTTTAAGTGTGTTTAAGTGTTCTCTTCGCCATGAGTCCTCAACCATTTTTTTTGCAATTTTTGCACGATGCAGTTTATTAATTTCTCCTTAAAATATGCTTGATCTGCTCAATTTGTTCACCAACTGCAAATATTTATCTCCTCTTTCTTGAGGTCAGATGTGGTCACAAGCAAACCAATTACTAACACTTCCATACCAGCGTTCTGCAGGGCAAAGGTCCTGACACAGATATAATTAATTCTGCAGTGGTGAGCTCATAACACTGATTTACATTTGGAGGCACATTTTAGTGGACTCTCTCAGCGTGAGATCTGTAAATGTGGGGCTCTTATGACCTGATATCTCCTGACCAGCAGAACCGCTCACAAAGTTCACCCATCGAAGCTGGGAAATGGCCCCATGCTGCTTCAAATCCATGCTTAAAGATCCTCATGGTTTTGTAATAAGTCTACTTGGTTTACGGCAGAGAAAGAGATCAAAGAATTATAGACAGTTATGGGGTCTTGACACTAATGTGGTCTGAAATCCTGACTGCGTTTAGTTCTTATTCACTGGGGGGTGGGGGTGGGGCTTATTCCTCCTTATCGCTGTCAAGTTTTGATTCTTTATAACTGTTGAAAAACTCTCATCCTAAAATTTAAACTGTTGACCTAAAATGTTTTGACATTCTGATAGAAAGTGTGAGTGGCATCAGAGTGCTTTTCATCTGGTTCCAAGCTGTTCTGTCCACGGATAAATCCACTGACTGTTTTGGGAGGGTTTGTTTGAAGAAAATTCATCTGATCTGATTGTGAGGAATTAGAAAAAGTGAGCAGGGTGGCCACTGATCGTGAACCCTCATTTTTTCCTGCTGTAAAATTACCCAGCCCTGTCACACCACTCCTAATACAGCCTGATAGAAAACAGAAACACTTGTCTCTCCGGCTGTCAGAGGACTAAGAGACCAGCTGATTAGGATGTTAGTGTTGTGTTAGCTAAGTGAGTTTTACTGTTGAGCATTCGGAGATGACTGATCATCTGCACACCCTGCAGTTACAGCACGCTAAACATGCACCAACATGCAAAAACAGCTCATATGCTCGGAAGTTAACATGTCAGACGGTGACAGTATTTCCATTTGCTTGCACCGTCCTCCATAATTTTTTCTTTTCTTCCGGCAATTCTGTTTTACCCAATACAATAATTGTGGAAACACAAAAGGGAGGATTGGGGGCTTATCTGGCTCTGCAGGTGTGGTATTACAGGCTCTTCAATGAGAATCAGACCTGTGGTGTGAAGTTTTTAAGCTCCTGCGCTGTGCACAGTATTCTGTACATAATCCCAGTGCACACAGTCTGTTGGAAGTGTGGCACTGACAAGTGACCACTGAGAGGGGGGGTAAGAGGGCTTTTTGAGATGTTTCTGCTGCTCGATGCTTATGGAGTCCAAATCCAATCTCTCATGAGAGCAATTTTCCTTCTGAAAAAATCTCAAATGATGAGCTGATAATGCTTTTAGAGTAGAAAAGACTGATGTATTACTGAGCTGAGAAATGGGCCATTTTCTTCAAACAAGGTTATTATATATGATTAGTGACGTAATACATTAAGATGGAACATTCTACAAAGCAGGAAGAGAAATGATTCTATTTTCATCTGTTCTCATTATAAAAACTCATCTACTGTATTTTTGTACTGCACAGTTAGCAGCTCTGCTGATCAAAAGTCGGTCCCAAACTTGTGTTATGTGCTCATGTATGTATTTTCTCCCACATTGTGTTATAAATGAAAACTGAGGATCTGGACCACTGAATATTCAATGAGTCTTTGTAGACTAATTATAATGTGTGTCTCCATAAACTCGGGGACTGCATGTGGTGACTGAAGAAAATAAATAGATTAGTTTCTTTGATGCAGCTGTTTCTGTCTGATGAGGGCCTGCGTGAATAAAAGGAATCCTCCTCTTTATTTCTTTTCTATGATAATTTAAACCAACCTCAGTACATCACATAAAGCCAAATCCCTGCCTCAGCATGATGATTACAGAAAACATATTGTGTAAATGTGGAAAATAAAGGAACATTTTATTAGTTTAGGTCATGTTTACTGTGTTCCCAGAGAGTAATGATGTTGAGGGTTTGGGAATGTCAAGGAGGGGAAATATTAAAATACTCTCGACAGGTTCTTCTCAAAAAAAAATAAAATGAAATAAGTCCAACATTGGAAAACCATAGACTGTATGTACTATGGACAACTTGGTTTCGCCTCCTGTCATTATATGAATTTGAAGCTGAATGCTCTCAGCATTTTCGTTTTTTTTTCCTCCACTTCCTGGAACCACCACTTGCGCAGTACCATTGTACACATTTGGCGGGAGAGTCGCTGTGATGGCTCAAACAGCGAATCCCACGGGTGAGCTATGCAATCTTCATACGCCCATAAGCTGTATCAAGTGTCAATCATAGAAAACAAGAACCCCCTAATAACTTTTAAAAATGGAGCTGTGCAGAAAAAGGAGGACTTGAGCACAAACCAGTCTTACAGTAACTACATATCAACATCGCAACCAGGGCGGAGAAAAATTTATATTCTGTGTAATTAATTTCTAAAGTTTGTCAACAGCTCCATAGGGATTGCTGGAGGAGGCGGGATTTATGACCTATACTGCAGCCTGTCACCAGAGGGTGCTGTTCTTACGTTTGCTTCACCTAGAAAGGAGGCATACTGCGTCTATTCTATATACAGTCTATGGGAAAAAACTTAATCAAAACAAGTCATGATAAACGAGAGCTTAGATATCTTTGATCCCATGATTGCTTAACGAACATATGCATAAAAATGAACACTCAAAACCTGCATAGAAACAGAAATACACTCCTCTAACCATACAGAGATATTCTCAATCTCCAAGTCTAACACTAACACAGTAGATGGCCAGTTTCTTTACAAATTGAAGATAAATGCCTGTTTATTTTTCACAATTTCCCCCCTGTATTTTAGCTCTAAGCTTTAAGCTTTAGAGAGAGAGTAGGGAATTGGTTTCTGCTCACCTTTGAAACAATTAGCCCCGAGTCCTATCCTGATGGCCAAATAAACGAAACTGCTCATGTGTGTCTATGGAGCTCTGTGAACATAAATTAAATCTTCAAATAGAAAAGGAAACTTTGAAACTGCTGCATTTGGTCGTTATAGATTTGCACTTAAATTTGCAACATTAGTGCAATCGATTAAAAGAAATGAGACCACAAGATCCAGCTACAAGTAACTCCTGACCTGAATTTTTAAACAGGATTTGGTACTAACAAGAAATTGTCTTTTTGCAACTGCAGATAGTGAAACCAATGTTTCATCACGCAATGAATCAACTGTGGCATTTATTCTTTATTGTGCATTTCTTCCTTTAACTATTTCTGTCAAGCAGTAATTATTCCACAGTATTGCTCAGGTCTTTGAACAAATTTGAAGCTAGCGAGACGTGCCAAAGGGGAAAGCTATCTGTAATTGGATCATGACTGAGATGGAAACACTTGATGAAAATGATTTCCAAGAATAAAAGACTTGCAGGGCCACTTGCAAGCGCACAACTGATTTTGAACCAGCCAGTATCATGAGATCCAGATAGAAGCTCGCCAGCCAACTTCACTTAATCTGCTATTTCTGACAGCCCTGACATTGTTACAGTCATGAAAGGCCTGTACTAGGAAACCACACTTTGAGCCTTAGAGCCAGGTGTGTCCAAAAAATGCACTCATGTATCTTCTGTGGTGATCAGTAAATGTATTATTTTGATTTACTCTTTTAAATTTTGCGCAATTCTTAAGAGAAGGTGCTGCATGGTTGGCAAAATATCCCAACTGTTCTCTTCTTCTTCTCTCATTATGATAAGGTAAAAGTTCCTTTGAAGAAATTGATTTATCATTAGGTGGATTTTTGGCTTATGCACTTGTCCACACTTCAGGCAGCCAATCAGCACAGCACTTCATTATCATAATATACTTGCCCATAGGACTGGGCGATTTGGCAAAAAAAAGAAAAAAGATCATATGTTTTGTCATATCGTATGATCTCGATTATTATCACTTTTTTTTTTTAAACTGCCTGTTTTAAAGCTTCTGTACTGAAGACGAAATAAACTAGAGATTAGTTCAACATTTTATTAACACACAGAGTAAATAACAAAGCAAATTAAATAAGATTAAATAAGACACATTAGGTAATTCTGTGTATTTTTCCTGTTTATTTCGCCGGCAACTTACAGAAGTGAGCAGGAAAAGCTCAACTCTGATTGGCTGTTGTCACGCACACTTCCGCCATGTTTGATTGTGTAAATATGCTCACAGCTAATCACCGTGATTGAACTGTAACTTATCACGATCATTAATCACCATCATGTAAACGCCCAGTCCTACTTGCCAACTCAGATCACTGCATGAGGTGAGAAAGTTGGAGACTTTGTTTACATTTTATTTTCAAATACTATTATATGTGACCCTTTGATCGTTAAGATGGATTTCGTAAAAGAAACCACTCTATTTGCATAAAGTAAATAAAGTTTTAGAATGAAAAAAGTCTCATCAAAGAGTTTAATTACAGATCTCTGCAGGCACTAAATCCCAAGTCAAACTTTTTCCTGATGTAATGTTTCTGGGCATCTCACAGGAGATGGACGAGAACAAGAAAAACAGCATAGGGAAAATGGATTATTTGGAAAACCCAAACAAAGCAGTGTTTTTGGCACATCAGAGTTATATTTCAATCATGCAAATGAGCTCGGTTTTGGTAGTTAGTGCGCTGTTGGAGTGTGTAATTGAAAATGCAAAAGATTTCCTCGCATCAAAATGTTGAGGAATGCATTGACTGGCTGCTAATCAGAACAGCCTCCACACGTTGAATCACTGCCTCGATCTCTGCAGAATTGAATCATTTTATCTTAATTAACTGTGCTGAATCCATCCAGGTTTGTCAGGGAGCCAATTTCTTTCAGCAACCCCCTCTCTTCTCCAGCAGGGATATTCGCTCTTTCACAGCTTTGATAAATATTTCCATGTCCAACTGTGATATTGATGGGGAGCAGTGATGGGAGGATGGGATGCTGTCTGTTTACTGTAGCTGCATGGACTGTTTCTTAAACAGATCGTCTGCTCTCTGCTGTCAGTGGAGCTGAGGGGACACATGAGTCACACTTCCTCTCATTTCATCTTTACCGCCTTTACCGGCATTAATGTGTATGTTCTCAACTGAAAACAAGAGTTAGGGTTTGACTAAACCGCGGATTAACAATTGGAAAATTCTTCACCACTGAGGCATCATTCACTTATTATTGTCTGTTTTACAACAACACTGTATTTTCACTTTATTTGGTTCTCTAGCAACAGATTTCCATGAATATCACCCCCATCAGTGTGATTTTACAGCTAGAGGAGTGTGTAAGATTAACAACTTCATTAGTGTGGTCAGAATTTTTCACAAGCACTGATCTCCTGCTGTGAACATCTGCAACTTTTACTGTCAGACAATTATGAAAGAACAATATCAGAGGAGAGGGAGAAGAAAGACACCTACATTTAAATGACAAAGTGGATGGTTTTCTTGCCAGTGTTAGAATATGATTCTTTCATTTGGACACGTCTTTATTGAGTGATAACTCTCAGAAACTGCAGGCAATTGTCTCAATGCGGAGCAATGAAATTAAATCATCTTTCCCATCTGGTGCTACTGCCCACACTGTTTCAAAAAGAAGGATTCACAGCTTTAATATCTTGCAGCACTTATGTACCCAGCGATAATTGCTGTGTTTTTAAGTCTTTAAACAACTATAAGTAGGGAGTTTAATGTGAATTGGGTGTTTGCCTTGGCCATAAATTTACAATTTACAATTTTGTTGAAGCAATCAGTGCTTAAGGGACGTGTCACCCTCCAGTATCTATATTGTAAATTGATTTACTAAACAGAGAAAATAGGAGGTTTAAAATGCAGAGTCTGAAGCCTCAAGCCAAAAACCCATGGGATCTGTGTTGAGCACGTAGCAGCAGCATATTGAAACCTCAGTCACTATACAGAAGACGTGTACATGAACAAGTAACATGATTTTAAAGTTCCAAGTTTTTCAGGTTTAGAATATGTACTGTTTTCCTGTGCTGTTACCTTTAGACAGAGTTAACTAGAAGTCTTGTTGTGGTCCACATGGATCAGGGTTTGGCCATGGTTGTTGTGTGTTGATGATAAATCTATAACCAGGAGCTGTGTCTTATCTGCACGAACTGATAAACAGTTGGGAGTTCACAGATGGTGTTTTATTTTGGAATATATCCAATGACATGTGTGACATCCTGTCTGGAATGATCTTGACATGTGCTTGCCGCTTGCTCCATCGTAAATAGACTCAGTGCAGATCTTAAGCAAAGCAGTACACAGAGACGCTTCTGGGATGTAGCTGAGATGCACTGTGACGCATCCTGTTTGCACTGCTGTGTAGCACACAACACCGATGTAATGCACCCAACACGCATCCTGTGGGTTTTAGGCTTTAGTTGTAGTTGGATTATTACAAAGGAGAAATCTTCCAGTTTTGTTCAGAGGTCACAACAGACCAGACCACTCAAATTGTTAATCTATACTTGAATTCACCATCCTGACATCCTCTGCAGGGTAACCAAGCTGTTTTCAAATATTTTCCATAAAATAAACATAAATTTAAAGTTTTCATTTGATGTGAGTTACAATTGAAATGCATCAGCCTGTGTGTAATGAATCTATATTATGCAAGGTTTACTTTTTGAATTGGGTTACTGAAACAAATCAACTTTTTGGTGATATTTTAATCCATTGAGATGAAAGTTTCTGATCTGCTCAGCACTGAGTGAGAAATTAATGCAAGAAGGATTAACTTAAATTGTTGAACACCAAATCATAGCCATAGGCGTAGTAAAGCATTACAATTACCTGAATAAATGAGTGTCAATGCCAGTAGTACCCTGAGTTGAATGTGTAAGTATGTGGTCTCTAATTATTAACACTTTTCTTTATGTGATAATTTTAATTTGTTTGGAAGCTGCCGTTGCTCAAAATATCCACCAGTGAAGATTTTAAAATCATGTTTGACAAATGTAGTCTTCATTATCAAAATGTGGTCCACAGCCGACTCACAATCATTCATCCTGAAACAATTATTCATCTTTGTTATTTTCTTTATATTAACAAACAGGATGATGGTTCAGTGTGCGAGTGAGCCAAACTTAAATGAAGATCAGAGAGAAGACAGCCTAACTGCTTTGAAAAGCATTTGGGATTTTTAGACACGCTGCTTTTTGAGCATTTTGACAAGTTGTAATTACCTAATGTTGTTGTGTTGGAGAGAGGGAGGCCGTGTACAAAAAAAACAAGCCATGCTGTCTGCTTGCCAGTGTACAAATAATTGCTTCAAAAATGCCTTTAACCATATTTTAACAAAAAGTAAAATCACAGACTGACAGTGCCTGGATAAACTTTTCCTCACAGCCTCAAAAATAAAAACGAGACAAAAACAGGTTTTTTGGCACTGGCCCTGACTGAAACTTAAAATAAAGTATGCTGCAAGCGTCCCTTTGGTGTCTCTCCCACACTTGAAGCTTGCCTAAATGAAAGACAAATGTGTCTAATTATCCAGACAGCAGGTGCAGAAAAATGGTTGGTTTTGGCAGCAGGGAGCATCTCCTCTGGCGAGCTGTAAATATTGACTGTTGAGGATTGGCCGTAGTGTGAAGAACGCAGCAGGAGAGATGACTGATTGTGACAGTGGCTGTGACAGCAGCTGTACACTTTGTCTCATATAAAGTCAGTGATTGAAAACAGATTTACTTCTCGTCAGTGTTTGTTTGTGTAAGTGTTCCCCTCCCTTTGTGGTTGCATGTAGACAAAGTTGTTTTAGTGTCTGTGATGCCTGCTTGAAACACAGGTTTGTGTAAATAAAGTATTTCCCTTGTGTTAAATGCATGTATTTCCACACAGAACACACAAAACATACCTGAGTCTACATGTTTTATGTGTGTGTATTCATAATTGACAGGGCATCAGGCTTTACTGTAGGCGGGTGACACTGCAGAGTCGCTAATATATTGCAGACAGGGGCTGACTTGAGGGAGTTGAGTTCCTATCTCTCTAAGGTTTAGCTGCCGGCTGAGATGAAAAAGGAAAATAATGATAAAAAGAAGTTAAAAAAAAAAAGGGAAGAAAGACAGATGGAGGTGTCAGGGTTTAAAAAAGGCACAAAAACAGACACATAGGGAGGGAGACAGACAAAAATAAAAAGCTGTTTGATCAGAAAATGTCATCTCTCCTCTGCTTGCACTCCCCAAATGAGCTTTATTTCAAGTTAAATGAAAAGTAATGCACTTTGGGAAATGAAATGAAATAAATTTAATATATGCGAGCAGTAACATATTCAGAAATCAAAAATTTCTACATTAGTCTGATCAAGACCGTGCCCTGCTGTAAATGTCAAAAGGGAGGCCAGAAGTGAATCTGTCTAGAAAACTCAATACATTCACAAGCATAAAAATCAGCCTCATTCATGTCCCCATGTATTATTAATATGTCAAAACTCCATTTGAACATGAGCTCTTTCATTCAACACGCCACTTGAAAGGCAGAGAAAATGTGTGTCTGACTCACAAGCTGTCTTTGGTGTTTTGCCTCCATTGTACTGCCATAATCAATCACACTCAAGTCTTGGATGGGCTTAATTCAAACCCCTGTTACATCTTCATTAAAGCTTTGCTCCAGATGCTAAGTTTTAGAGGCTCTTTTTAGTCCCGTATTGATGTTGGAAATCACTGTGGCTCCAGACTCTTTTTACATGGGAATAGAAGATGTCGCAGACGGGGATAATGTCATTAAAAAGTGCTTGATCAATGACAGTTTTGACGGTTACTTAATGACATACATTTATGGAAAGTGAACCTAGAGTATTTACCATCTTAAGATGGTTGGAGCATGACATCCTTCATTAAAATGATCTATTGCACATTTTCACAGTTCTAGCCCTACTCGTCTCTATTGACTTCAGTTTTTTTTTTTTTTTCCATTGCATTTGAGTACCATCTCAACATGGGTGAGGCCATCATAGCAAGGTGTCCTGAAACTCCCATGACGTCATTTGTATGTGACACAAACATAACCCAAATGCACTGCTGCTGTCGCCTTGTGAATTAGTTGCTCTCATGACTCATACAACAATGTCTGTTTATGTCACATTTATGATTTGACTCAGTTCATTTGGAACCCCTGCCAAGTAGGCACTAATATGTACCTGGTAGCAGGTGCTACCACCTAATGGAACCCCCCCCAAAAAACGAGTAGAGTTGAGTGGAGACTAGTAGGTGCTTGTGGAAAAGCACTATAACAGACAAAACAAAAGCTCTCTTGAGCTCTTATTGTTCACTGGGATCTCATGGGAAGGCGTATTTAAAGTTAAAGAATAGCTACAATCCATAACCCTAACTCATTACAATATTGCCTCGGAATTAGAAAATCAAAAGCACTTTTTTTTCTAAATGTGAAGGTAAAAATCTGACCAGATTTTTTTTCTTTTTTTGAAGTTGGAGGGAAATCGTAACTGTGTCTGTATTTGTTCGACTCTTTCATTGTCCATTTCAGAGTCCCGATGTAACCATCCAGCTCTGAGATATCAGACATATTTGACTAAACCCTTTATACAGCTTGATCATCTAATTTGAGAATGCAGACCAAGGATCCTGTTCATTCACCACTTATCAGTACCCCGAACTCTTGTCAGCAGGAATTAGCTTGAGGCAGAATTTGTCAGAGATGTACAAAAGTTTTTTTTCAGCTTTAGAGGGAGTTATACAAAATCTGCTGCTGCCTCCTTGATTTAATAATGCCAGTTTTAACTCAAAATAAGTTTGAATATAAATAGAAAGTGATCGACGAGACAAATACATCCCAGTGGACAAGTCTGCTAGAGGCTAAAAGGTTTGAGGCGACATGAACTGTTGGGAGACCAAGACAGAACTGTTGATAATACATGCAATGAAGAGGTGGTCTCCAAACAGTGCTGAGACTCTGAAAGTTATTTACTGACAGCCGTGTTCTGCCTTTAGGGCTAACAGAATAGAAAATGCATTAACACACACACAAACCATATTGCATTCAGTCTAAGTTTGGATGATGTCAAATGAACTACAATCCCGCTGGTTTATAAAGGGCATATTTCACAACTTCATGTCATATTTATGGAGACAGCATGGAAATACAACTTTTGAAGCCCCAGGTCACAGAGGTGGTTAAAGCAAGTTTACCCCAGAAGCTGAGGGAACATTAACAGCAGTGGCTGGCAGTCATGGTGGTCAGGTGGGTGGGCCAACCAATGCATCATACAGATACCAAGTTAATACATCATACTAATACAACATAACAGAGAAGGGTTATTCAGTGCTTCATGTCTGCTTTTCCCTATAGGACAAAGAAGAGGTGATTTAATACTTGGAAGTTTACTCAAACACTCTTCTAATGTTACTGTTGTTGTAACATTAGTCGCTGTTTCTGGTTGACCCCATACAACTGTCAACAACAACAGCAGGTCTGTGCCAGATGTCAGAAGTGGCTACAACTGCTGCTGGGCATTTTCGAGCACAAAGTACAAAGTTCAGATGAGGTGCACGCTACTCCTCTTCTTTGGGGTTTTTGTTCGAGGTTTACGGGGGCGTGGTGCACACACATGTGCATTGTCCAGTCATACTCCAGCTATGCTGGGTACATGTACATGGTAGAGAAAATCGAATTCCAATCGTATTATCTGGGTGTCTCCACTGGAGTTCTCAAACTTCGATTATAGTCGGACTAAGGTGTTTACAGGCACCTCAGTTGTCCAGTCTTAGTCGGAGTAAGGAAATACTTTGGTTTTCTCGAGTGTCATGTAAACGTACTGTGTGAAAAGGGCCAGTTTACATATATTGTTTACTTCTCTGAGACTTTAGAGTTCTGTTACCAAAAATGAGAAAAAAATCAAAATATCTGTTGTTAATTATATAAAAAGAAATAGCCTTGGGCATGGCCTTACCAGCCCATTTATACCAGCGGTCCCTGGCGTTCAGTGACTCTCAGTGGATTTTTCATGTGTACTTGTTTAAATTCTCTAGTAACTGATGGAAAGCTCTGTTTGGTGGAATTACTAAGAGAGAAAAAAATAGGTTGAAGGAAAAAAACATTTTTCTGGTATCACAGCTTGGTGTGTGTGTGTGTGTGAGTCCCCTTTGTTGTCTCATGTAAACTTTTATTCTCAACAGGAAGATAGAGTGGCACAGAAGCCACCAGGGCTTTGTTTGTGTGCGTGTGTGTAGGTGTGTGTGTTTGTGTCAGAAAGAGAGGGAAAGAGAGAAATTGCAAGACCCCTCAATATCACAGAGCAGTGTTTGCTGTCAGCTCAGCAGCAGTGTGGTTTGGAAAGAAACTCCTCTAAAAGGAGCCGAGCACATATTCGGGTCGTACAAATGTGAATCCCACTGAACAGCTCCATGTTTGTTTTTGGGTATCTGTACATATCCACAAACAACTGCATGCATCTCACATTTCACCAACACACGGACCTCTGTATGCTTTCACACAACAACCAAGAGGCTGTGGATGCACACCCAATCTCATTGACAGCAGACCCCCTTCAAACAGAAACTGTGACCTTTGAATCCACCTCATCTCTGCCTGAATGAGGAGTGTGAAACATCCTGTGTGGCTCAGAAATGAGTTTGCAGTGATGCTGAGTTGAGAATAAGGGCCCTGGAGAGATTGTCAGCTATGAGCAGCGTCCTTGTGGAGAGTTGAAGCCACTGATGTGTATCTGCTGTCAGACTGTAATGTGCCGTTATAGATGGGTGCTTCTGAAGGTTACTGCAGTTTAAGGCCTCCACAGGCTCGTAAAATATCTTAAAAAGTCTTTCATTGTACTTTGTGTCAATGTTTTGTGCTGCTTGTTGCACATAATTGTTCAAAGAAAAAAACGGGACACAACAATCCAGCCAAAATGCCAATTGAAGCTTTTCATGTGGTTCCTTTGAGAAGTTTTTCGGTGCTTATAAAAAGTGTTGGAAAAGTTCTTAAAAAATAGAATTTAGTTTGATTTCTAGTCATTACTGTTAAAAAAAAAAAGAATTATGTGTTATGTTGCAAAAATAGTCAGGTACTTGGGAAATTAACTTAAGCAATTCTACATTTTTGCTCCACTACTTTTAATTAGGAATGATAATAAATTAATAATTAACATCCTGAGAGTTGCCTCTATCTCTCACCTTTTAAAAGTATATATAATGAGCATTTGACTGTAAAAAGATAGAATGTGACTTAAGGTCCTTTCACACCAAGACCATTTTTATCGTGCAATTATTTCAGATGTCGATATTTTTCCAAAATCGCATTGCGCTTGATGTGTATAGTCAGGCGCTCCAAAATTTGCCTCAGAATATTTCGTAATTTCGTGTCAGATATGTGTGTCGGTCCTGGTGTGTAAGGACCTTTAGTCTGAAAATACCACTTTGCAGGGGTCAAGATCAGTTTAGGGCATCACTTTATCCACAGGAGGCGCCAAAATCAACACAAAAATAAAGCTCCTGGTTGATGCATTAAATGAGATCTGGCTGTTTTGTACTGTTGATATAATTTTGTATTGAGAGTAGTTGTATTTTGTACTTTAAGATTTGGCAGAGACAGATATTATCACTTTTAAAACCAAAACAATGTTTTTAAATGTAAAAACTCTAAACTGATATTCAATTTTGTGCCGGAATCTGTGTCAAGAAATTTAAGTTTTGCTTTGGGACTAGTTTTGGCTCTTTCGGTGCACCGGGGCTTCTAGTTGTTCATTTTAAATCACTGTTGTGTCAGTGTGACGAAGAATAACTGTGCTTTTATCTTCGGTGGCTCTTACTGCTGAAGTGAGAATATAAAAACCAGAGCTTTTGAGTGGCCTGGAGGGAGCAATGCCAAGCTGCCAAGAGTTTCGAGGCATGATGCCCAATATGAAGCTTGTGAACGACTCAGCTGGGTTTGTTAAAAGACCGCTAGCCATTGAATGTGAGCCTGAAGTAAGGACATTTGTGGGAAATCAGCTGCAGTTACTGATGAAAAAAGAGAAAAAAGGAACATCACACTCCTTGTTTTTGTCCTCGGTGGACTTTCTGTCTTGCTTTTTTCGCCATCTGCACTAGTTTATATTTCCTCCTGGGAGCCGCGATCAAAGTCAAGGGGGATCTTTGCTTTAACAGGGCCTGTGTAATTACAATGCCACACACACACTGTGTGAAATTTAAGCAAACTAACAGATAGAGAGTTCTCCTGTGCCGGTATTTAGGACAGGTCATTAACTTTGAATAGAGCCTCACTTTTAGTTTCTAGTTTGGTTGGTGCTGCTGATAATATCAGGTTCAGATTTTAATTCATGCTCACCAACAAAATGCATTTGCCTGAACTGTTCTTGTCTGCCCAGTCATGTGTTATGAATACCAATGCATGTAAGCACAAATGTGGCCTTACTTAAACATGCTAATGGAGAAGGGAAGCATACGTGCATGCAACAGCTACACAGAGGAACAACCCAGCTTACATATTTTATTCAAAAACTCTTTATGTTGAGAAAATAAGGTAAAAAAAAGATAGTTTGATTGCTTATACATTCATAGATGACTTATTAATGATTAACCAGACACTAAATTAGTGCAATTTACAGCCTTAAACCCAACAATATGACATTAAAACAGAGTTAAGACTTTCTAATGAAAGCTTTACATCAGTGAAAAATAGCAGCTGTGTGAACATGATGAAGAGAAAAAGCTGAAAAGGCAGCCACATTATTTCTCTTCATACTGCTGTCCCCACAAGTTAGTGTATGTCGTCTTTGTTTGGAAAGTTATGTTAGCTTCAGTATATCATTTTTTCAGTCTTGCTCAGGTAAATTTGTAGTCAGTTCAAGGCCAGCATGAGGTTCCTCCAGTGGAATGCAGAATCAAGATTAACCTTAAGAAATGAGTTTTCTGAATCATGCATCTATAAAAAAATGAAGCATTTTTAGCAGGGCGGATAAGCTGTTAGTGACATAAATAAGGTGGATTTAAGACATGCCGAGGCTCAAATGAGTGTTTACACTCTTCATCTCTGGCATCCATGAAAATGTTTGTGTCAAGCTTTGACTGAGGCCAACCTGTTATTTTAAATAGTCAGAGGTGAGACAGGCATTCTGTTTGTTTTTTCAACGTACATTTAGTAGGCTTAAAGGGATATTTCGGCATAAGTTTAAGTCATGGTCAAACACGCCATAACACCAAGTTAGACACCCCCTTGAGACGCCGACTTCATCAACAGTACATATAGGGTCCCAGCCATAGAACTAGCCATAAAACATCTTTTTAGCTTTGCCTGGTTTCTTGAGCAAAGAGACTGAACATAGCTTACCCACTCCCTTGTTTGTGGGGGGAGCCCTGACGAGTAGATCACCAAGTGCAGTGGAGTTTTGCAGCTCAAGGAAGAACATTTATGATTATAACTTCATGGAAATGCAATCACACTGAGATGTTAAGGCAGGAGAACTACTGAGCTTGCAGTGCACATACAAGATACACAAGAACTCTGATTGCATTTCCATGAAGTAATAGTCATAAATTTTCTTCCTTGTGCTGCGGAACTCCGCTGCGCTTGCTATCGTGTGGTTGTTACTGAAGTTGGTATCACTAAGGAAGCAAGCAGTCGGCAACACTCATCTCTTGAGGGAGTGTCTAACTCGGTGTTACAGTGTGTTTGACCATGATGTAAACTTACGCCGGAATATCTCTTTAAGCAAGCAAGCACTGGCTCACCGTGTTGCATTTCCCGATGAGTGGAAGGTAAAAAAAATTACAAAAAAAACTTTTCGCAGACATGTTTGCAGTAGCTAAGAAAATCCACAGCTTGCAACTTTTTAGATTAATAGATATTGAGCAAAATAGAATAAATTATGATATTTTGTTAATATATCATCAATGGTTGCTAGGAAAACTCAAACTACTCAGCAATCTGTAAATGAATGAATCAAGTTTGAATAACGCAGACAAAACAAGTTACAGCTTCATCAGCTGCAATGAAAAAGTGATGGACATTTTAATACATGAAAGCTTTTTAGCCAAATTATACTGTTATCACGAAGTATTAAGTTCATATGTGTAGAATGCACAGTTTTTTTGTCTTTTTCTTGGAGGGAAAAAATGCAGTTACAAAGGTTTACGCAAAGAGCAGTGATGTTTTTTAGTGTAAAAATTGTCGGTCAAAAGATTTTTGAGCTTTTATCCCTGAGCTACTCTTATTCAGCGTGCACTCAGGTGCAAGAGAGTTGCTATGGTAACTGGGACAGTCACAAAAAATCCCTAGATTATAAAAAAAATTATGTTATATTATACACTTCTAAACATAAATACACATGACCTTCTTGTGAAGAAAAACCTGCTTTGCTCAAATATTTCCGGAGAAGAGGTTTTTCAAAGTTATTGAGCAGATGCTATGAACACATTGTAAGAAGAGATCATTAAGAATATATGTGTGTGTGGATGGGTGTGGGTTTGGGGTCAGTCCTTTATTGTGAGTTTGTGATCATGTGCCTGATCTGCGGTTTAAGATTCTCCCACCTCACCATCTTTTTCCCTAACCCTGTCATTATGGAGCTTGCGAAGTCCTTAAACTTGTGTGAAATGGGGACAGAGAGGGAAACAAAAAAAAAAAAGAAAAAGTCTCATAGCTCTTTTCAAGTAATATATGGGATACGTCGCAGGTACTCAATTCCTTGGGCCTCTGTATCACATGTTTCTACTATGAATGATGAACCAAAGACTGTCAGTAAAGGGCACTTTATGATGTGAAGCATTATTTCATGTCTGGTTATAAAAAAATGAAGAATCTCTGAGAGGCTTTTCCTCTGCAAAAACTCAAGGCGGCATGAGGTAATTATTCAACTGAACCATTCGTAGCTTCTCTTACTCACAAAATCTGACGGTAGAGGGATTTTTTCTGTCAAATAAAACTGTGTCTGAGCAATGATTGGAAATGATAGACAGTCGTTCCCTAAGCATCGTCATTTCCATTCCCCTTTCCACCAAGAATATTCAAGGCTGTGAAATTCTCTGTGGCACTTAAGGGGGAGGATATAGGAAGAGAAATACATGCCGTTGGTGTAGCTGGCTGCAGGGGAAAGCCTCAGAATTCATCTCGTTTCAGAGTTTGTGATCAGTGAGATGACGGTCTGCTCTCTCCCTCGTCTCCTCCTGAAGCGTGCAGTGGAGTTCCTCAGGCCACAGAGAGCAGACTCCTCTCTTCCATGCTGTTTACCACCTCACCGCTGTCACGGGACAGCTACTTCTCTGAGTGCCAAAAAACCAGCACAGTCCACTGTGTCTGTGCCAGAGGGGGTCTCATGAGTGCGCCCGTGCCTCAGTGCTAAAAAATACATCAGGGTTACTCTCAGAGAAATCACAGTTAGGGCTGTGCAGGCTAAACTTTATCATCCATAGGTTGACCAGTGAGGGTACATGCTGGGTAAAAACCAAAAGTCATGTTTTGCCTGAGGCTGGATGGTTGTCTCTGAAGACTAGCAAGTACCTTCAAGCTCACACGGTTACACATACTCAAGACTGGGCTCTTAGACACACACAAATACACAAAAATAGTTTTTCTTAGCTGCATTTTTTTTCTTCATATTTAATCATTTAGATATCTTTGAGCATATTTAGGGGAATGCTTAAGTTCAATCTTCACTGCTTAACTGCTCAGACTCACCATCATGTGGTCACTTTTTCTTCAGCTCTTTTATTCACGACACTTTTTACCGATTTAAATGTTCATAATAAAATGTTTGATTTCACCACATAATGCGCCTTATAGTCCAGTAAATGTTCTTTGAATGGAGGACTAGAGAAAGCACATTATGAATACAGTCCATTTACTATTAACCTTGAGGAAAACTGCATCTGTACCTTTCCATACTAAGCAATCACTCAAACCCCCCCCAACCATTTTTTTCCCCTTTTCTCTAACATAATTTGTGTTATGGTTGGGTTTGTCTTTTATGACTTCAAGAGCAGCTGCAGTCATTGATGCTCAAGGTCCATTCACTTTCTTACAATGCCGTTAATGCTAGAACATTACTCACCCCGCATTTATTTATTTATTTATGTATGTTTTTTTTTTCTTTTTCTTTTTTTTTTTGCAAACTCATTGCATTATTCTGACCTGCCTGACTGCCTCAGATTTCATATATTCAAACACACACACACACACATATGCACACAGACTCAGACCTGTTTGTGTACAACACTGAGTAAAGCTGAAATGGATTCACTTGGATATGATTAAGTTGTACCCAGAGTCATTGTTATTTATGAGACAGGTCTCCCTCTGTCTCAGCACACCACCACATCATCTGTCAATGTCACTCCTGCTATTTGAATCCCTTTCCAAGTGTTCTTACTTCACCAGGAAAGAGAGAGAGAGAGAGAGAGAGAGAGTCACATTGTGGCAGTAGGTTTCAAATGACTCTTGCAGAGTCCACACGGTTCAAGTCGATGTCTTGGATTGGCCCCTGTGGGCCCTTTGTAGAAAAGGCTAACTGCTGCTCTGCTCAGTACATTTGGCCCTGTTCATTCAAGAGCTCTCGTCTCCGCATTCATCTCATCGAAACAACCACCAGCACCTCAGTGACTCTCTGCTTCAACATGTGCCTCTTCCTTGTCTGGAAACAGCACATAACTGTGGGCCCACAGGCAACAGGTAGAAATAAAGTGTCATAAAAAGACCGTCCATGCCCCATGTGTGTCGGTAAGGCTGAAAGCTCTGGGGCTGTTTTACCTTCTGCAACCAGCAGATTGTTTGTGTTGCTGTTGCTTACAAGCAACTCTGATACACAGGAGGACATGATCTCTGGACATAAAGTGGGAAAACAATTCTGTGTGCAGATGAATACAGTATTTCCAATTTAACCAAAGCTCAACCAAGATGTTAATCATTTTATATTCATAACAGTTTTCCTGCCACACTCATAGAGATTATTGAGGATAGCTTTTAAATGTCACTTTTTTAGCCGATATCTTTCAGATCTAACAGAGGTAACTCATAAAATTATGTATTGTCTCTTTAATGCTCTCATAAGGAACTTTTGCTTTTTATCACTTTAGAAAGCTGCTGTGGGGAACCACGGTAATCTTAACACTTTTCCAATCCCAATTTATCGCTCCTTTTTTTTTGACAAAATACTCCCTCCTTCTTTCTTTTTATCATTTATTGGGATAGCTTTTGGTAAAAGTGTAAAGAAATGCTGTTTTATATGGTTTGCTGTATCATCTAATAAAACCTAAAATGTAGTAACTGGGCGATAATGTAACAAGATCCTGAGCCCAAAACGTAACTTTTTTCCTAAAATGAATCAATTTGTTAAATTTTTGGTCAGTTATTAGATTTTGGGTTTCATTACATTTTTTAATCACATTCCAGCATCAACACTTTTGTAACATTATTGACAAATTATTACATTTCGGGTCATGGTTACATATCGGACACTTACAAGGCCGACCTGCAGCAGACCTGCCATTTGTTAAAGCCCACGGTTAGCACCAGACCGCTGAGTTTGTGCAGTGTGTGCATTAAAAACTACGTCTACAGGAGGTGGTCTCTCAGTATGTCTAAGTGCAGGCTGCCCACCTAATCATGAGATGGAAACAGTATCGGCATCTTGGCAAGCCTTTTGCTCCATTTGCTGAACAAACATTTTTTTTCCCTTAAATGTTTGAGTAGGTAAAAGCTACATTTAGGTGTGCTGAGCTTTACTTACCCAGGTTTAAACCAGGGTAATATTAATTTATCCTTTGTGTCTCCAGTTATCAACTTATAAGACACAAAATTTAAAAAAGGTAAATAAACATTATTATTATTATCATTATTTTAATTTTAGATGAAAACAAATAGAAGCTCAGACAAACAATTTACTCAGTCTTGTTGCTGATATCTAAGCGGCATTGAGCTGTGCCTCATACATCTTGGTTGGGTCATGAAACTTAAATTCCCCTCATTTCTCTGAAAGGAGGAAATTTGATTCCACCTATCGATTGCTGCATAAATGTGTTGCCTGGTGATGAAAGATGAGGTGTGCTTTGCTTTCATGTGATCTGATTAACCTCAAGCTGGGAGCAGCCTCTCTGATCCGCCCTGCTTCTCCTGGAGTGTCAGGGGGCACGTGACGGCCACTTAGTGCGATTAGAGTTCCAGCGTGTTTTGTTTGTGTTGACACAGCAGACGGGACATTTCACTGACCCGGGAGTTGAAATACTAGACACCAAAAATGGTTTGTTTAATGTTGCAGTTTATTCAGGGTTAAAAGAGGCACTTGACATTTTCTTTGGCTTTTTCTTGTGCAGCAGGGATTTATATTGAGGGATTTTTCTTTGACAGCCAAGTATCATTATCATGATAATAAGTCACCACTGCTTGATCTCATTTGGAAAATGGTAATCAAGCACAGTGATTGTGTTAAATTTGAAAGCTCTCCTTCTACTTGTCTCTGCAGAGAAGACATTTTTTGATGAGGTTGTTAGACCTCCTGACTTTGCCAATAGCATTGTCCACACCTGAGCAAACTGGCATTTATACTAAGCCAACCAGTTGACAAAAAAAAGCCAATTAACTCCAGGTTTTTGTGACTGAAATTTGGAAAACCAAAAAAAAACTTGATTTTAATCATTACTGGCTCCACTGATAGTGACCTCAAGGTCCTCTGAGCAGGGGAAAGCCCTCAAAAGAGCAAATGTTTTACAACAGGAAATGCCACAAAAAGATCAGGTCTTTAGATTTAACCTGGTGGACTTTTAAAATTGGGACATCAAGCGTTTCTTAAATGTCATCTTTGGAAGATATGAAACAAAACTGGCCTCTTCAGTATGTGGAAGTGGCAAAGCTTTGGCACATTTTTTTAAATTCTCTTACTACTAAAAGTGTTCTCAGTGGTCTTTAAATTGTGATTGTGTTTTTAGCCAAAATCACGTTACCTGTGTCATTTTCAAGGATCTTTCTTCTGCAGAGCTCCAGTAGCTCATTAGCAATTCGCCTCAGAGTCGTAGGCGAAGACAGCACTGCTCTGCACACTCCTCTTCACGCTACCTTGTAACCTAACATTGTTGGTGTAGTAGAAGTGGCAGGTAACATAGGCGTTATTCAGCTCTTGGACACTAATGTCTTTGGGGACATGATGAAAGTTCATATTTTAGCCGACTGCGAGGGCGCTTACACTGGGTAAGGATTAAAATAAAGAACAATACAAACAGTAGTCTTTTCGTGTCGGCAGCAGTGTCCACTCTGTTTAATTTCTCACTCTTTTCACTCGTCAACTCAGACCCTGTTAACAACAACAACAACAACTTCCAGTATTCCTTGTTCAGCAATTGTCCTCTCTATTTCTCTGAGTCTGGCCTGCATAGCGGGGCTCAGGGGGCGAAGCTTGGATTTGCTACGTACGAAATCTCACTGTGTCTGAGCCTGCCGTTTGGGTCTGCCAAAGATTCACAGCGATTTGAATTCAGAAATACTTTTCTCATGATATGTCCTGTAGTGTCAGAAAAATGCCAAATGGACATGTAGACAACAAGAAAAACAAGATTTTCATCAGAGTGGGTCTGTAATGGCTTTGACGAAAATAAACCAAGTAAGACTTAAATTGCTAATTAGATATCTTCATAAATGCTCTGTGTCATCACACTGGGTTTTTTATAAATAGAAGTCCTCAGACTTTCCTGTGAATCTGTCATGGACCGAAATAAAGGAGTATGTGCTAAAAAATGGATGGGCAGACAGATGGACCAGATTTAGACTTCCTAAAGCAACCTTGCCAGCAACCACTGGTTTTCTATTATTGAGGGAGAAAAGACAGTGAGAGTAGCATGGGTGAACTCCTGTACAAGTTTTTCTGTAGTCGGCCCTGCCAGTGTTTCACTGTGTGTGTGTGTGTGTGTGTGTGTGTGTGTGTGTGTGTAGCTGCAGTCTAATTTTAAACCAAATCATAAGGGTTAGGACCATGCACTTCATCTCCTGTGCTCTAATCTTTGATTTCCCTCCTCATCTCCACCTCTCACTTGCCTCTCTATCCCCTCTTGCTGTTCCTCTCCCCACCTCCATCATTCCTGTCTCTATAGATTCCATCTAAGTGAATCTGTTTGATCAATTACTGAAATCAGGCCAACTTTATGTGCTTCATCGGGGAGTGGTAGTAGGATGCACACATGGTAGGGGATTAAGAAAGGATGAGAAGAGGAGGAGGAGGAGGAGGGAGTTGAGATGAAGGGATTATATTTCTTGGGTGAAGTTTTATTCCAGTCACTAGAGATGAGATCAGGTGATCGTAAGAGACTGATGTAAAGCAACACATGGCTGTCATAGGGATACATGCAGTATAAGACATAAAATGTTAATGTTAGATGAAAGCTGTTGTAAGAATTCAACATACTCTGAACATATTTTATTTTGGAGCCCCCTTGGCTCACTTTACATGAATAATTATCAAAAACTCTAAATACTGAGTAGAAGATAGGGAATATCTGAAGATGAGACCTGTCCAGTTTCTTTGCACGTTTGAGATGTGATCAGAGCCATCAGCTTATGTCCTGAGGGGTTGGCTGTGCCCAGAAATGCCCCCGCAAAAGTTTACAGCCTGGATTTGGCACACGAGTTGAAGATTCCAGCATGAATTATTCCTGCACACAGCGGCACATGATGTGGAAACTAACAGGCAGCTCAGGGCTTCAGATCACACCAGCTTTCCCTCTATAGTTATAATGACCTCTCGGTGTCACAGTAAGGGACATATTACAAATCTTAAATTACAAATTGCAACATTATTTTTGGCAGTAATGAGGTATTTAGTTTAATCTGTGTCATGGTAAGTGGAAACTAGGACAGTGTGTCACGTCCCTCTGAGACACAGAGAGACAGGAAAATCCTTTCACTGTGCTGTTAGTATGATCCAACAGCAGCTAAGCACCTGATCCCCACACGACATTGCTCTCTGTTTTGTTGTTTTTCAAAGTAAGCATGCTTCTCACGATCAAAACGGAGCACCAGCAGTCTCTCACTGTAAGCTGTCTCAGCGGAGGCCTTGGTTTCACTCCCCTTCAGGGAGGCAGTGATCGATTAAACGCAGTTTGACTCCGAACTGAGGAGTATTAGATTAGTGAGTTCATGAATCTGTATTTCATAACTGCATTTGTTTTAGACATCAGCATGTTTTTTTTTTCCTTCTTACTGTCTTATTATTATGCAAAACTGCAGTCTGTTACGACGGCTTTTTTTTTTTTTTATCAGTCAATCAAATTTTTAAAGCAGAGATTGAAACAAGAGATAATTTTTGAGCATTTGGGCTTTTAAAATAGGATTAAGTGCAAAGTTTGTTACGTAAATGCTCTTTCAACTGAAGTATTAATCCTCATTCTGACCTGAGTGATGCATCAAAACAGAGCCTGTGGTGAACCTGCCTTAAAAAGATCCAACAGATGAGGGAGGATTAGATTTTGGTGCTGTGACTGAGGTCCACAGTCAAAGAGGCGAATTTTGTTGAAACTCCTCCCAGTGGTAATGAAAACCTCCGTTTAGCAGTAGAAGCTGTAAATTCTCTTTTATTGTTAATAACTATATGCATGGTGTTTATTTTCCCCAATCTGTCTGTGTAAAAGGTTTGATTATGAACTGCATACAAAGTTATTTTCATAGACTGTATATAGAATGGACGCCGTCTGCCTCCTTGCTGAAGTGAAGCCACGGTGAGAACAGCACACCCTGGTGACGAGCTGCAGTAAAGGTCATCAATCCGCAGCTCCGTTTTTTATTGGGGGGTTCATGTTTTCTATGATTGACACTTGTTACAGCCTATGGGCGTACAAAGATACAAAGCTCACTCGGGGGATACGCTGTTTGACTCGAGCGTCATCACAGCAACTCTCTGCGACTCTCCCGCGGAATGCGTACAACGCTACTGCACAATGTTGGTTTCAGGAAGTGAAGAAAAAACGCAGAATTACTGAGAGCTTTTCGACGTCGAATCCATATACTGGCGGAAGGTGGAACCAAGTTGTCCATAGTATATACAGTGTATGGTTATTGTAGAAGCATAACTGCTAAATGTTGAGCCGGGTTGGCGATTTGAGAAATGTTGTGCCTGATGCTTTCTCTGTCCATGTGCAGAGCTATTCGGTGCTTTACTACCATGAACCATCACAAATCACAGCCATGCCACATCTTCAATAGGACGGCATAAAAAAAGAAAATCAATGTCGCCTCATGGGTTAATCTATTGGTTGAACTCTCCAGAGGATAATGGGAAAGAAACAAAAGGGGGTGGGGACAGTTTGCAGGTAAGAAAAAAAAGCAGTTGGTGTTGGTGATAGTTCAGGGTTTGCTGAGTAGATGGGTTCAAGGTTGGTTTATCATCGTAGTGTACTGTGACTAAGTGAAAAACCAGTGAGAAAGATGGGATGTCTTAAGGCAAAAAACAAACAAACAAAAAGATGTACATTGTGACCTTTTTTCTGTACTCGTCTTATGATACTTGAGTGATGCTGCTAATACCTTAGAGTGCCTTTGATGGTAAAAGAAATAATATTTGCACACATTATGAAGAAATGTGAAACAAAATACAGATCTCCAAATTTTAATATCTTAAATTTGCAAATTATATACAGATAAACATATAGAGACAGAAACTTTAGAGAGATAGGCAGCACCATCCCTCTATGCATCTGCAGATTTGTGGTGCATGAGGTCTTTAGAGGTGTTGATTCCAAACACAGTGAGCAGACTGGTCCAAAGAGTTGACTTTAAGTGCAACTGTATCTGGAGAGGTTAGGCTGAGAGAAAAATTCTGAATCTGAGCAATGCCCAAAAGGAGACGAGTACATTTCAATTTGTGTCAAAGCCCAAAAGCATACAGATGCAAAAGGAGATGCATCTTTACTGGGCCTGGAAATTGAACTCTCTAGTAGCATGTTGTAAAAAGTGTTTATCTCTTTGCCCTCCTTACATGATAGCCTTTTACTTCCTCTTACCTGCTGAAGAAAGACCCTTACTGAACAAACAAGGAGTGTGATACTTCCCAGAGTCTGTTGGGGCTCAGCAGCCTTGGCAATACATTACTTGGAGAAGGAGATTCTCAAAACTACAGCTTGAGGAGCACAGCTGTGCAGCTCCTCACTCCGTCTGGTCTGGAGAGTCAGGAAACAATGATAGATACTAATAAGTGCAGATGTGAAAGCAGCCCAAACCAGCTCAGATAGAGAGAAGTGGAACATGATCCTGAACTCTATTAGCAACAGAGCTGGTGGGTACAAACCAAAACCACAGGTGGTGATAAGGCAACAACTTTAAAGTTGTGCGATTTGCCTCATTTGTATTTAAAGGTGTATAAACTGAAAAAAACCAGAGAGGGGGGCTTACTGAGCCATTGTAGACCACTTAAGGAACAAAGACCTAAAGATCACACGATCAGATCTCAGATCTTTAAAAGTTCGGTGGTGTTCAGGCTCTAGACTTCACTCTTGCTCTATATATGGTAAAATCTGAATTAAAGCAATAGTCCTCATATTATCACATAGTGAAACAGTCTTGTTTAGTCATACACTGACTACATTTTCAGTTCATAATGATAAATAGCATCACTGCTGAGTGAGTCCTCTGTGTCTTTGACCTCTGACCTCCTGCTGTCAAACAGGGGCAGAAACTTATAGGGTTGGCAGAGTCTTTGTCACAGTCTTGAATGTGCTATTTTAGCTCCTCAAGACACTTCATGTTCTTTATGCTAAGATCCAAGAGGGGCCAAGTCCACAACAGGTCCCCATTTCCACAAGGTGGAGTACTGCCTAGGCACCAAAGATTCTGTAAGAAAAAGATTCTGATGAAGGCAAAAGTAGACAGAAAAAACAAAGAGGATGAAACAACTTAAAGGGATATTCCGGCATAAATAAGTTAGGGTCAAACATTCCGTAACACTGAGTTAGACACCTCCTCGAGAGATGAATGTTGCAGACTGTTTGCTTCTCTAGCTATATCAACTTTAGTAACGACGTCTTCATGCGCAAACCTCAACCAAAAAGCCACTCTATAGCCACAAATAATGCTCAGAGCAACCCCTAACTTCATCAACAGTACATATAGGGTCCCAGCCATAGTACTAGCCATATTACTATGCACTCGTGGGGATGTCTAACTCAGTGTTATTGTGTGTTTGACCATAACTTAAATTTATGCCGGAATGTCCCTTTAAGTTGGTGTCAAAAGATCGTGAAGGAAAACAAGACAAGCCTAAACTTTGACCCAGGCAAGCAAGTATTTTCTCTCTGGTTTACCAAGTCCTTTTGATTGAGAGCAGCAGCTCTTGTAGTGACATCATACTGACATGTCTCCAACAAAGCCTAAATGATTCATCAATAGAGAGTGTCTGTAGATGTGTTTGCCTCAGGCCAGAGGAAATGAATGCAAATCTCATGTGAAAAATGCAGTGCTGCCCTCTGGTTGTTTAAGTTATTCACCTCATTTCACTCATCGATTTCACACCTGGCTCAGATTTTATTGATGAGAATAAACAATCAATCTCTCTATAGAGAAACAAGCTGCAAAATACATGTCCAGAAGTGTTTGTGGTCTGAATTACTGTATGTGTCTCTCGCTCGATAGTTGAATCAAGGGTTAATGGTTAAATAGCTTCTTTGTCTGTTTCTTTCTCTGTTTCAGTTGTGGACAGCAAGGTGATCCTGGAGGGTCTGCAGAGGTTCAGCCCCACACCGATCTATCTGCCTGTCAACTACCGGATTCTCAATGCTGAGTCGGCTTTCTTCCTACAGGAGGCCAATCAGGACATAATGAGGAACTCCAGCCTGCAGGCTCGCACAGAGTCCTTCTTCATCCACCAGGCCCGACAGATGCCCTTTGTCAACGCTAACTACGGGCCGCTTTCTGTCCAGCAACCTGTTCCTCTAGATCTGCTGCAGACGCCACCAGGGCCTTTTAACACATCCCCGTTCTCTTCATCATCAGTGCCAACATCCTCGTCGCCATCATCCTCGCCACCCCTTTTTACATTCAACTGGAAGGTGCATACGTTTATTATCAGTGAGAGGATTTACCCCAGTTGGCCAAAGGTTCAGGTGTTGTTCTACATTGCAGGAAGGGACTGGGATGATTACAGCGCCGTCCACAAGCTGCCCTGCATCAGGATGTTTGCCTTCCACGAGACTCAAGAAGTGCGTGGAACATGTCGGCTAAAAGGTGAGCTGGGAATATGTGTAGCAGAGCTGGAGCCCCTGGCCAGTTGGTTCAGTCCGCCCACCATCAGGCCAGGTAGACAGAGGGTCTCAGAGCAAGCCCAGGGCACTCCTGTGGAGCTCTACTACATGGTTCAAAGCACGGACAGCGGAGACTGCAGCTCAGAGGATTCTAGGAAAAGCACCCCTGTACACACAGACCAGCCCAGGCCCATGGGATATTTTGCAGGGCACACACCTATGCAGCGCATTGGGAGTGTCAGACTGTTTCAGCCACTGTCCGAGCTCAAGCTGGACAATAACTTTGTGGTGATGGCACCATCCAAACCCATCCGACAGAGAGAAACACTTTCGACTTTCCTGGCTCTATCCACACTATCTTCAGTGCAAATTTTCACACTCAGGTGAGTTCTTGTTTCAACTTTTGTTCCCTGTAAAATCCCTTATATTTCTGCTGTGGATGCCAAGAAGCTGCATAAACATCCATCTTTGTGTGGGGGCAGCATCACACTACACTGTAAAGACTTCAATTTCATGAAAAAGGAAGGGTCCACCTCTGAAATGTTCCACCAAGATTATGCATCGAAAACTTGGAGGCAAACTTCATAACTTTGTGCCTGTAAAGTTTACAAGCTGCCATGTCAAAAAGGAGTTTGTATTAAGACCAATCCCTGGTTTTCCCCGTCTTTTTTCAATAGTTGTAAAGATTGATTTGAAAGTACCTGCGTTGGTGATTTAGCCCTGAGCTCCTCTATTTGAAAAGGCACTGTGGTGCACATCGTGTGTTGCAGGTGGTGTTGTCTTAAATCACATATGATGTCAGCACTACTAAGACAGAAAATGTTCCTCATCGCATCCTGCAAAGCATTTTCATAGAATCACCCTTCCATCTTATGGTGGATTTTGATTTGTCCAGGCACCAGATCTCCATCAGAGGTTATTTGGCCACATGGTCTGTAGAACAACTATGGGACAAAAGCTCTTATAGTCATCAATCTGCTTCTCATTGCCCTTTGACCAAAGATACCGTAAAACAAACAAATGCTGTAATCCAAATAGTTTTATTAAACTTTTTGATTGATTTACTTCACTAAGATAAGCATGTACTAAGAAACACCAAATCAGTGCCAACCCTTTACTTGGTGAGGGGGAGAGAGAGACTGTTAACATCCTAATTAACCAGAAGTTTTTGGCACTTAGGCCTGAGAAGCTATCTAAACACTTGACTGTTTGCTTTAGTTATTGTTATAATGCATAAAGCCATCTGTACAGTATCCAACGGGTGATAGAAAAGCATTAATTTTCATGGTCAATTTATTATTCATTTCTATTTCCATGTTATTCATATTTACTGATTGACTTAGAAATACCCATATAGTCTGCATGATGGTGCTGAAGCTAAAGTTGCACAAAAATGCTGTCAAAGCTCCATCATTTTTGGTCAGAAAAAAAACATATGGACCAAAATACAGTGACCCCAAATAAGTGAGATCACAAGTTGTACTTGATCAGTTTGATGTGCACAACATTCAAAACACAAACACACTCCATCTTCAATTATCAGAGGTCCCCCAGGTTATAGTTCCTGGATGTGGCTTTAGGGTGAAAGTCAATCACAAAGTGTGGGTAAGCAACAGCTACTCTACACCTTTGCTGTGGTCATAGGAGAGATTTTTGATGTCTCAGGAAACAGTCCATGTGAAGTTACAGGTGAGTTGTTGAGCTCGGTATCATATAAATAATCATTGAAAGTGACACTGATGGCTCCATGTTGTGAAATGAATGAATCCCATGGATGTTTAAGGGGTATCACTTCCCTGTCAACCTCTTTTATGCCTGAGATCTAAATCACAGTAGATGAAACAGTTAGCGTCCTCAAAGTGGAGCTGTGACGGAGCGCTTTGGCAATTTGTCAACCCCAACTGAGCAGGAAATCTGCCAAAAAGCCTCGTTGCTTTCTCTCACTTCAGTGGTGATGAACTCCAGTGAAGTATTAAAGCTCTCAGTGTGTGTTTTCACATATGTCAGCATGTGTGTGAAGGAGAACGTAGAGGTACTGTTTTTCCTTTTCACACCATACTGCACCTTAATCATTTATAGTGTTTATCTCTCATTAAAGAAAGTGTGGAGTTAAAGCCCAACCAAAATGTCCCTATGGCAGATAAAAACTCAAAACGTTTGAAACTCACAGAATTACTCCTGAGTACTCGGGTGCTAGCTTACCAGTGTTTATAAGAGGAGATTCAAACAGCTTTGTTCTACTTTATATCTTTGGGGGGTGCCTTTCTTATTCTTGCAAACAGATTTTCTTAAAGGAAAAAAATCCTTTAAGTACTGAAAATCCTCGTGCTGATGGTGTAATTCAAGCTCTGATCACTGGAGGAGGGGGTTGTAATGTGTTTCCGACTGGTTGTGCTGGATGCTGGGACTTGGTTTGGCCCCCCTGCTGTGTGTGTTTGCATTCTGTGGCCCAGTGTTTGCCTGTCCTCTGGTGTGTTTGTGAAAAGCTTCTTTACAGATTCATCTGCCGTGTTCCTCACGGTAGCCAAGGCATTATCAACTATTTATGGTCTCTCACTTCTCCATGGCAGTGGGTGCAACTTGTGAAAAAGAGCTGAGAATATCTCTGACAGCTTTTCATCTTGTACATGTGCTGCTGTCAGATCAAATTGGTAGATTTACTTTTCTCTAAACTGACTATTTGGACTCCTCTCTGCACTTTACCGTTTGTTTCTGTGATAGTGTTTTATTTTTAACGAAATAAGTATATGTTTCTTATACTCTTGATTCAAATAGTTTGGTCCTCTAATGTCCAGATATCTGACATTAAACTGTGACTGACAGAGTAGCATGCAGACAGAGAGGATAAACGATTAAAAGCATCACCACTGGGCGGCAGTGTTAGCAAGGAAGGCAAGTCCGACTGCCCAAGCTCAGGAAGATATGCACCTGTCATTCTTTCAAATTTGTACAGTATAAGCCTCAGCCTCCAAGAGAGAGAGAGAGGAAGGGAGGGGGAAAGAGAGAGGGCAAAGGGAACCACAACAACAGTTGATCCTCTTTTGTACGAATACCTCCAGCAGCTTGGACTGCTTAACACAACAGGCCGCTGGACTCGTGGCAAATCCACTTATTCCTTTCAATCTAAAAGGTGCATCAAAACCGTCACGCATGAGTTCAAAACCTCACTATTACCTCACCAAGCATCTTACTGACTATCAGAGGAGAAGTGCATACCCCTATGCACCCAATATCAACATGTATGCAACAGTCATTTCAGTGCATTTTTTTGCATTCATTCACAGCATATGACTTATTAGATTTAAAAATGTTAAAGTTAATACTTTAAAAACTAATGTCTCAGGCAAGTGAACAACTAAACTGAGATGGGTACTTCCAAAAATGAGCTAAATTTGGCAGCAGACTTAGTCCCATCTGCGGAAAACTGTAACTGAGGTTGTTCTGCCCTTTGAATGAGGAACTGCAAGTTCTTTTGGTAATTCCTCATCAAAAAGGGCAAAACTAACCACCATCCATTGTGGCTCGTACACTTATTAGAGAAATCTCATACAACCCTATACTTCAAAATGACCGAATACCCCTTAAAAATGGGACATAACCACTCAACCAGAGTAATACCATCACTTGTGTCCCCTGAGATACTCGGGCAATAATTCGTCAACATTAGTTTTAATCAGAAGTAATGCTCTCATTTCAAGGTTTTTCTCCCCCAGAGGTTAAAAGATAGATTTCGATTTTCAAAATTTCTTTTCCCCAAGTCTTAAATTGTAATAACTCCACAGTCATTTTGGCAATGCCTTTATAAATTATACCAATTCACCGCAATGTTCATATTGTATAGCCCAAGAAACCACTGCTAAACCTCAAATTTAGCCGTCCTAACAGAGGTACTGGTCGACTAGCTGTTCTTCCTTCTGCTTTACTGTGCAAATGTCTGATTAGATTTTATATAAGATAATGGGATTCAATTATATCGAATGTAATTGCAGGCAGTGGGATGAATACATATATATTTGTGGTTGTACAGAGCCATGCATATGCATAAATACACTAATTCCTGGAGACACACACACGCACACGTAGGCGTATTTGCACTTACACACACACATTCATGCGTGGAGGTGGTGTGTGTTAACCGTAAAGTCATACTGTGTTTGTCATGCTCCCCATGGAATCGGTAATTCCTGCTGGCTGCCTCATTAGCCATGAAGAGAGAGGTGGAACAGGTTGGAAAATGATTCTCCAGCTTCACCTTATTCAACATGCAAATGAAAACATCGTTTCATCCTGAACAAATTAACAGGCTTTTCAAAGATAAATTGGCCCAGCTGTATAGTAATTTTGACTAACAATCAAAAACAATCCCGACATATTTGCACAGATCCCCCCAAGGCCAGTGCTGCTGATGAATGCAAATGATTGTTTAATATCTGAGAGTGTGGTAGAAGTGTGAGATTCCTGCAGGGCTGTTTTTGTTATTCACAGACTGACGAGTTAAAGAGGCAGGTTTAGTGTCAGGTTATGAATAATGACGCAGATTTAGCTGGGGGTTTTCATGCCAGTTGATTGTGTTTGAGTTTGTTTCAGCTGTTTGTTTTTTGCCCATAGTAAAAGTTGAATCAAAGACGCTCTTCTTCCATAAGTTTACTCTTTCATAATCCAGTTTCTAAAGGTAACCTTAGATGGGTTTCTTTTTCCATTTCTATTCATAGCTGTACTTTGTCCTGTACTCCATCTGTCTCCCATTTTCATCTCTTCCCTGTGCTTTGTTCCACCTTCTCACCCTGTACAGTACATCCTCTCGTCTTGACATCTCGCCTTCCCTCTCTGCTGAAACACACAAAGACACCGCTATTTACTTTGTAGTTCAATGAAACCTACTTAGAGTAAATTTGTCACAATGTTCAGTTCAGAGTCGCCTTATTCATTTTTTCGCCCATCTTTATCCCCTCATTTGCTCACCAGTGTTTACTTTGAAAGCACAGTCCTTCCTGTTCCCCTCATTAATAAGTCATTAGTGGTTTGCAGCCATGGAGACGGTGCACTAGTTAGAACTTTCTACTGAGCATTGGTTGCTTGCAGCCAGTCATTCAAATCCTCGTATTTTCCTCCCTGATGATTTTCATCACTTTCTCTCCACCTGAATTTGTGTGTACACTGATGAATACTACCCTGTCGCTTGACATCATGTTTTTCTTCGCTCTTGTTGTGTATATCTGTCTTTGAAAAGGTTTGCATGTCCCCCTGGAGATTTTTGTGATCCACAGTTTGGCAGAGGGTTGTTCAAATGGAGCACACCATTCAGAGTGACACATACCATAGAGAATTCGGGGTCAGAGGCCGACTCAGTCTCTCCTGCTGGGTGTTTTGAAGCTAAAAAAAAACCCTGCAGGATTTTTATACTGGTGGCAGAGAGAAATGAGGGGAGTTGGAGTTCTGTTTTCCTGTGAGAGTTTTGCTCTGTGATATCTGCTCTTTTGATAGGATGGCTCAAGTGTCAGTGTTGGGTAGGGCCTCCTTTCAACATCTTCAAAAATGTATCAGGGGCTAAAACCAAAAAGGTTTGCCTAGAAATTTCCACATCTATTATACTGCATTACTTTCTTGACACAAGCCTTAAAAAGAACTCAAAAACTGAACATTGACAATAAAGAAAACAGACCATAAACTAGATGATAAAAACTGTGAATAACAAACCAGTCAGATGGTACCATTTTTACATCTTAGAAAAGCACCTCAAACACAAACTTAAACTAACTTTTGAATATTCATATAGGCTGACCCTTTTGATTAAACTGTAACACAACTTCGACATTTTAAACAAAGGCACTAAATCCTGGCTGAAAGAGGAGCAGCCTAAAACATGAGCATACACGTAAGCAGCCTTTTTACTGTATATAACCACAATCACCAGGGTCTCCATCTCAGGCAAGATGTCTGCTGCCATAGTGTAGAGTTCCTGCAGTGAAGCATGTCAGGTATTATGAAAATTACATCAAAGAAAACTGGATTTGATTTGGATAGTCATTTTTTAAAATAATGTGAATATTTGAAGTTCATAAAATAGGAAAAGAAAAGCGGATGATTAACAGATTAACAGATGTATAGTCAGCTCCGCCTACTTACGTGGATACGAATGTACGAATTTGAGTACGAATATTCCTTTGGGTATCAATAAAGTTTTTGAGGTTGTATAACTTGTCACATAGCCAATAATGATAATATTAGAGCCTGTAATGTAACTTTTGAAATTAATGTTTTATGTGAAAAACAGTTACAGCCATATTGTTACAGTATATGTAACAATATGTTATTTTTTAAGAAGCAACATGTTACATTTTGGATCAGTTATTACATTTTGGGTTTTATTATTATTTTTATTTACTTGTGTATTTATTTTACATTTTGGGCTCAACACTTTTATTACATTATTGCCAAATTATTTCATTTTAGGCTTTATTAAATTTGCTTTAATAAAATCAGATTAATCAGATTACTATTTTTCACATAAAAGATTAATTAAAAAATGTGATGGAGATAATTAACAGATAAACAGATGTGTGTCAAGGTCTGATTTCTTCAGGTTCTGTATGAATGAAACCATTGTTCCACAAAGACATACCACAGTATACCTGAACTGTAATAATGTTCCTTAGACCTGAATCTTCAGAATCAGTACATTTACACTTACAGTTGTAGGCTATATTGAACTATATTCTGCATCATACAGGATTATCATGATTGATTTTGTTTCCCCCCCCTTTTTTTTTAGCAGTGTTTGCAACTTCCTATCTGTTATTAACATCCTCAGGCAACACCTCCGCACTCATCTGCTCTTAACTAGAGCTTCTGCTGTCAGAGAAAGATGATACATATGTAGGAGTTGACAAATAAAGTGGGATTAAGAAGTGAAGCAGCCCTTGCAGAATAAGCTGTGCTGGCTAAATGTGGGTTGGTGTATCACGCTCACAGACAATCATAAGCTTGGCCTTCTTGTCACTAGTTTGTCCTTTATGGTTCTCATATGAATTTACTTTGATTAGTTTGATTTCAGTGGCCTGGCAGCAAACACAAAGTCGTGCATATTTTAATGTAAACTTGAAGCAAAGTGATGAAGTGAGAGAGAGATGATGAAAGGCTGTTGTTGTCAGACATCAGCAGTTCAGGAAATCTGACAACCGGCCACAAAACGCACCAACTCCTCCAAGCTATAAAAGATCTTGCCTCACCCTCAGAGGGGTAGGAGAAATGTGCTGAAACAATTAAACGCTGATTAATCAAGGAGTCCAAGACTTGGAGAAGGAATGAGAAGCAAACATTCTGAGATAACCGTTTGAAAAACATCTGTTTTTGTCCCATTTTCCATCAGTTTCCACTTTGGCATTTAAAGCTCCCGTGGGTAACATTCAGCCTGTGTCAATTTTAGCACCCCAGTGGACATAGCAGACTTTGCTTATCTTTTCCTCTATATGTTAAAGTAGTGCTATGAATATCTCCCGTCCAATCCACAAACCTAAAAAAAATCCTCACAGGAGCTTTAAGTAACTGTGAGATCAGACAGTATTCTGCGATCAGAGCCATCATCCCAAATTCCAACTCTGTCCTCAGTTTTTTTTTTCTCTCGCTCACTCATGTTTGGTAAATATTAGGTCTACAGACATAAACTGAGATGGGACATGGAAAAATAAAAAAAAATCTCTTTGATCTGGCACCATTGCTTCTAAATGTATTACTTCACTGAGTTCTCTTATTTGAAATGAAAAAAGTCATGATGGCAAAAATAAACAAAAAATAATAGAAATAATAATGATGAAACTGAATTCCCAAAAGTTTTAAAAGGTTTGAAAATATCTGAAAATATTTTGCACTTAGAGGCAACAAACTTGCCACTTTTAAAAATGTGATCAATCTGCTGCATTTTAAATTGGATTGAAAAATAAGGACATTTCTAAGATGCAAGAACAAAGACACAGTGTTCTCCACTGCTTCACAATGACAGTGATGCTTGGCTAACAGAGCAGCAGTGTACTCCATAAAGATGAAGAATAATAACTTGAGGTGCATACTGAAGGACAAAAAACTTTACTTTGAAATACAATAGAACTTAAAAGAGAAGCTGCTAGTGCTTTTTAATTTCCACAATAAAGCTGTTATACCACAGGTGCTGCAAATATTGAATAATAAAAAAGAAGAAGAAAGAGAAGAAACATAAAAGATTTGAAATTCTTTCCATCACTACCAGATTATATTCTTAAAACACAGCTGGGGCTCTTTCATAACACAACAGAAGCATCTGCAGTCTCCCATCAGGGTTTACAGCTGTTATCTGAAATACTTTGGCAGCCAACAAAAGAGGGGAAAAATCAATACAACACATCATGTAAGTCAAATGAAAACAGACCAGAAATGCAGGAAGAAGCTGCAGGTTGGAGCTTCATGAAAGTGAAATGTGAGCTGCTGTATGACTGCTGGAGAATCACGTATTGATTTTAGTAGGGGTAGATCAGTTCTTTTAGATTAACAAGAGCATTTGATGGATGACTTAGATAATGTGCTTGAAAAATAACACCCACACAGCACTTCCACTTAATGCTAAAACAAGCTTTGCAATCTTGCCCTGTTTTGGAGAAGCCTTCCCTGTTTTGCTTAGAAGCAAAAGCTAAATCACTTTTCTGTGCATGAAGACACACGTCCTCCAAACAAATGAAATATCAACAAGCGAGAACAAAATAACAGCTTTGATAAATTGAAGAACTATAATTAAAGTAGAGGCTAATGTAGTTGACCGTACATCAGTCAGTGAAAGAGTTTTTTCAGCTGAGATTTCTTTGGTCTAAAAAAGTAAAGCAGGATTTTGTCAGACCTATCTATGGCCTCACAGTTGATCCATGAAACTTTCACCTTCCACCAAAAACATTCCTCTTTTGTGTGTTTTGCCTGTCATTTCTCAAACAGTTCACTGTTCCGTCATATACTAAGGTAATCGTGCAGAGTTTGAGGTGGTGACAAAAACAGCAAAAAGACACAGTGGCAAAGAAGTGGAGTGAGAAAGACAGGAGGAAAATCAGCTGACAGAGCTGAGCAGGAATCATAGGATTGATGTATGATTCAGTGTGCAGCTTGGAGCAGAGTCTTTGGCTGTGTTTGGAGCTGTAGTGCTGGTCAGTGGAGCTGTAGCTGGAGGTCAGCCATTGATCTGCAGATAGAAGCTGCTACTTTGGATACAAGCCTTCATCATCCTGCAGGATGCATGACCACTGAGAGCAGATGAGCCTTTCTGCCACAATGAGTGAAGGGATATTTGACTGTTTGAGTCTAACCATATACAGCAAGTCTACTGAAGTTGCTAAATTGGGTTTGTGTGTTTGTGGTCTGTTTTTTGTCAGCCCTGCTCTGCAGAGTATGAGAGTCAATATTGTGCAGCTAAATGTGGTGATGTGAGTTTTTTTCATCGCCTCCTACTTGTAGTGGAGCCTGATGATGGGGACTTTTCAGCAATGCCCACTAGTGCACATAATGAAGTGCAAATTAGACTAATTTAGTGGTTGACATGCTAGGTTTTTACAGATCAGGCCTGAATTGATTTACCTGCAATCTAAGCTCTGCGTTTTCCAATAATGTGAACTCAGAGTGCAAGGAGAGGTGTGCAGATATGCCAGACCGGCTGTGCTGTGAGAGAGGCAGAGAAATGTATTTGCAGAAAACCTTGAGATTGCAAATAAAACTGCTGGGAGTCCGCTCTGCCACACTTGATAGATATTTGTGATGCCACTCTATCATCTTTTAGACAGACAATAGCTGAGGTGTTTTGTTAACATGGTGACTTTCATCTTCTTTGTCACGTCTCTATACCAGCACCCACTGTACTGCTATTACATGTCTCTTAGCAAATGTCAACTCTGACAAATACAACAAAACAAGGGCTGTCAATTGATTAAAATATTTACTCGGGATTAATCGCATGATTTCCAAAGTTAACTCATGATTAATTGCTAATTGATCACACATTTAATCTGTTCTAAATGTCCGTTAAAAGGATATTTTATTTTTGAACTCTCTATTTAACATTAGAGTGGGAAAATAGGCTTACGATTTGCAAATATATTGCAACATTTCAAATTTGAGCCCAACAAGAAACAACAAACGGCCATATTGACATGAATGTAAAATTACTATTACTAATATTGGGTCTTGCTCCAAGCTTTTTTATAAAATTGCTTGTGTTCATATGAGTCGTCCTGCAATCTGAGATCTTCTGGTGACGCCCTGATGGTCGTTCAAAAGTGGAAGCTCAAATCTAAAGGAGATCATATTTTTCCATCATAGCCCCTCGACTCTGGAACCACCTCCCTGAGGATATAAGACACGCAGAATCAATGATTTTTTTTACATCCCCTCCTAAAACTTACTTTTACAGACTTGCTTTTATGTGAATTTACTTTTTAGCTACTTTTTAATATAACCCCGTACTTTTTCAACTTCGTTTTATTAAAAAAATCTCATATTTTACTGCTTTGGTTTGAACCATTTGTTTGCAAGTCCTCATTTGAGCCCCTTTTTCTACTGTCTTTGATTACATTTACTTCATTTATCTACTTACGTATTCGTTAATTTTTTGTTGATTTGGTTGTTTGTGTCTCACAGCTCCTCATCTTCTAATCTGTTTTCATTCTGAAGTGATGTGATCTATCTTTTTACCTTTTTGTCTCTCTACTTTCCTCTTTGCTTTTGCTTTTTCCCTCTTCTGGGAATCTTTATTGCATACACTATGACTTAAGATCTATTTCTCCTTTGCTGTCATAATAGTTATTTACTCTGCTTTCACTGTAAAAGCACATTGTACATTTCTATTTTTAAAGGTGCTGTATAAATAAAGTGATAATTATTGTTATATTATGATTAGATCTAGCTGGCTTTTGTGTTTGCCCCTGGTGTCTCAAATTCTCCCACCACAGTATATTTTTATAATTTGTGGTCTAACAAGAGGGTGTGATTAATAGTCAGCCATTTGTAAGAACTGTGATTGAAATGTTTTAGCACATTGCCTGAGATTGATTGTTTCTGTAATGACTTTAGATTGCTGTCATTTGCATATGTATGGCAATAATGCCTTTTTGTTCTCTCTCTCTTTCGCATTTGTGTACAAACTGCCTGACAGACAAAGTCCCGTGTAGCTCCTTATTCTTCTTTATCAACCTCATCCTTCATCGATTCTTCTTCCCGAGACATTTTCCTTGTATTGTATGTGTCCTGTCCCAAACAAAGGGGATCGTGGTTTAGAGAAATTAATCTGCTGAATTGTTCTGCTCCCAAGGTGCACTGGGAAAGAAACCAGCCTTTACAGTTGAACATCAGAGCAGCAGAATATGATCAACTTCATTCTAGGATCAACATGTTTCCAGATTTGGTGTCTATCTCAGTATACTTGGGATGACCCAGCATTACTGTTGCATGTATCTGTTGACAGTATGCATGCTAATCGGTGTAACCCTTCCTACATCAGGTTCACGAACTTGCCCTAATCTATCCCACTACATCCTGAGATTATTCCACCCGGCCAACTTCTACATGCATCCAAATAGTGGATCAGTTCTGGATCATCCATTTGGCCCAGCAAATCCAGTGCAGAAACACATTTCTATCCACTGGATGAAACCTTATATGTTAAATAGATTAAGTGGAAGCAGTGTGTGCATGTGTTCGCTCTAACTCCTATTTAACTGGCTAGGCTCCCATTCAGATGACTGCCACAGGGATCAAGCTGCTGTCTGTCTGCCACAACATGACCCCATTTCCTCAGCTAATCTACAGCAGCAGTGGTAGTAAGTTTCTGAAATCCAGCATCAGAGCAAATGAAAAATGAGAGTTTGTAGTATACTGCTTGGACTGCTTGGCATATATTTTGGCAGTTCTAAAAACAAAAAGGAAAACAAGCCTGACATAAATGTCATATTTGTGTTAATCTGAAATCCCATGCGAACTCCTCAAATCCCTGACACTAATGTTCGTCCAAACATACAGTATGTAGGGCAGCAGATTTGTAATGGTCTTGAGTTTTATGCTTTGAGTCTTGAGTCGTGAGTAGAGTCAGGCTGGTTTACTGAAGGTGACTAGCTTTTGGCCGCAGTGGATGTTGCGCTGTCACACCCCTCAGTGTCATCATCCTGTTGGCCTGCTTTTAAGTACACAAATGCAACACACACTGGGCTCTTTGTCACTTCAGTCAATACCCTCCCACACCCAGCCTGGTTCTTGATTCAGTGTATCAATTATTCTTTGTTGTTTTATTCTTTGACTGTGTTTTTTCTCTTTGAAATAATCTGAAATATAATGCAACAGAGAGATAATGAGAGCTTTGGGCTGACATAAAAAGATCAGTCATTTACTGCTCTGAGTTATAAGCTTTGATAAAATTAACTTTTTTTTGGAGTTCAGCTCCTTAATGTTTCTCATTGTATTTGTCTGTTTCCCATTTGAGTAAATAATCATTCATTTATCATTCATGTCTCTTCTATGATTGCAAATGTACAGATCAATCTGAACCCAAACAGAAGCTGCATTTTTTTTCTGAAATAGGCTCCATACTTGTGATATCATACCATATATTCAAATATGAAGCAGAAATCAGATTAATTTGTTTTTCAAATACTCTGTCACTTTTATTTTAAGATCTTAAATAAAGCATCTCTCAAGGAAACTTCCCCAACCGTCATCTACCTTTCATTTGCTCATTACCCCCAATTTCCATTGCATCGGAACCGCACCTCTCTTTTCATGCCGTCCAGCAATTCCTACAGGATGCATTTGTGAGGCGAATTTCGTGGCAGGAATCGCGAGGACTCACAAGAACCCACAAATTCACATGCAATTGCGCAATGACATGTTGTCTCTATAAAGACACCCACATAACCGTATAAGCAGTAAATCCACTCTGTCCAGACCAGTAGATCAGTCACTTTTGTGGGTGAAGTGACGTCTGAAAGCCTTTGACTTGTTCATCCCCGCCCACGTTTGCATGGTGTGAAATACGATCTGCCTGAAACACGTTGCGTTTTATTTTGAAAAGTAGCCAGATGTTTTATTTTGTGTCTGTGCCTGACTTCCTTTCCAGCAAAATAGAACCCTGGCGATCGGCTACGAAGCCCGCTGAACAGCAGGGGGTGGAATGAAGCCGGTGGAATCTGACACATTAACTTGAATGGAAATGATCAGCGACGATTGGTAGCGATTGGCGCCAGTGGCCTTTTCGCCACTGTTCCGCATGCAATAGAAATTTAGGGTTATTCTGCTGATGGAAAAAAGAGGATGACGCAGATTTGCAAAAAAAAAATACCCCAGATGATTCAATTGGTACAAAAAATACTGTCCAGATTTTCAAGCCATGGGCTTCTCTGAACTCACTTGAACTGCTTCCCTCGGAGCCGTGATTGCTCTTGATGTGCCGTGAATTCTATCCTGACACAAGGCTGCAGCCTGCTCACATTTTGAACCTGGACTCATTTGAAGTCTCTTCTCTGACAGTCATCCTTTCAATTCTTTTATTTTCTTTGAAGCCAGGAGATTGTGCCCAGACCTCAGCACCAAGCTCCATCTGCCAATCATCTGGCTGCTTTTTCTTTTAATTAAAAATAAAGAGTAAGAAAGAGATGTTAGAAGAGACATCTTACTCTGTTTTCAATCATCAAGGAATGGAAGAAATGAGAATTTGGTGATCGGCATCAACCCTTAAATATGCAGAGTTTTTCTTGGTCAGAACAGATTCTTGTATGAAGTTACATGAGGGAATATGTGTATAGTGTTTGTTGACAATCATCTCTTCTACAGAGTAGCACTTAAGGACGTATTTCCTTTGCCCATCTTTGTCCAACTTCATATTTGAGCCCTACACTCCCAGAGCACCATTCATTCACTGTTTGGTTTGAATCACACAGATCTTGACCTGTTAAGAATGTTGAGATGAGAAGGCAGGAAATGTCTTCAAACAGTGAAATGACTTCTCAAAGATACTTAAGGTCAGTTTTCCCATTTACAAGGGTAAAGTGAAGGATCTGGTGACACTCACACAAGGCTACGCTTTTCAACAGCACTTTTCCAGCTGTGCCAGAGGAAATAAGAGGTTATGAGGAAGGTTAGCCCATGATAGCCGGCCAATGATAGTACATTACTTTTTTCTTCACATTTCTGCGATGGCTCTTTTTGGCAGAAAAAAAAGGTTATTTCAACTTGGCTTCCTTTTTGAAGAAGTTGTAGACTGAAGATTTCACAGCCTTGTAAAGCCTCCGAACTTGAAAGCACTGTAAACTATAAATGTCGATGATATGACAATGCCCTGGAAGGTTAATTACAGATTTGTTCATCCACTGATGTTCAAGCTTGTGGAGTAGCAAGTATATGAGTGAGAAAACTGCTCATAGTGAGTGTTCTTTATATAGAAATACATCACTTAAGTTCACTTCAATATGGTGTGTAGATAGGGGAGTATTTGACATTATCTAACAGCGTCAGATTGATGATTGAAACACTTCTCTACTCACCTTTCCTGTAGGTGAAATGACAGTGGAAGCTCCTGTGATACATAAGAAGTATGATCCTCATTTGTAGAGTTTTTGCTTTCAAGATCATATATCAGAACTCTTTGCTCACAATAACCACTTTGTCTTCTTTGTCATCTGCCAACTGGTGAGTTTGTCATGGTTATTCATTAAAAGCCAAATCACATGGAATACTAGTTTGTCCATTGATGAAAACATAGTAGATCAAAGTTTTTTAGCACAGTTTTTTACCATGTTGACAGTAACGACATCAACTGAGAAACAAACAAATCACTCGAGGAAGTGATTTGGTTCAGTACGTTCACTTAAAAGATTTGTTCTTTTGATGAATCGTTCATGAACAACACAACACTAACATGGATTTCTCTGAGCACTATCTCGATCTTCTGCTTTGTTTGAATGTCTTGTTCGGGATGTATCTCTTTTTTTCTGTGCCATTACAACTTTCCACATTGTGATAAAATTGAATTTGCTCAGTTCAACTTTGAGAACATTTCAATTTAAAGAACATCTATGACCATTTCTTCATGGACATGCAATCAGATCGAGACACTAAGGCAGAAAAACTACTGCGTCTGCAGTGCAAAATGGTTATTATGGTGATTATTTCTTCAAGGAAATGATAAAGTAATGATCATGCATGTTCTTCCTTGAGCTGCATCACCCCACTGTAGTCCGTAATGGACTGGTTGAGGTCTCACTACAGACAAGCGGCTGCTGGAAGAGAGTAGGTGAGTTGTGTTTAGTCTCTTTGCTAAAGAAACCAGGCAAAGCTAAAAAGATGTTTGGTGGCTAGTACTATGGCTGGGACCCTATATGTACTGTTGATGAAGTTAGGTGCTGTCTGAGCATTATTTGTGGCTGCAGAGTGGCATTTTGGTTGAGGTTTGTGTGTGGCTCCTGAGACTGCTGTATATTGCTATCATGAGGTTGTTGCTAAAGTTGGTATAACTAGAGAAACAAGCGGTTGGCAACATTCATCTGTCGAGGGGGGTGTCTAACTCGGTGTCATGGTGTGTTAAATTTAAGACGGAATTACCCTTTAATTTGGTCGTTAGAGCATTACACATGCGCTTTTCCAAGAAAAATAAAACGTTCTGATTCTGGTTTTTATCTATGATATTCTTCCATTTTTTTACTCTGGCCTTTTTTTTCTTGTGCTGAAATTGTGTGTGCAGCTTTTTGGCTTGATGAAACATCCCTTATTTACACCACTTTAATTTTAGTACTTTTGCTACTGCAGCCACAAGGTTAATGAAGGAGCGACATTAAAAATCTTTTTTCACACAACGGTTTGGTGCCAGCAGGAAATGGTACAGATTTTTCACACCACGCAGAGCTTTGTGCGAGTCTGCTATGCCAGAAACTGTAAAATGACAGTTAAGGATCAAAAACTACTGTGAGAAACCTGGTGAAGGTTTATCCACCCAAGTCATTACCATGAATAAAGCAGCAGTGTGTCACTCTTGGATCCTTGATCAAGTTAAAAACTTGAACTGCAGCTGTGTTTGGATCCTGCGAGGGAGGAAGGATGTCTGAGAATAGACAGACACAGGCAGAGGAAGGTAAGTAGGAAAAGTGAGATAAAAGGGTGAGACTATGAAAATTATGGCCAAATGAATAGGAGGAGATGAGCTTTGTCTGTCTTGCTGCTTTTTATCTGATCGTGTTCATCTTGTCCTCGGTTTGCAGCGTTGTCTCGCACCAGCAATTTGAACCACCCCTGATAATGAGAAGAACAGCATCAAACTCAGCAATTGAATTAGCGCTCTCTTTATCTCGGCATTAGCCTGTGTGCGCTCAGCCCTAAAAACACTCTGCAGACAACTATTCCTCTGCTAATTGACTCAGAGCAGCTCCCTGTTTCAACTCCCACATTATTGAACCAGCTCCCCGCCTGCCTCACCTGCCAATGGCTACTATCTCATTTAATTTTACCCCAAGGTGGTGGAGATTATTTTGTCCTGGGTAAAAGAGATAGGCGTGGGAGAAGGTATAAAGAAAGCTGTGATTCTGTGTGAACAGCTTGAATATTTATTCAGTAACTGGATTTAGCTGCAGGTGTTAATAATGAAGGGACACCAGCTCTTAAACAAGCATAATGTGATTTACCCAGTTTCTCCTGCTGTCAGTAATTCAGTGATGTTGCTGGGCATGCGGTGTCTCTGACATATCAATGTCTATAAGGGGGCATTAACCTCCATATTCAGGCATGGTTTTCCTGAAGTCCTGTCTTCCTACTGGAAAGTCAACTCTCTTAAACGCAGCTGTTGTTGATTCTGTTGAATTAGCTCCATCTGCTACACCTTGCTTGCATACCCCACCTCCTTTACGTTCTTTTGGCTGACTGCCCACGTTAGTTAAAAATGTCCATCAAAGGTCATCATTATAATTGTTTCAACAAAGCTCATACTTGGTAAATTCAGGAAGTAGACTGGTGCATTAAAAGAGCAGAGTTTATTATTATCCTCACAGGGGCTTTAAAGCTCCTATGTGGATTTTTTTTTATGGTTTGTGAAACAAACTGAGATTCATACTGATACCTTTTAATGTTATTCAACAGCAAACAAGACTTCTGGTAATGATTACCATTTCTGTGCCATAACCTTTAGTACACAGACTAGTGTGAGGGGGCAGGTGTCAGCCAAGCAGCTGAAAACACAGCCCTGTTTTTCAGTTTCCTCTTGACTGTCAGTGGCAGCAGGATGAGAGTTTTTGGTCAAAAGTCAAGACTTAAGTGTGTTAAAGACAAAACAAGGAAAGACAACAATGTCCACAGAATTGGCAAACTAAGATTTACTCACAGGGGCTTTAAATGCATTTGAATACACTGGATGAATGCACAGGATGCAAACAGAAAATGAGGCCCTTGATATCTAAGTGCCACAGGGGTTGGATGATATAGATTTAGAAACTTGGTCATGTTTCACTGTGCGTTCTGTAGTTCTACTAGTGTGAGAGCTTTCTGTGTTGTCAGATCTCAAGTATGATTTCTTATGATATAACTTAAGAGCATGTGCCAACTGTCATTTATTAGTTTGTTGACGTTATGTCAGACAGAGACAAAGAACATTGTGTGTTTTCTTAGTAATGACAGTAAGTCATTGTTTTGTCACCTGGGTGCCTTATATGAATTCAAAGGCATCCAGGAAACGTTGTGCAAGCTGCATTCATAGAAGGTCAGGGATGCATTTTTTCCCTCAACCTGCCCGACTGCAGTGTGTGTAACTCACAGCACATATGGATTTACTAAGGGACAGTAAATTCTCTTACAGGGTGGCCCCATGCATAGAAGACAGAGGGTTGAATTGCACCTGAATGTGGGTTATATGACCCACCATCGGAGTACTGCAGTTTATCATGAGGGCTGTGGATAGCAGGGATACATAAACTTCAGTATAACTCTCATATGCTTTTCAGTTCATGTTCTCAAGCGCTGTCCCTCTTGCTTGTCTTTGTTTTCTTCGTATTCAGTTAATGAATTTGATGATGGACAGGTGTTCACTTGTATACAGTGCAGGGAGGTAAAATCCCACCACAAGGGGTCACTCAAGAGGCATTCAGAGAGCCTGTCAATGACAGAATGATCATGAACAGCTGTACACAAGGCTGCATGTTTGTCATCAGATCTCTCAAAGTTTAAGCTAATACTCACTTTAATGGTGACATGATGACTAAACACTGTAAAAACATCTGAAAGGCTTTTTAGCCTGTATGACAGCTGAATAATACCCAAGAGTTCATTTTATTGACACCAGGTAGACTAAAGGAGCAAATATACTCAAGAGCTACTCATATTGACAGTTTGATGTAATGCTAATGATGAAAAGCAATTAGTTTGTAATTCAAACTGAATGCAAACAGAAGAACCAAAGACAGTTTTAATACAAGTCAGTTTAATAATGAAAACCGAAAAAGAGAGGAAGTCAGTGCTGCACATCACCCTCATAGGACTGAAAGTATTTCAACTACAGGATTAGGATTTAACGCCGGATTGTAAATACTTTTATCGTATAGCCTGTGAGTATGGATGGCTATTGCTAACATAGTGTTGGAGCTCAGTCTCTCTGCAAGTTTGTGGTAATTACTGCACATTGGTTTTGGAAAGAAGAGGGCAGATGGAGATCTGTGCTCTCTGAGTTGTTATTGTTTGTCCACACCAGCAGCCTTTATCTCTGCCATCAGAGAGGCAGAGTCCAACATGAGTCCAGTTATTACCACCTCAGCAGGCTGGATCAGATCAGAGAAGAGCGGGCGATCACTGAAGATGTAATGACTGTGCTCTTGTAAGGACTGCCACATGGTTTGTCATGCTGTTATTCTCCCGTTAATGCTCACTGTCTTTCCTCCATCCTTTACAAGTCTGTCACAGCTACAGAACAAAAACAGTCTCTGATTATTTCCATGCAGAGTAAATTACCCAGCATCCTTCTCCATTAGCAGTGTGTCCTTCTCTTCTTATTTTTATGCTGCTGGTGTTTGTCTTTAGATCCGCCTGGTCTTGCCATCCCTGCTGTCTCTTTTTTTCCAACACAGTTAAAATGTTCCAACACTGTTTTGCTAGTGGTTTGAACAACAACAATTTGGCATGCTTGAAAAAGAGGAAACTGAGAGGCGGTTGTGTATTTCTTTATGATTCATTTGACAGAAGATGATGGGGAGTGTGTCAGTTCAAGGAAGAGGAGGTCATGGTTCTTCTGCACCTGCAGGGTCTGCTCAGCTGCTTTTTCTTGTTTGCATAAGTGTATTTCAGAGAGACCCTGAGTGTTTGAAGAGTTTGTTTTGTGACCTCTCAAAGACCCTCAAAGCACCTCTTCCTGTCACATATTTTTGGTAACTTGTTTTTTTTTGTTCCAGAAAGAGAAAAAGTGAGAGTTCATGTGTGTTTTTCTTGTGAGCAATTCTGGTGACAGCTCAATTATCATCTGATTGAATGTTTTGTTCTCTTTTCTGTTGCTGTTTGTAGGGTGAAGCTGAAGGATGGTGTGGCGTTCCTCGGAGCCAGAGCCAGTAACCCTGTTGTCTGGACGGTGAGCCAGGATGTCAGGAGCGAAGGCCACAGGATCGTCACCCTCCACTGCCGGAGGAAGGAGAACAGTTTCAGTCAAAGGTACAATTCCTTTTTCTGTAATGCATGCATAAATGAAAAATGAGATGAACAAGCTGCTGAACAAACACAAAACAGCAGCATACATTTTCATTTCCTTGACATCTGTCAGTAGAGAGTGATTGCTGATACAGGAATTGGCTGAGGATGTGGCTCAGCATCTGAACTGTTTGCTTGTTGGCAAAGGACTGCTGAAGTCCAATACAAACACTTCATTCAGTCACACTTTTAACTGGCTGACAAGTCCATTTATTATTACAATGGGCATGGACCCTCAAGTTCACTTATAGTCAGCCACAAACTTACACTGTATTTGTGGGGATGTCAGCAACTGAGAATAGTCCCAAAAAGATGCACAGTTTGCTCACATTTATGTCCAAAGTTTAGAGTTATTTGATATAAACAGAGTCCTTGTTGTTTGATGAAAAAGATGAACTGTAAGTGAAGAAATCCATCCTAATATGCATTCATAAATAAGATAAGATAAGAAGAATTTTATTTATCCCTGAAGGGAAATTTAATAAAGAGCCATGGAGTACTTACGATCCACAAAAGCTGGAGCAGAGTTTTCCGTCTCTAATCTCAAGTGAACCTAATCGTATATGCTCCTAGTGAAGGAGATTCAGTTTGTTTGTAGAGATCCAAATCATTCAGCTCGGCAAGAACTGACTCTTTCAGCTCCCAAATAGCTCTTCACACTATTGTACGGGTACAAGAGCTGGGTTTTAGTGCAGTTTCATTCAAAATCGGCATAAAACTTGTCTGTGTAGCCTTGTATGCTGCCATGGTACTGCATTCAGTGAAGTCAGTGAATATGACCAAATCTAAGAAATCTGAATTTGAAATATGCCACTATTTGTCTCGAGTTTTCATGGACAGTTCAGACTTTCTAGCTTTTGTGGTATTTCAAATGAGCCATGAAAAAATAGAGAAAAAAAAATGGAATAAAAGTGGAACAGTACAGGGTCAGAAATTGATCCTGTCAATTGCTAAATAAAGGGGGCCTCTTCATCCCAAAACTGAGAGATATTCATACCAAACTAGTCATATCACTTCACATAACAATGCTAAAAAACTGAATAATAAACCAGCTTCTGCAGCTTCTTTTCCTGCCTCTCTCTTGTCTGTATATCAGAGCTCCACAGGGTCAGGTTGATACTCACAAACATATGAACGCCATATTGCACTGTTTACTACTCTGGGGGTCTGCTCTCCCACTGAATCAGAGCTACTGGGGTCAAGACTGATGACAGGGCTACCAACTAAAGGCTCATTCGAGTTATATTTTCTGTTGCAATGAGATTTTATTTTTTTTAATTCATAGAGAGATGATGCAACCCAGACTCCATTACAGAATGAACAATTACATTCAATATTGTGTTTTGAGGTAGTTTGCTGAGGGACCATGTGTTTAAATGACCTTTAGTTCTGCATGTATTTAAGCCTTTGTGCCAAACTGATGTATGAATACATGTATTTTTCACCCTTGAAAGGATATTCCAGCATAAATTTAAGTTCTGGTCAAACACACTGTAACACTTCCCTCGGTGATCGACTTGTCAGGACTCCCTCACAAACAAGCAGCTGCTGGAGGAGAGTAGGTGAGTTGTGTTTGGTCTCTTTGCTAAAGAAACCAGGCAAAGCTAAAAAGATGTGGTATAGACCGCTGTGTATTGCTATTGTACGGTCGTTACTAAAGTTGGTATCACTAGAGAAGCAAGCGGTCGGTGACATTCATCTCTCGAGCGGGCGTTTAACTTGGTGTTACGGTGTGTTTGCCCATAACTTAAATTTACGCCGGAATATCTCTTTAATGCCTGGACTACACTTCCTATATGATCCATATTGTACTCCACAACCAACCAGTGTTTTTGTGTTGCATTTCTAGGCTCAACAAAAGACTTCCTTTAAGTACTGGAATGATAATGAGGCACCTGCAGGAATCTTGGGGTTTTTGGGTGTCTGCAGCTCAAACAATGAACAATATAACCACAGCAAATCAGATAATCATTAAGCACTGTTTATATTTGGCTTATTTTGATTAAGATACTGAACTTTGATTCAGCCAACTTTTTTTACGCAGTTAAACGTAGACTAGTCAGAAGTCACAGATTACAGTAGTCCAAATTATGGGATTTGCATAAAAACCTGTGGAAAAAAAAGTGTACAAATAAAACTTTTCATTAAATTCATCAGAATTGTCTCATGTGGAGCAGTTTTACCGTCAACAAAAATTAAGTGCAAATATTTCTACATTAGCCAAATCCGGGATGAGTTAATGGATAATGCTGAGATAGGAAGCCAAAGATGTTGAAGTGGCATGTGCTGAAAGACATTGAATTTGTCCTAAAGTCAATTGGAGCTCACTTTGCTGACCATTAAAACAGCATCACTGCCAGAGGCTGTTAAAATGACAGTGGGAGCAGCAAGTGTCCTCTCTGGCTCGAGGTAGAAAGTGTGATTCTACAGCCGATAGTGTTAACTCCGAGTGACAGGGTGACTCAGTCAGGCTTGGTATCTAAACTCCCAAAAGCTAATCAGAAGAGTCAATAGACTCTTGTGTGTCAGCTCCAGCACCCTTCTCTCACAGCCATATATCCTCTGTTCTGATCTTTTGAGCTCTGCAAAGGCTGAGGCAGGTGATATGTGAAAATGGATAAAAATGTCAGGGCTGGTACAGAACAGGAAAGAAGGTGAAACAAAGTCTAGAGGAAGTCAAAACAGAGGAGATGTCCAAGTGTAATTGAAATAAGATATTCCTTTAATAGTCCTACAGGGGGGAATTCTAATATACAGCAGCATACATACAGATACAAAAATAGAAATTAAAGGATAAGAAAACTTAGAATTAAAAAAAACGGAACTAATTGACTTTAGTCCAGAAACTGCATGCTGCAAAAGCCTATATATTCTGACGTAATAAACAGTACTTGTCCCTGGTGCTTTAAAAAAATGGGAGAACAGAAAGCTAAGCAGCTAAAACTAATTTATACTTTTGTTGGATTAAGGTTAGACTACTTAAGTTGAAGCAAGGCAATAATAACCCAAACCTTTGATCACCACAACAAATCCAGTTTGCCTTTGAGATAAGTGGACTCTGTGCACATAAAGATAGACAAAGTGACAACCAGAAAACATTACCCGTCACAGCTATTGTCAAAACAGAAGCACAGCAGTCTTTTAAAACACTTTTTCAGGGACGGACCTGACATAAAACAAATCTCTTCAGTACTTTTGAGTCGATTGTTTCACTCTTATGAAAAAGACAAAAAGAAATACCAGTCGACTAATTTATTGCTGGACACAAATATTGATTTAGACATTTTGTCTATTGAACCAAGCGCTGTCTTAACATCTGTTTAAATCAGATTTGAACAATGCTGTAAGTTCCATAAAAATGATGATTTATGCCAACCTGCTGTTCCCTTATATAAAGAAAATGGGAAAAGCTCATTCAGACATGACCAACGCAATAGTAATATTAAACCAACAGAGCAATGCAAACTGTCTTTTAATTTTACTGATGGAGTCACGTTAACACATATGGTGTTGGACACGAGGGAACAAAACCCACCAAGTAAACAAACTGAGGCTGTTCCCCTCCAAACTTTCTAAGCAGGAAAAAAAAAAGTGTCATCACATTCATCTTGAGGGCTGCTGCTGAGACGCCTCCTGCTGTGAATGGAAAAAGTGTGGGAGAGACTCACAACACCTACACATGATGCAATTCTGTGAACACAAGTTATTAGTGCAGCTTTCGAAAAACAACACTATAGTACAAGTGAGTGTTGAAGTGCATTTTTGTCACATTTGCACTAATTGGGGCTGTGTTGAAAAGGTGTTTTAGGGTCATGATTTGGAAAAAAAAATATGCATGTCTTTTTGAACAGTCTTAAATTCTGCTGATATTTTTATGAGAAAAGTCTTCTCAGGCTTTGAAAGGTTTCTACAGGTCTTATTTATGCTGTTTTATACCCAGCTTTAAGCATCAGTAAAACTGGATGAGTTTGACCTAGCTGTGTGCTGAGGGAGCTGACATGAACCACTGTGCATCCTTCTGTGACATAAAGGAGGTAAACATCGGTCAAGGGATTGTATAAGTGGTTATGCTCTTCATTTAGCAATAAATTAGCATTCCTTCTTATGAATAAATGGATGACTCTTAAAAAGCCCTGTCGTTTCCGTAGCAGGGCTTCATTCAACAACATCAATATCAGAATAATTGTCCAAGACTTGAGATGAGCTCTAACTTAGTCCCCTGAACAAGAAAGCTGCCCAACAATTTCAAGGTACCGTATTTTCGGGCGACAAGGCGCACAGTGAATTAACGTGTCTACGTTCACACATAAGGCGCATCGGATCGTAAGGCACATTGAGCATTGATTGGTTTATTGTTGCTAGCGCGTATTCCAGGCCTGGGCTCCCTTACATGAATGCACTTCTAGTTTAGACATTACAGTCAGGCAGCCTTGTAGACTGCTCAGGGGTCCTGTTACGGGACCGTAGTGACACAGCGTACCGTAATGCTCTGAATATCCATTGAGTGGAGCGGCTTCATAGCTTACCAAAGTTGTACTTACACATTTTGACAGATTTTTGAGCGCATTGTAACACATACAATCATTTAGTAAGCACAACAAGTATCATACATAAAGTGTGCTGGATTATGAGGCGCACTGTCAATTTTTGAGAAAATTTAAGGATTTTAAGTGCACCTTATAGTCCGAAAAACACGGTATCCTCAAATTGTACCTAAAATACTGCCATTAGGAAAAAAAGATTTTAAAAAAAGAATTGTATCTTTCATGTTTTAATGTGTTATTTTTAGCAGTAGTGCCATTCTGCAGTAGCTGATTTGTGTAATTGTCAAATTACTCCATTAGCTCCAGTTCAGGCATTAATAGATAAAAGATAGTTTAATTAAATCAAGAGTCGTTTGCTAAGTGCTGATGTCTGAATAGTGAGCCCATGCAAAAGTACTTGGTTTGGTTTAGTGAATATGCATCCATAAGTCAGTTTTACTCCATGCTAGGGAGTCGTTAAGAGCCGCAGTCATTGACAGAACAATGGTGAGTGAAGATTGAATGAGAAAGGAGCTCAATATTCAGTCGTTTTCAGTTCAAGGAGGGAGGTCAGAGGGTCTTGTGCTGTTCTATCTGGGTGCACTGAGCTGAACTCCAACAGCCAGTGAACACATACAATCAATTGTTGGACTGTGCAAGACCAGTGGGACTGCATTTACAGCCGGAGTTAAATCAAAGGTCCCTTCATCACAATCTGATTTCAATGGAAGAGCTCTCCATGCATCAGCAAGATGTAGGGATGTTAATTACCTGCCTGCTGAGTGTGTGTGTGGATGTGTGTGTATGTGTGTGAGTGCACATCTGCACCTTTTTATGTGGATTTGATTAAGTGGGAAATAAGAGAACAGACTAGCATTAGTTTGGACCTGCAGAACGTGGCAGTTTGATTAGTTCAGTGTTGTAATCTCTTTGATTAAAAGCAGTTCAAACAGTGCACTGCTGCACACAAATGGAGAGATTTATACCGTCTGTATGTGTGTGTGTGTGTGTGTGTGTGTGTGTGTGTGTGGTCAGGTGGTAAATGAGGCAGAGTAAAAAGGTTTCGCTGTGCGTGCACGTTTATTTTTCTCTCTGTCACTGAGACTGTGGATGTTGTTGTCATAATAAGATGTTCCTGTTAGAAAATGAGGAGATGTAGTGATTATCCTCCCATGTGGTTTAATATGAATGTTTGTCAAGTGCTGTTTGCTCCAATCTACTTATCATAGTCACATGAAAACAATATAATTAATTGTTTGGATATAATCCCATTAAATTGTCGTTCAGACGTTTTAATATCTTGTTTTTACCCTGTAGGCCAGTAATGATATTTGAAGTGCTCTCTCCTCACTGTCATCCTTAAATCAAAGTGGAGTCTAGCAGTTTGGGGTAATGATGTGATCTTAAGATGGATCCACAGTATTGATCATGTGTAATTTAATTTGACAGATATGTAGGGCAAGGCCTTCTTGGCGTAATTATACAGGCCCCACAGGACTCAGTCCCCTTGAGACCAACTGAGTACTTTCAGAAAGGTTTTTTTTTCTTCTTCTATCCTGCTGTCTCTATCGAAAGTTAAAGAACATGATGCTGTTTTTCAGCTTTGTTGATTTAGTCTCATGGACATCATTCTGCTCACATATTCTGTCTTCACCTCTACCTTGCCCTCTTGAACTAGAGTTATTAATTAGACATTTATGGTGAATGAAACAATATCCTTACTAGGGATGGCTGTTTCTAATTTTTATTGATACTGATACCATTATTGAGACTTGTATTTCAAAATAAAAGCATGTGAAAGTCTTTTAATATATATATATATATATATATATATATATATATATATATATATATATATATATATATATATATATATATTAATTTAATAATGCAATGTCTCCTTTTAAGGAGTTTTATTTACTCAGTTAATGATGTGGATGAATCATAAACTTGAACACTATTAAAAATGGATGATAACATAACAGTTAACTCTGTTGATCAATAAAATTTATGGACTTTAGGTATTTTGTTGCTCTGTCCTCGTCTTGTCTTTTTTCCGTTGAACTTATTGCTATGTTTTAGAGTTTAAGTTTTTCATAAATACTAAGGTAATATTGTTATTGTTATATATTTGTACCACAATTATCCTGAGGGGAAAATCTGATATCCTGACAGCCTTACTCTATCTGATTCACATGCAGAGAAACTCTCCTCACAGAGGTTTTCAAATATTACAGCCAAGTCTTCTCTCCTCCTGTGAAAGCCCTGTAGCTCCTCCATCAGATGGTAATCAGTCGCCAAAGCCTGCTCTGGTGGAAGGTTGCCCACAGTCGAGTTGGAGATTGGCCATGGAGCCTGCTGGTGTTGATAAGACAGGTCTGTGGGCCTTTGGACCCTGACTCTAGACCTTTCACTTTATCTTCTAATAAATCCTCCTCTGAATCTTTGGCCCTGACTCTTTGAAGATCTCTTGAAGTTGTTGTGCTTCGTGCTGGAGATACTGCACAGACTTGTTGTTGGATCTACAATACTCAGGATTTTGCCAATAACTTTCACTTACTTTTTGGAGCTGCAGGCTTTGGTTGTTTGGTTAGTTGATCATATTGTATTGATGTGTTATTTGACTTTTTTTCTCTTAAATGGTATTGTATGCATTGTAAATCTATTTCTATGTAGGGGAGCAGCACGAGCAAATAAAGCAAGCACCTCAGGGATTTGTTTGCCAAACACCAGGTAGAGTAAAATGTCAGTGATGTCAAAATACGAACCTGCAAACGAGGGTTTCTGTTTACTCAACAAATTAATAGAAACCTGTGTAGCAATTTGAATTTATAATTAGATACAACTTTATATATCCTCTGGGAAGGTTCCCTCAAGCAAATTAAAATTAATTATTATTATTGTTCTATATACTTGTATTCAGATTATTCAATGAAATTATAACCATTTCTTAACTCTTTCTGCTACTTAGAGTAAGGTTATGATTCATATTCAATCACTTTAACTCTTACAGGTCTATGAAACTGTCTGGAAGGCTGTTGATCTAAAAATCTAAAGACTGAAGGGTTTATTCTATCAGAGTGATATCTTGGCCTGTAGACTACGTAGAAAAACAGTACACATCTCATTTTGACACAAATTTCATAAGAAGACTGATTTGTATATCGTTGAAAGCTTCAGACATCAATGTCAGTCATTTAAATTCTCTCACCAGATGAATGCAGTTTTTATCAGTATATGGTTGAGTTGGATTTTAAGGCTAGGGCTTCAACTAACAACTATTTTAATAGTCAACTAGTCACCGACTTTTGAGATGATTAGTCTCGACTTACCGGATAATTACGCGCCTTCTCCTCAAATGTTTGTGCATCACTGATGCTGCCATGATACGCAAGGTCTGCTTTGCAAACCTTGGAAGTTTTTTTTTTCCGCCTTATTTAGGCTAAAGTGTTCCCAAACTTTGGAGGTTTTTAAGGGCGTACTCATAGCTGCTGTATGGGTTGCCAGTTCTGCCATGTTTGAAGACTCTACTGCTGGGCAGAGATGCTATTAGGCATGTTTGACTCTAGGCAGTGATTGAAATTGAAATCAATTGAAATCATTGTCGACTTTTTTCATTATCAATTTTTGTCGACTATGTTAACTAAACCTATTTATGACAGAGGTCTGGAGGTCGGCATTCTGCTCCCCAAACCTTTCCTTGGATTTTGTGTGTTCACACACTTCAAGACAGTAAATCTCAAATGGGAGACCTGCGTTGGGGCATGAATGAATATTTAGATGGTCAGTGATGGAGTTAGTTTGAAAGGTAATAAAAACTCTGTATCTGTTCTTCGAATTGGCAAATTGAGAAGAGGCAGTGGTTTGGGTTTACCTCCGGTTTAGTCAGTTGTGTAACCAGAAAATCCAAACAAGTCTGGAGAGATTTGAATGACCCTGTGTTCTGGGGCAAGGAACCTTTTCAGCGAGAAATGAGGGAGTTTCACACAAAGGGTTGTCTTGATGCTACACCAGAGAGCAGAGGCAAAGGTTTAGTCTAGTGAGGGGTCATGATGGGGGAGCATTTTTAATAACCATCCTCATACACTGATCAAAAACACCGGACTAGAGAGCAATGGGTGTCTGTTCAGGTTTTTGTGGGAGTGTGGGCATTGATGCAGATAATTTGTTTTGTATAAAAGATTCAGAGAGAGATTTACAGCCAGAGATCATGAAGGTGCCACTGGAAACCTTGATGTACTGAATACATGAATAGATGCATGTAAAATGCTGAAAATATAAACGAGACTAAGTCTACTTTGAGGATATGATACAGAGATGTATGAGTCAGACTAGATTTGAGATTTGTAGTCAATGAGGGGTAAAGGTAGCCCAAACTGTCTGGAACTGAGAGGTCAAAACTCTAGGTGGGTGCAGGTCCTAAATCATTTTCTGGTCCAGCATCTCCTGGTGTTTTCTGTGCTGAGAAGATAGAGAGGAGCAGAATGAAGGGGTTTTAAAGGTGAAGGGTCTTGAGAACCTGGTCAAAGAGGGGAGAAGGGTTTAGGTAGATATACATACACATAAGTAATGGCATTAAGTAGACACAGGAGGAAGCATTTATGAGGAAGTCATCGATGGTAAGACTCATTAGTATTCAGTGTATTAGCCTTTGGAAATTCCCTTTGGCCCCTTAGAGAGCGGTTAGCCCAGTTCCTATTCCTGTCTCTCCACTTGCTATCGACAAGTGATGATAAATAAATCAACTAGCTGAAGGTACTTTTGAAACAACAACAAAAAGAAAACAATAAGGATATAACACAATTTTATAGCTGTAAGAAAGAACACAGACCTTCAGTTTGGGTCAATTTTAGCATATCCTGTAGACAAGCAACCTTTTCTTACATGATTAAGTAGTGCCTTAAAAATAAAAAAATGAAAAATCTCATCCTGCTGACTTTTAACAGTCAAATGTATCATTCAGTTGGAATCTTTTGTGCTGATATTGTAAAGACCTTTGCACCCGTTTCAGGCATTAAAAACTTCAATAGAACATAGGTCGGTCTTGACATTATAGAGGTCTTGTTTGCTTCCATGATAATAAAAGAGCATCAATATGAATTTCTGTCTATTTTAAAGTTATCAAAAAACACCTAACAAAAGCCTGAAAGAAAGTATGAAGCATAGTTTCAGTGAGAAATGCTGAAGACAGTAAAACAGAGCAGAGATACAAAAACCTGACAATAGCAATGTCACATCACAGACACTGCCCCGACTTAAAGGAGAAATAAAGGCTGTCAGACAAACAAACAGGTAAATAGAAAAGCTCATACTGTGTCAATGACGGAGCACTAAATTTCCTTTTTTTTGAGTGTGAACATGCCACAGTGGACACAAAATGTTTTAGGGTAATCGTCTCAATTCTCAGAAACAGAGACCTCTCTCCACACTTTGCTGTAATATGGTATTACAGGATTTATGATGTGTTTTCAAAGAAAATGATCATGAAAATGGTTTCATACTTCAATCTTCTTGTTCATTAAATTGACAATAGTTTCCAGTTTAGCTGTGAGTGAGATCTTTCTAGGATAGGGAGGCAGAGAATATTCTTCTTAAAGTCAAATTTTGCTGCAATTAACGCATTTCAAAAAATAACCAGGCAGCAAACAATGAAAATAAAATTTGGACACTAAATTTAATTGTTGTCTCAGAAAGTTACCTTGTAGGTAAAAGAACAGCCACAGCTTGACATCTGGGCTATGATATCACTCAAGACCAGTGAACTCAAGAGCTCCTGAGAGTGCTACTCCCTACAGCCACTTCATTTACATCAAAGCCAGAGAGCTTATTACATTAGCATTAGGCTAGCAGTGATTTATTATCACTCATCATTGTGTTGTCATTTTGCCAATCATGTTAATATATACCCCACACACTGTGTGCTTTAATGTAGAGGAGCTTTGATTATGGTTGTGAATACTGAAGACATGCACACGCAGCCATGTTGTTAGATATGCAACTTGTACATATTAGATTTTTAAAGGAATAATTTGTGTTTTTTCAACTTCATTTTTTTTTTCAAGGGAGTGCACAGAAAATTGAATTTAGTGTATTTAATAATCTTAACTATGCAGTGTGCATAGGTGGTGCAAGGGCAGAAGGAATGGGGAAGCTCTGGGACAAAAAACAAAAAACAAGAAAAGAAAGTCTTTACCCATAGGCAGATACATATAATATTTATGTTCAGCAGCAGAATGATTCCTTTCATTCTCTACTGTTTTTTTCTTTCTTTTGTTTGCTGTTTTAATTAATTTTTTAATTAATGAATGTTCTTACCTTAATGAAGGAGAATCCTCCGCGGGGCCTTTATATCATATTTCTCAACTATTTCCTCAGGTTTAATCCTCTTAGTTATGTCAGTCTCAATGTACATATGCTGCAGAGATGACAGTCAATGCTGTGCCATAGTTGTCGTCATCCAGTTGCATACCTGCCGCATGGCTGAGATTGTGCGCTCACACTTTGCGGTCCCGACTGGAGGCAACAGTGCCAATTTCAGCACTTTGGTGAAGTTTGGGTAAAATGCAGTCAAGGCAGTGGCTTCAAATTTTCCAGAGTTGCACCACCCGAACTCCTTTTCACCATGACTAAAATGTATTAATGTATTTCCCACCTCTTTCTAAAATAATGTTAAAAAAACATTATTTTATTATTTTATTGTGATTATTTCATCTTATTTTCTGTGCTAAGCTTCTCCTAGCCAATAATAGTGCCGCCTTTCGCTGTTTGTCACGTAGTGGAGGCTTGCACAGCTGTGGATATGATAGACGGAGAAGCTATTGTTATTGCTCCTTCTTCCATCACACTTATGTCACACTCACTATAGTGGCTCTTTCTTTTATTTCGAGGTGGATATAAAAAAGTTACCACAGTTTAGAAGAAAAAAATGTCACTTTCATGTGAACAAGCTTTGTAAAGTGGAGCTTTTTACTCCTCTTCTTCACTGTCTGGCTGTCCATGCTCAAACGAGACACTGCAAGCAGCAACAGCTGAAAGGGACCTCAGTCTTTTAATGAAAGATGTAGCAGCTCACGTGCACTGAAGATGCCGTTTGCTTTACTCCACCTCCACCTGATACACTATTCAGAGGCAATATTTTTGATGCAACATGTCACGATAAAGATCAGACATGATTAATGCCAATGACCCCAGGATCTGCATCTCATTGATTCTAACACTCAGTCATGGTTGTTGCCACATGTCAGCTTCTATTTCTGTATCTCTTGCAGACTCCTCCATCATTTTTCATCAACATTTTACCATCGCAGAATGGAGAGTGGAATAAATTAAGAAAAAATAACAAAACTTTGCAGTTATTGAATTTTCCACTGACCGCCTGAACCTTAAAAATAAGAAAGAGATGACCCCCAGCAACTGTGTTTCTTGTCAATCTTCATTCTTCTTGTGTTATTTAGTTTTACCTGTTAGAGGAAATTGAAGGGGGTTTAATCTTCTTGGCCTTGCCTTTAAAATAGCCAGGTATCTTCAATATATTCCAAACACCCTGATCCATTACAACGTGAATCTTTGCAAGGAGCTAAAAATATCAGAAATATAATTTGAGCATGAGTAAATATAATCTAGATGAATATGCTGTTTTCCCTTCTTTATATTACATATGTCAAAAAATGAGCTATTATAGTATCTATGAGAGCAGAGGAGGGTGAAAAGTGAAACGAGAATTGCAAATTCCACCGCGCTGCCGCACACTGATGGTTAGATTGACCCAGTCTGAGAAAAAAGAGACCGTGGGAGAGGGAGATAAGGACAGAGGAGTTGTAAGTCTGGAGCAAAAAGTGAGAAAAAAAAGAAATAAATATGAAAGAAAAAAAATAAGATGGTAAGTGTGATCAAACAGATACCTCACAGGCTGCAGAACACAAAGTCTGAATTGTGAGGCAAGACATGAGAGGGAAATAACAACAGGGACAGCTTAATCTGCCATGTTTGTGTATGTGTGTGAATTACAAGGACAGAAGAAGAAGAAGAGTCAATTCAGGTGGAGAGTTTTCACTCTGAAGGAGGATCAGTCACACTGAGTTGATCTTATTGTTCAGGTTAAGAGGATGAGCAGCAGAGTCCTCTGGAGAGCTTTACTAACACCCTGACAGCTCACACAGATCAATAAGGGGACAGATAATTGTGTTGATACAAAGACTCTTAACATGTCCATTACCAAAAGTGGGTCATTGTGAGCAGCTAAATGATTAAAGGTCCAAAAGGGATCATGGTGGGAAATGTCGTTGGATTTAATTGATCTCTGCAGTTTCCACATGTGTTTTCTTGTGGTTTTAGTGCTGATCTTCTCAGTGAATTTATTTATTTTATTAAAGAAAGTCAAATTTAATCTGTCCTGCAATCTCTTCCCTTAGAAAATGATGGAGAAGTTCAAAATTAGACCCACTGCGCAGACAGATAAGATGTTTTAAAAACTTAGGGGAAAACTGTCTTCTTTTTCACGTTGCAGGTCTACTGTAAGAGTCATATGTGCTGACAGGGACAGGCCTGACACTGTGGGGTTGATAGATCCTTGGGGAAATCTCCAACATGAATGTGTAATTTTACGTTTCATCTGCCTCTTGACATGGTGTCATTTATGATCTCTTTCATCATCGTTCTGTCATGTTTATGGCCCCGTAAAAACATCCATTACGAGTATCACTGGAGGAATCGTCACCACTTCACTTCAGGCTGCATTTAAGAGCGCTGTACACCAGTAGCTAAGACGTGACTCACTGAGGGGTCTTTGGAGAAGATTTTTGGTGTTTAGATTTTTGTGATGACACATCTTATCGACACAGTATTTTGAGCTACTTTTGAAAAATGGGTATGCTTTTTAGTGCTTTTACAACTCCTTCACATCAGCAGGGCCTCCTTGGCCGGTAAACTATCCCAAAACCATCGAGCCTGGTTGAGTTCAGCTCTGTTGCTTAATGTGCGTCAGGGTGCAGCTCTGCCTGCTTTGATGAAATTTAGTTTAATCAGATACTAGATAGAGACAGATACTAGACTCCATAGTGAAACTCATTAGAGAGGAGCTAGAACTCCCTTGGGTAGTACGCATAGACTGTATATACTATGGACAACTTGGCTCTACCTTCGATCAGTATACGAATTTGAAGCCAAGTTGCCCCTAATAACTCTTAAAAATGGAGCTACACAGAAAAAAAAAAATACTTGAGCACAAACCAGTCTGACAGTAACTACAGAAAAATTATATTCTGTGTAATTAATTTCTGAAGTTTGTCCACAGCTCCATAGGGATTGCTGAAGGAGGCGGGATTTATGACCTATACTGCAGCCCGTCACCAGAGGGTGCTGTTTTCACGGTGGCTTTACCCAGCGAGGAGGCAGACAGTGTCCATTCTATATACAGTCTATGGTAGTGTGTCATACACAATACACACTTTGCTGAATAACACACCCAGACACACACAATATAGTCACTTCTGCATCAGAACCATATTTATTAATATTATTCTAGTTACCCTCATCTGCAGAAGGCTGAACAATCCCACTAACTGAGAGATATCTTCACCTTTGTATTTACAATTTCCCCTTTTATTAAAATATCTATTTTCTTTCAAGATTCCCAAACAAATTGGAAACAAAAATGTCACTTTGGAGAGTCAAGAGCAGCTCCGCTGGACAGAAAGTGGACTGTAAATATCAAAAACAGCTGTAAAAGCAATTTACCCAAATCAATACATGAGCCCAATATGTAAGAAAGAGCAGTGACTCAAGGTCAACTAACAACAGTGAGACACCACTTCAGAAGCGAGCTTATTCACTCTGGCACAGCAAGGAAGATGAACGCTCCTGTGTCTGGACACATGGGGCCAGTATTAAAAGTCGAGTATTTTGCTTAGTTAAGCACAAAGACTCGAAGGTTATTTGGAGACAAAAAAGAAATATAAGAAAAGAAAAAAAGCCTTTGCAACTACTTTGTGGCTGATGAGAAAAATTCTCTCCAAGTTCGTTTTTATTGACTCCTTTTCTCTTTTATTTTTGCGTCACTGTTCACTTGATTTGTGAGCGATAACCTTCATGTTACCTGCCATGAAAAGGTGAAGAATAAAACTTTGAAGTGGAAGGCAAATTAGCCACAAAAATCTAACCACAGAGAAAAAAAAGCAGTCATGGCCAACTTTTTGTAGCTCATTCGTCTTTCTCACAATAATTGACATCAAGAGCAGGAATTTTTATAGTCAATCTTGTTCTCACCTTGCTAATATAATGGGCAAAAATATTTTTAATTTACCTGAATGGAGCTTTTTGAGGTGTTAATCTTAAAGCATTGAAACACAAACTTTACAGGGACACACAGACTGTCTCTCTCTTTCCTTGTTGTGTATGAAAAGAAGTCCCTCAGGTCTCCAAAAAGAGACATCAGACTTTTCTGTCTCAGCTTTTATCAGAGTCAGATATCCACTGAGATGTTCAGAGAGAACAGAAGAAAACATAGCAGCATGTTTAACAGAGCTTCAGTGTTCCTCAGCGACGCTTTCATCCTGTTTTCAAGAAAAGGGTTTATTCTCGTCTTTTGTTATGTTGTTGTTTTGCTGTTTCTTTCGACTCAAAGCAGTTTTGTTATGGCAAGTTTCGTGTTTCAGACATATCTTATAGGATTAAAAGAGTGCATATGTTTTCCTTTGGGTGGATCCTTTCATCTTACCTTGTGCACTCACACACAATGACAAGACTGACAATGGGAAAGCTCAAAAGCCTTTTAAAACGACATGACCGATTTCACCCTGATTTCACCACAAACTGGAGCGCTGTCACTTTTTTTTTTTTTGTGGAGCTGTGTAATCCCAGGAAACATTTTTCTCTTAATTTATCCCTTTAACCTCGTTGAGTTGACTTCCTCTCTCTTGCTCTCATCCTCAAATCAGAGCAGAGGCAGTCATAGTCTGTGATGAGTGAGCTGCATCGTATGTAAATCCCACAGAGAAAAGGGCACACGCTGCAAGTATGTTTCTAATGAGAGAGGCTGGAAGTAAACTGACCTCTCCGCCAGATGGGCCGCAGACATTCATCATAGTGAATTCATGCTGAGTGACAGGGTGAGGAGGTGGGAGGGAGAACTGCCTGATATCAGAGCAACTATGGCTGGGCAATATGGGGAAAAGTTTATCACGATATATTTCATATCAGTCTATTTTTGATATATATATATATCAGGATATTAAAAAAAATCACTTGTCAATCTTTAATGTTCTCTGTCACTCTTAAATGAAATACAGTACTTATTGGTAGCATGTCTTTTTGTATACAAATTCGAGTTTAAAAATAAAAGGAAAATGAACAAATGTGACAGTATGGTAATTTTAAAGCCAACTCTAGTTATTGGTATAATCTACCAAAACATGGCAGGATGCCGACTATCGAAAAGCATATCGATCATGTTTCATATCGACATCGAGGGAAATTAATTTTTGATATATAGTTATCGTTTCATCGCCCAGCCCTAACATAACACTGCTGGTGATTCAGAGAATAAAGATAAAGAGATGAAGAGAGAAAAGACAAAAAAGACAAGAGAGATAAAAATAAAGGGAATGAGTGGAGCAGAGTTGTATTGTAGTGTTCAGCACTTAAGTTCTAATTGTTTTCAGCTTCACTGTAAAACACAACAGATCTCTATGCTGAAGGTAATTGATTTAGCTGTAACTGTTTGTAATTGAGCTTCCATCTAACTGTTTTTGTTCACTGTGATATTCAGCCTCTAAATTCTTCTCTCTCATACTTTTCAACCAGAGAAGATCCTTAAATCTGAGCTTTGAAGTGAGGCTGGCCTCTGAAGTGAGAACACATGAAGATAGGGAGCTCTTAATACAGACTGAGCCAAAATATGCTCAGGGAGAAACTTGGATCTTTCCTCTATAAACACACTCTCCTCATGCTCACTTTAAACCCTCCACAGCGTTTGTGCAACTTCTCAAAAAGTACACAGCTGAGGATAAAAATAAAAGGACAAACAGGGTTCAAAAGAACTGGCACAACCATACAGCTTTTGATATCTTTTAAATTTGCTCTCACCTTGAACAGTGAAGCACCGCTTGTGGTCCACCTCCAGATCCCTGAGCTTGAATTGTATTTTTGCAAAACAGTGTGTGACGGCGTCAGACAGCGGATGGTGGCTGGAAAATGTGTTGTATTTACTTCTGACTGTGACCTGGAACACCTGAGGGAGAGACAGCAGCCTGATAAACCTCAGCTCTGCAGTAAATCAAATCAGATTGGAGGATTTTATTTTGCACTCTTTGTTTTTTGGTTTGTGTGTATCCTCATCAGCTGAGAAAAATGTAATCACTCTGCCCTCGCCGTCTGTGCAAGAGAAGCTGCAAGAGGGAAAATGACTTTTTCAGTGGTTCAGTGTGGATGTGGGAATGACTTCAGTGTTTCTGTGATTAGTTTGATATCTGATTGTGAGCTGAAGGATTTTGGCGCTTAATCATCTGCATGGCAAACAGCAAAATTAACGTTATCTGCTAATAAAGTATTTGTTTTCCTTTTTCTACAGATGACTCAAATGTACAAAGCTGTGGTTTTCAGACATTTTCTTCTAATTCCAGAATATTATATATATGAAGAAACAAATTCACCTCTGTCTACTGTCTTTTGAACTTTCCTTTTTCTGTTTTATGTCCCATTTTTATCTTATCTGTTTTCTGGCTCTTCCAACACCATACTCCATCCTCCATTGCTTCTTATCTCCCTCTTTTCTTCTGACTCATGTCTCCCTCTCTCTCTCCTTGCAGGGTGGAGGCAGCAGGATACCAGCGGGTGCTGCAGGTGGACCTTGAGGTGAACGGGTTGATGATGAATCAGGGGGGACGGGAGGTGACGTGGCAGGTGGAGTATCCGCTCATCCGCACCCTGACCAGTGAGGTGCCCACTCTCATCCGTCTGGCACCGCAGGACCTTGGAGGCATTGTGCCGTTAGCGATGGTGAGGCAGGAATGAGACAGAGCTTGAGTGTAGAGAAAAGCAGACCATAAACAGAGACAGTCTTTTATGGTTTTACATCTGCATTTGTGAGCAATCATGATTTTACTAAACATATATGACTATTGCTATCCAAAACATTCAAGGACAACCTGGAGAGAGTTATTTTTCACAGATCATTTCATTAAGACAAACCTTCAGGCACTTCATTGAGATTAATAATGGCAAATTTTTTTGTCTATAATGTCTTTAAAAGTAAACAGCCGCAGTGCGAAAAATTAGGTACCTTGACTTTAATGTCCTGGAGGCAATGTTAGAGTAGCAGTAGTTGCATTCATACTGAACACTTGTAATTTACTGTTACAAGTGCAGCAAGGACAGCAGCATGCCTCAGCTGTTGATAAGAAGACAAATACATTACTGTCACTATGTATGAACACTGGTATTAACTGGATAACTCGTAATCATGTAAGATGAGAAGCAACTGTCAAGGTTTTGAGTTCTTGGATGGCTTATTTGCACCCCTAAAGGTATTTTATAGTATAGTTTGTAGTAGTGCATATCCAGTTTGACATCTAAGATTGGTAACCATATATCACGAGAGAGACAGAAACCTGTCTGTCGGATCTGAACTAAAACAAAATAGTGATTTGCACCCCTACATTCTCAAAGTGGCATGGAAGTAAAACAAAGTGATTCGTGAACCACCCACTCTTTACCTCCTGCACATGGAGGTAAAGAGGAGGCGCTGTATGACCTGAAATACTCTCAATTTTTTGCTGCAAGGGCACAGGCAATTTTCTTTCATTAGTAAGCATTTATACTAAATTGTTCTATTATTTATTAACCACATTAAACCTCTGAACAGGAAACCTGCTGCAAAGGCAGTAAAGTTAGATACTCGGATGAAAGTGTGCGTTAGAGTTTGTCATTGATCTTTACCTTTGCAGCAGGACTTTCAGGTAGACGCTGAGCAATGCTGACGTCTATGTTCAATACAGCTCTCATCTCTCTGTGCAAGAGAAACGCATACTCGATCAATATCTATCTGCCAGACCACAAACACACAAATTACTGCTATCTTCATTGAAAACTTACATAATTATGTAAGTGGTAAAAGATCAAGAGCAAAAAGATGTTTTAAATCAATAACTTAATGTTTTTAAATCTCTGAAAAATCTAAATTTGATCTGAGGGGAAAGATGTCTGCACAGAGTCTGTTCACTCATTAGAAGAGACAGTCAGTGAGGCCCCTACAGCGCTACACAATACATCCCGATGATATTATCAGTATCTTTTTTTAATTATGATTATGAAGTTTTTTGACAAAATCATGTTACCAATGTTATTTTCAAGGACTTTTATTCTGCAGCACGTTAGCTTGTAGCCTAACATTACCAGTGTAGTAGAAATGGCAGGTAACATAGGAGCTATTCAGTTCTCAGACACTAATGTCTTTTGGGACATGATGGAAGCTAATATCATAATTAGCTTTCTTACAAGCCTTGCAACCCACTACTGCATACACTTGGTCCACCATCGTCCTCTCTACTTCTCAGGGTCTGGCCTGCAGAGTGGAGCGCCAGGGGCAGTGCTTGAGTTTAGAAAATCCTTCTGTGTCTGGGTCTGCCAGAGATTCACAGCGATTTGTATATAGAAATACTCAGAAATACTCAAATATAAAGTTTGACCCTGAAACCTAACCCTCCAAATTTAAAAAAATTCCTACCATGTACAACGACGTATCAAAACAGAGTGTAGCAAATGAAGAAATACCCCACAGCCACTTGTTCTTCACTCTTCTTCTCACAGGTTAACAATAACTACCTTTCCTTTGACCTGTAATAGCATGTACTTGTGAATAAAAACAGTCAACGGCATGGATCTGACTTATACTGAATGCTATAGTGTAGTATGTGTCATCCTGTGTGAGCCCTGTGCATCGTGTCTAAAATTGCTGGGTCATTAAACAAGGCAGGGGTTGCCACTATAAACCCTGCACTAAACCTGCACCTACAGGAGATTTCTGACTGATGAGTTTGACAGCTGATTCTTACATTATCATGTGGTGGCTCAACTTTTTACTTTGACATGTTGTGTTAGTTTCTTTTTTTATTTGTTGCACAGTCAGTTTAGACATGAAACACCGTAACGTAATGAAAAGGTCAGCTATAAGAGCTATATTCTCTTTTGTAGCTGTGCTGCAGCAAGAGAAGGAGAAGCAGCTCTTAAGAATGTCAGTCAGGCTTTACTCTGAAGTTAAGCCTGTCCATTTGGTAAATTGTTTGTTTGTTTGTTTGTTTGTTTGTTTTTTGCTGGCTTACTCTCTCACCCTTCACCACTCCGTCAGTTTGACTGGGGGGAATACTTTTTTACTTGGCCAGTAGGGGCCAAAGTCCAGCACAGAGGAGGTCGACTTGCTTCTTCTAATTAAATCCCCTCAGGAGGAACAGGATGGAAATCTCAAAACACAGACAGGCTCTATCAGGGGCAGCTGGTTCACCACTACTGACTTTGGCATTTACTCACTCAGTGTTAAAGGGCGTGAGAGGGTGAGGAGGGAAAAACAACAGCGGCTTTGTGTTTAATCTCACTAAAAGTTTCCTGATATTAAAGTCCAAAAAATAAAAATACAAAAAAATACAAAAGAACAGAAAGTCATCAGGTTGAGAAGAAAATCAACCACTGAGAAAAAGATGAAATCACTGCTTGTCCTGTTTGATAATCAAAGTATTTTATCATTCTGGTCCTTATAACTGGTCACAACTTTTTGTTTGCCAATACTGCAGTAACAGGGCCTTTATAAATCAGCGTTTATAAGATGCGACACTGGAGTTAAAGTATAGGAAGGTTTATTATAACTTGATTAAACCAACAATCTCTATTTTTAAATACTGAGTGTTAAGTATATGTGCAAAAGACAAAACAAGCTTATTTAAGATTAAACACTCTTTCTGCTTTTTAATTAAAACTTCATTAAAATTCCTGCTGCTTAAATAGTATGTTTAAGCGAATGATTAAAGCATATATACTGGAGTTGTCCTGGTTTTTATTATGACACCATAAAACAGCCTTTATATAGGCTGTGAAATGTTACCATTTTTTGGTGAGTGGCCAAGGAAGACTGTAAAGGTGCTGGTGGAAAAATGCTTCATATTTAAGATATGAAATAGAGAGTTGGGAGTGTGGATTGGGCAATATAATCGCACTAAGCTACAGTGGAGCACGGTTTACGACTTGTGTGCTTATTTTCAGACTAAGCTGTTGAGTTAATAGTGAAGCACTGAGTCTGTGCAGGTCAGAGAGGGCTTTTCATTGCACTGCTTGTCCCTGATTTCAAATATATAGCCAGCAAACAGGATCAAATGTTCTCTTCAAACTGTAACATAGACTGTATATAGAATGGACACCTTCTGCCTCCTCGCTGGGTGAAGTCACCACGAGAACAGCACCCTCTGGTGACGGGCTGCAGTATCGGTCGTAAATCCTGTCTCCTCCAGTAATTCCTATGGAGCTGTGGACAAATTTAAGAAAATTAATTCAATAGAATATACATTTTTCTCCCCCCTGGTTGGGATGTTGACATATAGTTACTGTAAGACTGGTTTGTGCTCAAGTCCTCTTTTTTTCTGTGAAGCTCCATTTTTTTAAAGTTATCAGGGGGTTCATGTTTTCTATGATTGACACTTGTTACAGCCAATGGATGTACGTAGATGGGGTAGCTCATCCGGGGATATGCTGTTGGAAATACCGAGGGCACTTAATATAATGACGGAAGGTGAAACCAAGTTGTCCATAGTTTATACAGTCTATGATTAACACATATAGTAACATATTTTAGAACTTGTTACCGACAAGACATAACAAATCTAGCTTTCTTGCACTTCGGACTAACTTTGCTGTTACAAGCCAAAGCTAATAAGTGATTGGAATTTTTACCATTAAGAGCACATTTTGCAGGTAAACATGGTCCGGATGGTCTCAACATGAGTAAGTAAATGGACCTGCCAAAAATGCACGTTTTGGGACAGGGGCTGGTTCTACTTTCTTCATACAATGTGTACTAGGTGACATTTGTGTGGTTCAAATGATCTTGTGTAAGAGTCTAGGCTAACTCATTGAAGCTATCTCATGCTTTGTGTGGTTGCTGTATCCATCCTGGACCTCTTAGACTTTCAAATGCAGTAGCTATTCTTTAAACAGTGCTTTCAATGCCTGTTCGCTGCCTTAAACACCATTCATCCAACTCCATATCAGCCCCCAAACACCCCACCCCTGTAGGTTGCGCAGAAACATAATGGCCTTTATTGATTCCCCCTTTTCTTCCCGTCTCTCTTCTCTTTTCTGTCTCTCTACTCTGCAGCAAAGGGTTGTTATGATAGATAAGCTGCTGTGTAAGGAGTGAGCCAAGCTGCTTTTGTGAGCCGAGCAGCAAGGATGTGTTGTGCGTGGTGTGCGTCAGACTTCGTGTATGTTTATGCATCATGTATGTGTACATATGTGTAGTGTGTATGCTCTAACATTGTACAAAAAGGCCCCACAAATAGGACATGTCTTGGTTCCTCACAACCGTAAGAGGTTATTACACAACAAAGCTTCCACTAAAAAAGATCCTGTCTTGTTTGCTATATATCCTCGACTCCAGAAATCTTGTTAAATTCCACTGTGCCTGCATTCCGTCTGATCTTGTGAAATATTCAGTTCTTTGTAGCTCAAACAGTCTTCTTTTAACAAGGCAAAGCCCATTAGGATGTCTTTTTTGTCCCATTTTGAATGTATTAGTGACTCATTACCAGAAATAGATACTTACCATCACACATGAGAGAAAAAAAAACAAACTCAAAAGAGTGGTTCTCAAAGGTCACGAGAGACAGAACTCTGTTCTCCATATTATTCACAAATATAATGTCACCCCCTGTGCAAGGTCAACCACCTTCCTAGATGCGTTGATAAACTAAGTGGTCAATAGGATTGCATGGTTCACAGTTACACTGCTGCTGCTTGATTGAGTCCCTTTTCTGTGATTCTGCTTTCAGTAATAATTTTTAAAAAGTGTCTTTCAGTTTTTATTTTTTATTATTTTTATTATTTTCCTTCTTATTCGACACAAAGGAGCAGTTTATCAAGATTGGGGGACAACATCTGCGACCCTTGTTTGGTTTCCATTGATGATTAAAATGGTCTCAGCCTGTGTTGTTTTTATTTCCTTTACTCTCAGAGGGAACATACTTATTCCCAATGGACAAGAGAGTACTCACATGGGGGGGAAACAAGAGAACGCTGGTGTAAAAAGGAAGCACAACAATGGCAGCCATGGCAACACAGCTAAACAACACAAGGGACGAAATTAAATGGACCAACTTGATGATTTGTGGTAACAGAATGAGTGTTCCTATAAAACAAACCACAATCAAACTAACAAGGAAAATAGTCGAACAGAAATGACTTCTGCAATAGCTGTACCAGACTGCTGAACAGCTGGCAATGTTTGGTCCAATAGTCCGCCATGTTTGTTTTACCCATAGACTGTATACAGAATGGACAGTGTCTGCCTCCTTGCTAGTTAAAGCCACCGTGAGAACAGCACCCTCTGGTGACGGACTGCAGTATAGGTCATAAATCCCTCCTCCTTCAGCAATCCCTATGGAGCTGTGGACAAACTTTAGAAATTTATTACACAGAGTATAATTTTTTCTCCCTCCCTGGTTGCAATGTTGACATGTAGTTACTGTAAGACTAGTTTGCGCTCAAGTCCTCTTTTTTATGTACAGCTCCATTTTTAAAAGTTATTAGGGGGTTCATGTTTTCTATGATTGACACTTGACACAGCCTATAGGCATACAAAGATGCGTACAATGCTACTGTGCAAGGATGGTTTCAGGGAGTAAAGAAAAAACACGGAAATGCCAAGAGCTTTTCGGCTTTAAATCTGCATAGTGGTGGAAGGTGAAACCAAGTTATCCATAGTGTATACAGTCTATGGTTTTACCACAAAAAATGTCTGTGGATTTTCAGATTTGACTCAGGACTCTTGTTGACAAAGATGAGAATTTCTTCATACCGTAGCACTCAACACACTTTAAAAACTCAAGTGTTTAACCTGCCATCAATTGTCATCCTGTGGGGTCTTTCAAATTTTCAAAATTGATCAAGGTTTGAAAATCTTTTAAAGAGGCACACAGGAAAAGAAACTTCAAAAGGGGGCATGAGGGTGAAGAGACAAAGCAAACAGAGAGGTGCCAATGAACAAAAAGCTGTCTGGAGACGAGGTTTTCTTTGCTTTTCAAAGGTTTAGGCCTCTCATTGTTTATCAAAACTAGTAAATCCACTCAACTCTGAAACATTTTCTCTGCTGGAGGATTACCAGAAGTTGTCTCAATTGATCTGGTTTTCTCCTTCCTATGACCCTCTGTTCTCAAGGGTATCTTGTGATATATCTATACAATTTTACTGAACTTATTTGTGTCAACATCTTTCTTTTCGCTTTATACCAAGTCTTCAAGGGAATCTTGAAGGAAGGCAAATCAAAGTCTGTTTTAGAGCTGCATGAGTTAAATTTCATTTAAGCTTTTACTGATTTGTTTCTTTATGTTTCTCTTGCAGGACACAGAGATCCTCAACACGGCAGTCCTGACTGGGCGAACTGTGGCTGTACCAGTAAAGGTGGTCACCGTGGGAACAGATGGAGCTGTTTCTGATGTAACTGAATCTGTGGAGTGCAGGTCAACAGATGAACAAGTTATCAAGGTTAGTGTGATGTGTTTTAGCAGCTGCTTTTTAACATCAGCTGTATTTCAGTCCGCATCATGGTTATCTCTCTAGTTGTGTGTGGGTAGATGAGCAGAGTGAACAAAAGGTTGTTGTGTAGAGGTGCTTTGTGATCATTTATCTCTGTGTTCAATTTCCTCCAGCAAGACAGAGTGTGACTGATTTTTCATTTAATGATTTGCCAGAAATTGAGAAGTTATCCTCAGGTGTTGCAGATCAATAATGTAAAAAAAAAGCAAAAGTACAAATAGCAAATGTGGGTGTTGTGGGATCACTGAAGCACTTTTCTTTTTATTGAATAAGCAGAAAAGAGGAAGCATTTCTGTCAATGCAGTGTTGAGTTCCTGGTAATGAAGACTTCCTCAATAAATCAGGTTTCATCCAACAGCATAACTATTATAATTAACACTTTAAGACACATTAATGTTTTCTTTTTTGTGTCTCGGTGAATATGTTGGGCGGTAATGCATACTATTATACTCTGATATTTGATTTTTTTAATTGGCAAACCAATTGACAGATTTTTTTTCTCTCTTTTAGGAGAAAAATGATAAAAGAAAACTGTAAAAATTGGCATAAAGAAAAGTAGGTACAGCAGCTTTTAAACAAACGAAATGAAGATCTGCTCGTGTTTCATTATCTGTCGATCCGATATCTGTGCCTCCACAGCTGATTGCAATGGTGCATTTTGAATGATGCTTATTTTACTGTCCTTAAGATAACATTAAATGAATATATATACAAGAAGTATCTGGTCATTTCCTTTACCATCATTAGCACTTAGGATATGCAACTTTATGACAACTTGCCAATTAAATAACTTCTTTGAATTATCATATCCCATTAGAGCAGTCCTTCTCAAATAGCAGGGCTCACCCTTTGATGCCGGGGGGGCATGTGTGACCCCCGGGGAACATGTGTCAACAGAATCAGCCCACCGCCTCACAGGAAGGTTTCTACGGTGTCAGGCACATTTCCATAACCACTGGTCAGGGGAACTATCTGAGTCAGCACATTCAATTAGATAGATATCAATATGTTCTGATCTATATCCTATCTGATGAGCATGTTTGGCACACGTTTGGACACTCAACCTGACCAAATTATCACAGCTGAAACTGCATTAAATTACATATCCAATAAAAAGTCACACATGACGGAGTTAACGAGATATTACATAAACACCCACCCCCACGTGTTTGATTTCTTTAATGTTAATGAGGATACAGTGTTATGCAGAGGTGTACTTAAAACAATTTTATCGACAAATGATACTATTTATAGTTGTGTTTGTGTGTGTGTGTGTCGCCAATACACTGTCTTTTCTTGGACTCCATGAGCCCTATCAGTCTCTCCTCTCTTTCTGTATCTCCCTCTATCCCCGCTCTAAACCCGATGCAGTAGCGGCAGTCTGATCTGTCATCATTCGCCAAGTTCTGTGTAAAGATGTGGAGACAGATGACAGTCTTTCTATCACTGTTTGTTCTAAAGAAGCAGCTGACAGCTCTGAGAATGTTTGTGTCCAAATTACTGACTGTACCAATCAAGCTTCTGATGCTGTTTGAGACTGAAATGAATTTGATTGAGTTCAAGCAAAACTTAATGACGGATTTTTCGACAGATTAAGTCTTCAAAAGGGAAAACAATATTTGAGGATGATTTTGCTGATTTCGAATGCAGTGAGACACTTCTGATGTTCTGGTTTGTGTATTTTTCACATTCTGTGAGGGCTCTGACAAATACCAGTAGATAATTAGTGATGTGCTTTGACTGACTCAATATACTGCAGTGTGTGCTAACATTTGATGAAGCAGCTGTGTCTTTTTTCAGCTCTATATGTTGCGTTGGACCATACATTAAATAACACAAGCAGAAGACCTGGCGCCTGAGAAGAAAGACGTTTTTTTTTCTGTTCTCCAGTCCAAAACAAGCAGAAGAGAGAAAGCTAGACCTCATAAAAGTGGTCAAAAGGACAAAAGTTCCCCTCATCAGACCACTGTGTAAAAACTGTTGAATTTTACAACCTCTCACAAAGTTTGAAGATTTTCTGTCCAAGTTTCAACTCTCATAAAGATCCTGTTGTTCTCTTTCTGCATCACGTCTTCTCATCCTGCCGCCTCTCTGATTCTTCTCTCTCTCTTTCTCCAGATTTCGGAGCGGTGTGACTATGTGTATGTCAATGGAAAGGAGACCAAAGGAAAGAGCCGAGTGATGCTCAACTTTACCTACAGTTTTCTGAGCGCCCAGCTAGAGATGAGTGTGTGGATACCCCGCCTGCCCTTGCTCATCGATGTAGCTGATCCTGAGCTCAGCCAGATAAAGGGCTGGAGGGTTCCTGTCAGCATGAGCAACAGAAGGTAAGACACGGTGTGCATTGAATCTTGACTGTTGGATTCAGTGTTATGAATTGCTTTTGAAGCTTTTGTTCTGGCACAAGGAACTTAGTACATACCTTTCAAACTTGCTCTGAACCATAGCTCCACACTCCATTAGGCTTTAATCCACAAAGAGTGTGTCCCAGGAATGAATCCAGCTCATGGCCCGTTGCTTCTTTCAATCCCCTACTCTCTCCCAGTTTCCTGTCCCTTCTCCTGAACACTCAATAAAAGCATAAAGGCCAAAAAATGAACTAGGAAAGGTTAGACGACATTTAACTTTATCAAAGTTGAAATGACATGACCAACAAAGGACCCAAAAGCACAGGGAAAACACAAAAGACTCACAGACAAATACAGTAATTAACTGTCACAGGAAGGAGGACACCGTAAAACGTAATACGCTCAAGAAATCAAACACATCTGTGGGAACAAGACACATGCAAAACTTGGGTTTAAGTGAAGGATGGTCATATTTCTTGAAAAATCATACATTTTAACTTAATTAGAAATGGATGATGACATATAGGTTATCTGTGTTTATCTGTAAATATTAAGGACTTTTAAGATTTAAATATGTAATTTTGCTTCATCTTTTTTCTTGCCTTTTCTTAAGTTTACATATTGTGTTGTTTTAAATTTCAAGTTTTCCATGACTATGGTGATGATATGGTTATCGTGATATTTTTCAGCCACAATAATCACGAGGCGAAAATCTGACTTAGTTGGGACAGAGGACTTGCAGATGCACTTATTTTCCTTTGTCTCTCATGATACAGCTCAGTAGCATCTCCTCATAGCCTCAGCCGACAGCATGAGATGGCACCAAGCTTCACTGTGCACACAAACAGAGGCACACTCCCACACACAACTGAGAATTATTCTTTTTTAACAAGATTATAATATGATGTTTGTGGTCTGGTTGTGGTTTCACCTTAGATAGTGTCGTCAAGGGGTTGTTAGGGACTTTTGACCAATCAGAGTCCTGTCTATAACACAGCATGGTGATCAGTAAGACAGCTGGGTAATAATACGTGTTACTACAACTGATGCAGCCATGTCCATGAAAACCCTTTTATGTAAGAAAACTGATATTTCTCTAAAGCAAATTTCTGCCATTTCGTCATTTCAGTATCACTTTCACTCAACCTCCACCTCATAGGTTGGCACTCCAACCCAAATACCCTGTGGTATCATCAGCTATGCTTGAAATGAATAACAAGGATGCATAATATGAGATTTCTAGTCATATTTGGAAAACAGAAATCTAAATCTTTAGGAATTAGAATATTTTGTTTGTGCAAATGTTTGTGCCCCCCAAAACTCTGACTGTGTCCAGTCAGTGCTAAGACTGTATGTAGACCACCTTATTGAAGTTTAACCTCATTGCTGACCCACCAGGCCTGTATGTAGACATTCAGACCACCTTACTGAAGTCTAACCCCTTTGCTGACCTGCCACTCACTGCTACAAAAAGTCCCAACCTTATGTTTCTTTCACACTTTGGTTTAGCCACCAGGTCGCAGCATGTTAACCCGTCAGCCTGTTTTTCTGCCTAACCGGCCATGCCTCATTAAACTTAATGGAAACTGTCACAGTCCCTCTAGCTAAGGCAGACCATAAAACAGAGAGGGAACAAAGGTGTGAGTGAATGAGAGAAAGACAGGGGTTGAAAAATAGATGACAAGGAAAACCAGGTTAGAAATAGATGTGAGGTATATAGAGTGAGTGTCAGAGAGAGAAATGACAGTGACTCCGCACCAGAGAACCAAAGATATCTGGTTGAAAAAGCACTACACTGTATATGAAATCTTTCTTATCAGTCTGGATGTTTATTCAGAGGGTTGTATGACTAATTTGTGCCTTTTTAATTACTCTTTGCTGGATTTAGACAATTATCATGTAACACTTGACAATGTTTTTTTTTTTTTAATCCATGTTGCTTTTTTCTTTAAATGTAATTAAAGCCCATCCAGTCATGATTAAGAGAGAAATACTGAACAAATACATCACAAAACAACTTGATTTATTTGTAGTATGGTGCCAGAGATGGCTGTATCAGCAAAGTCTTTGCCATTGGCTAGATAAATGGCACACTTACAGCTAAATCTCAGTTGCCCTTTTAAAGAAAGTAAGCAAGGCAGCAGTTGTACCTTGAAGCTATTTTTCAATCGGTTTTTGAAACAGTGAGAGTCTGTGACTTTCAGGTCAGGGAAACCTGCAGCATATGAGAGGCTTTGGCTGCAGGAGATCCAGTCAATGTTGCATTAATGTTAATATGAGAAAATGAAATACGTTGAAATATGACTTACACTTTCATTTAGTGATAACCTTTAAAAAAACAACCTGAGGTAAACTATGTACTTGTATCTGCCTTTACTTTCTGTCCCTGATAATTGACCCTCACTGTGCTCCTGTTCTTCATCTGCCTGTCTGTTTTCCTGCAGGTACGAGAGGGTCACTGATGACAAAGATGAAGATGAGGCAGCAGAGGAGAGGACAGAGAGCAGCTGTGTGTCTCAGTATCAGAGCACCACCCTGCGGGTCCTCACACACTTTGTGGTGGATAACGGAGAAGCTAAAGGAGCCTCAGAGGAGGATGGGCTGGGCCAGCAGAACTTCCTACTGGGTAGTGATTGGCAGGTGGAAGTCACACAGCTGGTCAAGGACTCTCTGAGGGTAGCTGAGCCAAAGGTCGCACAGTTGCTGGATGGACAAGTTGTGATGGGAATGAGTGCTGGAACCACCAAAATACAGGTGAGTGTTTTTTTTTTTTTTTTAAGCTAATACGCAAACTTCAGTACTTTCTCATTTGACTTCATTACTTTCAGATGTTTCACTTATTTTCATATCGGGCAAAGCAGTAGAAGTCACTTTGATTCAAATACTGAACACTTTATTTGACACCTATAATTCTATCAATATATAATGAAAATGAAATCCCCTTTAAACCCCTGGTTCATGACACATGTTGGTCACATTGTCTAGACAACTTTCTGGACTACATGACCAACCAGGCAGAGGCATATGGAGTGAAGCACAGATGTTCTAAAATATCATGGAAAACAGGCTATCAATAGCCACTAGTGTTGTTCCAATATGCAACAAGTGAACCAAGTATCTAGGTCAACAAAAGTCAAAACACAATTACACATACCTAATTACAGACCCTGAGTCCATATTCTTTGCTCCATAAAAATGTCTACCTGCGGCAGAGGTTGGTATTTCTTGTAGTCTCCACACACGGACGCCACATTGCTTCAGAGTAATCTATACAATTTATGTTTTGCTGATCTGTGCAGATTTTAAACAGTCCTTAATGAGGAGCTGCTTCTTAAGACCATGCAGCATCAACACTTCTGCTCGCAGTAAATGCAACTTTACCAGATATGAATCCACCTCTGGTTGGCACAGTCAACTCAGGGCAGTTCAAACTAAATCAACTATGTGTACCAGTGAGTAGGGCTGCACAAGTCATTTAGTTTTAATCTAATCATCTATTATGGCATTGCTGGAGAAACAGAATTGATGGTGATCATTGAGGCTCAAAATATGCAGCCGCAAAATAAGCTTTAAGAAACTCACTAACCTTTTGCAAAAGTGTGAGAGTAATGACTTAGGGTGATGGGATCTTAGCATCCCTAGGTAATACTATACATAAGACTGATGGGTAGTAGCAGATCAGATCCAGGTGCAAATGGGATTTCATGGGTTCAGGTGGTGAACACCCCCTGAGATCTGGTCACAAATCATACAAGACAAGACTCTGACAGCTCTGAATAGAAAGAGGGGGCATGGCAGAGGTCTTTAATTGTTTTCTGGGTTGGTATGAATCAGCCTGTAAGCTCTGAGACTGGAATGAGGACAGGACCTGACATGTGTGGTGGGGGGAATCTCTCAATGTGGGCCAAAGGCCAGAGCTGCAACGTGTGGATGAAAGAGAGTATCACACACCTGCGTTCAAACAAAGGACTCTGATGAAAGAATCCCACTGCCAACCCAGATTCAGTGGACGTGGTCTTGACCTTTCCAGGATAATAAATAAGGGGGGTCCTGTTATAAATCGCACATGCACATATGATTCTCTCCAATAGAGAAGATAGGAGCTTTTAGAAGGGACTTAAATTGCATCCAAAATGCATTATACACCCCAAACCAGCAGGTGACAGCAAAGTACAGTTCCCTTTAACTGAGACAAAAAAGAGAGAAGCGTATAGTTTTGCGACAAGTCCTATAGGTAAATCCCAATCCACTAAATTGGAGTGAGTCTTTGAACCTGGGGTAAAAGTTGCTGAAAATAATGGAGATCCTTGCAGGGGAAGCTGAGAGATAAGGAGCTTGGACCTGACAGGCCAGGCATGGAAATAAAATTGAAATTCAACAACAGAGGGAGAAATTCATCTTTTTTTTAAGGAGCTGATACACTAAAAAGTCTCGAGTAATGATGTGGTAAGCGTAAGTGGTACTAAGGCTCATGTACATCTTTTATTATGTTGATGCCAGCCCCCTTCCCCTGGAGAAAAAAAAAGGAACCAGCTGCCACTGTGCAGATTTTCAAGATAATACACCAGTACTACCATGACAAGAACATTAACATCTGTGTGATAAAGGACGAAGGAAGAAGTAGGGTAGAGAGGGATAGAAGGTGGGTATATGACCTCATGACCATGTTGTTGTTTTTCTGTTTTTGTATTTGTTTCAACCCAAACTATAATCTTTCCCTGCAAAGTTGATCAGTGCCTTAAAAATGTCAACAGCTAGCTTAGCCCCAATTTCTTGTTGTTTTGCTCAATACAGCTCTCTACAAAAACAACTTCTCACAAACTTCGATTTGATGCTTTTGTGCTCCAGACATCTCTGTGGACATAAGAGAGGATTTTTCTTTCTGTGTTCACAGGAAAAAAAAAAATCTCCTTGGATTTCATCGTTGCACCGTGACTAGCAAGTGTCGGTCTGTGTTTCAGGTGCTGTCTCCTCTCACATCATCGGTCATGGCTGAAAGGAGCATCAGGGTGCTGGAAGATAAAGTGAGTGTGACAGAACTGGGGGTGCAGCTGGTGTCCGGACTCTCTCTGTCTTTGCAGCTCAGCCCAGGGAGCAACAAGGCCATTGTTGCCACCGCAACCACACAAGAAGTCATTCAATCTCTGAAACAGGTACAAACTCGGGAAAATCCAAATATCTACCAACATTTCGATTTGAATTTATTATTTTCCATGCCTCATGCCACATGAGAAAAGTCTAACCTTTTTTAGCTTTACTGTGCTCTGGATTTGGCTTTGAAGTGGATCAGAGTTATAATGGAGTCTGTGATACATGTTGTGACTTTTTCTTTCTAATTAATTCCCTCTCGCAGTTGTGCCTGTGATTTACATATCCAGCCACTGACTATCTGTGTTATTCTTCTGATTATACTTTCAAATGGTACAGGGCTGCCGTCTTTTTCCTTGGAGAGTTACATATATTTGGATTTTACAAGAATAGTTTTCCATCCAATCAGTTTAATTGTTTTTTGATCCTTTCTACTGTAATTAAAACTCACTTTTGCTTCCACCACATCCTTTGTTTTATATTCCAGTCATCCTTGGCATTAACTGGAAATGTGCAAATGATTTTCAGTGATTATTTTCAGAATCATCAGTGGCACTAATGCTGATTGTTGTTTGTATTTGTATTTGTTCAGGAGTCCCTCATCAGTGCTTGGCTCCAGTTCAGTGATGGCTCTATGACTCCATTAGACAACTACAACCCTGCCCATTTTACCCTGGCAGCCTCCTCTTTGAATGAAAAGGTGGTGAAAGTGCAGCGTAGTGCAGTGTGGAAGTGGCCTGTTGTCGTTGCCAAAGGTGAAGGTCATGGCTTGCTTGTGCGTGTGGAAATGAACCAACCGGAAGTGTGCCAGAGGGGGAAACAAAAAACTGTCATAGCCACTGGAATGGCAAACATACAGGTCAAGTTTGGTCAGACAGAGGACCAGTTCAGACAGCCAGGAGACCGACGAACACGTCCTGACCCTCCTTACTATGGTGGATCTATCTCTGACATGGATACGGGAATAATTAACCATGGATCTACCACCATCAGGGGTCAAATCCCTGTGAGACCCAATGGTGGTCGTCAATCTGTGGACAATGGGGTAAGAGTCCCAAATGAATTCTCTGAATATCCAGACCAGGCAGAACTGCCGAGGAGCCACAGCACTGATGAGGACTTCTCCCCATCCAGACGTGGACTGACGGACCTAGAGATTGGTATGTACGCCCTGCTGGGAGTCTTCTGCCTGGCCATCATGGTTTTTCTTATTAACTGCATCTCTTATGCATACAAGTACCGCAGTAAGCACATATCCTTAGAGGCTCCGGAGACAATGCCCCACGCTCATGACTGGGTTTGGCTGGGCCAGGAAGAGGGGCTTTGTCTGCAGCAACAACAGCAGGACGAGCTGGGTGGAACCTTAGAAGAAGGTAGTCAACTTCTGAATGGAGGCTTACAGCGGGGTAATGTTGGTGGATGTAGTGGGAGGAATGAGTCCCTGAACTCACCGACCACCAAGAGAAAGAGGGTGAAGTTCACCACCTTTTCCAATGTCAAGTCCAGTAATGGATGTCCCGTGCTTAGCCCATTAGCACTGGTGCAGAGCAGTGAGATAAAATGGGTATGTCCAGACATCGAGCTTGGAGACTCAAAGGATCTAAGGAACTACATGGATAAGCTTAATGAGAATGCAATTAAGAACATGGCATAGGAGATGCTGGAGGTTTTCACGAACTTTAGAGAAACTCACCTGAATGCCTTCAGAACAAGGAGGGAATGAGGGTTAGAGAAAGAAAAGGACAAGACTAAAAGGGGGCGCAGAAAACAGCCTGGAACTGTTTTTAAACTGTCCCTCATGATGACCACAGAAGAGTGTGTTCAGAATCAGCAGTTTTCATCTCACAGGGGATCATACAGTGTACCACAACATGACGTGTTTGCCATGACACAGCAGCAAAGTTAAAAAGAAGGAAAGTAAACTTGATATTGTTGATTAACTTAAATGTACGTTATCTGTCTTTAATTGAGGTTCAGTTTCCTTTTCTATGCACCATGTAGTTTCTGTTGAGCTTTCCTTATATTTTCAGTCATCTTGTTATCCCGTTGTACTTGTTGTACTTTTTTGTGTTTTGTTAATTTTATAAGAGAGATGTTATATGCTCTGTATCATATGTCAGCAAATAGATTCTAGGAGAGAGGGGGTTTTAAGCAGTTTTGTATTGTATATAAATACAGAGTTTGATTTGGAAGTTTTGTATGTAAAGTAAGATTTTGTAAAGTGGTGTTTAGTTTGGTTTTGGTTTGTAGTTTAGTTTTTGTTCCGTCTCCAGAAAACAGACCCATGCATGATGACATGAAACAGGAGGTCTGACCTTTACTTGAAATGAAATATAACAAAACCAGTTCCTCTGGAGACATGTCACTTTAATACCTTTGCATACAATCATCATGGAGCTGATTTGGGTTTGTTTTGGTATATTTTGGCATTCATTTGTAGTGTTTTTTCGAGCCATACATTTCCCCCCTTATGTTATTTATGCAACCCCTTTGGTCCAGTAGCAGGCTTTACCCAACATTTGCTAAGGACAGTAAGATAAATCTTGATATGGCCTGATATTATGTTCACAAAACAAATCATGTTAAACACAGAAAACATTGATGAGCATTGATAAATTCAATAGACAATCATGAATATTGTACAGATCGATCTTTTGATTTAAAATTATCCATTAAAACAATTCAAGTTTACATATTGTACGGTCCAATTGGATAGTGATCAGTTCAAGTGTCAACTTTCTTAAACTGTACATGATATTTTGCAGCCCAGGGAAAGGGTCGTGAAAGTAAATGAACAAAAGCTCAAACTGTGAAGTGAAAGTCCAAAGTCTGAACTCATCTCTCCTTTAGTGAGTTAAATTCATCCTTTTCTATCTATGTTCTGAAATTGGCTGCTGGACTAATTAAAACTGAGAGTGGCTTTTCACTATCTTGTTGCTGTGTGATTCATTGGGCTGAATGTTGTGTTTTTCTCTCAGTCTTTGTTGTTTCACTCATCTGACTGGTTTATCGGAGTCAATGGACAGTGGATTCATCAAGAGTAACAAACTGTTGCCTGTTAACACTTGGTACAGCTATCAGATGAAGGAAAAGAGGTAAGTCATACACCTACTATCCCTCCACTTTTTGCCACCAACTCATACAGACTATAATATTTTCTCTTTTATGTCAAAGTGTTGGGTTTTTTTTGAGTGGGGGAAATGATTTGATGGAATCTACCATGTATTTATATTCTTCAGCCTGTAAACTGGACACAGGTCAGGGCCTGTTGAAGGGGCAGAGGCAGACCTGATTGCGTCAGGACGATGGGAAGATGGATAGAACCTGTAATGGTTATTAGGTTCATAATAGATGCGAATTTCCCTAAAGAATATCCACAAAGTCAATGAGGAGGATGGGCTGAGGGTCAGTTAGATGAAAGGAGCCTCCTCAGTAGCAGTGCTCTCCTCGTAATGCTGGAAATTATTTTGATAAAAACTTATTTGTGGATGAATATGATTAAAATAGTCACTTAATTGATGTTTGAAGACCCATCTCTGATTTTCTCAGGAGGTTACAGGCTGAGAGTGTTTCTGTTAGCTTCTTATACGACTCTGAATAGATCACAGAGGCCTTTAAAACTACAGGTAAATGGGCTGCAAGGCAATCTGTTGCTGTCTGTTCCACTTAGGTGGGGACTGCAATCGAGCTGATGTTTGGCGGCTGTGCAGAGGGTTGGATTACAGAGACACTCAGGGGCTTTCGCCGCTGTGGTGAATACATTCTCCATGGTAACTAGACTGAAAAGGGAAATCACTCAGCTCTTGAGAAAGACTCTTACCGGGCCATTTATTGATTTTTCCACAAACATAAGACTAATTCAGACACAAGTGTCAGGATTTAATCTTCCTTTACGTGCTTAAACAAATATTTACACATTTCTGTTAGGCTGAAGCAACATCATTCGGGTGCCTTCAAATGGGCTTTCCAACCGGGAGTAACAGCAGAGAGAGTGTTGATGTGTTTGCGTTGCCTTGTGTTCAAACAAAATTAGGATAATTATTTCCTCCTTCTTGATATTGTAACATGTTAAGTTATCTTTTATTACTGCTATTCAAGAGTTTCTTTTTGACTTAAGTGAGCTATTTTTTTTGCATCTTAAGGTGTATGAAATCAGTCCTGAAACTTAATTTGGTGGCTGGAAGACTAAACATTGATTCAACAGGTGATAAGTGCTTTGTGCCTTCAAACTAAACCCTTGCAGGTAGTATTAACCAGTAAAGTTTATTCTTTCATTGTGTCGGATTAGCTTTATACAATTTATGTGAATACACAGTAACAAGTTTGTCTCTTTTCACCAAACATTTTAGGTACTGTTTAGTTTTTAGAAAAAAAGTTTCCCATGGATATTTGACGGCCTGTGGAGAATGATAAAACAAATGTGTTTCTGTACTGAGAGCCAGTCATTCAGTGACATCTGATGACAGCTGAATCTCCAGCTGAGCTCTTTCCTTGACTGCCTGTTGTCATTAAATGTCTGAGCAGAGGTGTCCACCTCTGCTCAGCTTCCCGAGACATTAAATTAAAGCCCACAGTAAGTCCCCCTCGTGGTGCAAAGGTCTATCCTGGTACTGACTGATAAATGACAGCAGCTGGTGAAAGTAGCCTGTGATAGAGAACAGGGTACCATTGGTGAGTATCTGCCTCTTTTGCTCTGTTGACTGTAAAAACATGTATGTAAATTCAATTCCTATCTGTTATGGGGTTTCAAATTCCTTCTGATCCATCGGAGTAAAGTAAAGATTTTGGGAACCTTTTTTTGTTCTCCAGTATTTTATCTCCAAATGATTGATTGTCTTCCTGCATCTGTCCCATTACAGGATGGATCATAAAAAAGAGCAGCAGGACTGTGTGTGTCAGGAGATATACTGTGTTGCAAACCAACAAAACTCAGCAGCCTGGAGGTGAAAGAGTAAGGAGGATTTGTTAGGTAAAGCAGCACATCCCTCAGTCAGTGAACTAGATCCAGTAAGAGTCTGACTTCAAGTCTACACATTGAGAAGCAAAGGAAATATGTATGTAAACACATATGTATACTATGTTGTAATGCTAAATGCACACAACGAACCGCTGCTGCTGTACAAAAACCTTATATGGCAGCTTATAACAACAAGCTGTGAGTAACATCACATTAGCAGCTAATGTAGCAATAACTAATATGTGTGTACATTATGTATGTAGCGATAAGTGGGCACTGATAACTAGCCTCAGATGTTTTCTGAGGAACTTTCAGGTTAGCTCTTAACAACAAAGCTCAACCTTTGTGTCAAATATATGACACTGAAAAGCAGCCAAATGAAGCATTTCAAGAGGAGGAAATAAGGGTTTTCATTCTTTACCCCATGAATAAGAAGTCTTTTGAGCTGTAAAGTTTCCACATGTGGGTCCCAGTCTTACATAATGAAAAGGCAAACATTGGTGGTATAGGGCTCCTTTATTCTTGGTGACAGTTGGAAGTGTAAAAGTTAAGACAATTGCAGTCAGAAAACTGAGAGTAAGATTTTCACCATTTGACTTAACTGTTCTTATTTTAAACTTAGTATAACAACTTTGCTGGAGGGGTAATGCATCCCCCCTGCCCTTTATTTCAGCATCTCAAGCTCCATAGCAGTAGTCCAAAGTACCCTGAGAAAAGACATCACTCAACTTGATAAACACATAGTTTAAAGTGCTTGCCCGTGTATTGATGTTGTATTATGTGAACCCATCTGATGAAATAAATCCCAGTGTTTGACAACATGTTCACTTCACTAATGGGTCTCTCCATCTAACCACTCTTGTTTCTGACTTTTAGACCTTCATATGTGTGTGAAGGAATATCAAAAAGTGCATCGCACTGAGAGAAGGGCCTTGTTCACAGCAGTATCTGATCTTTTATTCATATCATATCGCTGTCTGTCATTGAGCGTCTGCCTCTCTGCTCTCATTTATCAGCACATTAGGATGTTGTTTTGTTTGTGTACTCTTGCTGTGAGAAGGGCATACAGATAAAACAATTTCCTTTATAAGTCTCTGATCAGATCAGCATCTGGTAATAGATCTTGCTTAATGTGTGTGTTTTGTTTGTGTCAAAGATATCTGTAAATGTAAGGCAGATATGAGATGGTATAAATACAGTTTTATGTCCCTCTCCTTTTTGACATTACTCCTAAATACGTTTTTGTAACAGTGAAGCTGACCTTTAACTTAACTGCTTAATCCAACATAAATAATAACTAATTCTATCGGCAGATTGCTTTTCAAAACCATGTTACTAGGTACTTCACTTGTAGGTAACAAAATCATGCAAGGCAGGATTTAACTGAATTGAATTAAACTGTTTATTTCAAACACATAAAAGTGAATAAAAAAGAAGAGAAAAAATATATAGAGTCAAAAAAGGAAGGGATTTTTTTTAACATTGATTAAAGAAATAATGATTAATGATCAGGTTTACAAATTCAATTAAGAAACTAGTGCTATATTCTGCATCACATCGTCCCATATTCATGATCTAAAGCTTTTATTTTATTTTATTCATTTATTTATTTATTTATTTATTTATTTATTCAGCAGAAGCAGGTTTCAAGCGTTTTGTGATTAGAAAAATAAAGAAAGATAGAAGCTGGCCCTTAAATGTGCTTTTGGGTTGATGTGTAGAAGCAGGGCCAATGTTAGAAGGTGGGTTGACAGAAAGTAATTGATGTCAACAACCTGTCCGAGAAAATTACAGGAGGCGCTTGCGGTGAACATGGAAAAACCCCAAGGGACTGTGCTCAGGTAGAGTAGACATCAGTTGAGATTGAACATCTATGTTTGTCTGCACAGCTAGTTGACACTAATATAAAAAGTTTTATACTGACACAAAAGATTTTTAATGTTGATGCAAGATGTCATTTAAATATACTCATTTTTAAGCTGCATGTACTTTTAACAGGGCTATTCTTGACTGCCATCTGTTGTTTATTAAATTACTGCATTAGAATTATTCAGACAGGGAAAAAAAACACGAGAAAGAGCAAGTTTTGAGACACATAATGAGTCCTATAAATAGCATCTGGATAAAAAGAATTGAGTTTTGGATTTTCTGCCAAGGAAAATGTAAGGGGCCAAGTTTCAGACGTCTGTTGTTTAAAAGAGGAATTAAAATTATCTTAGAAAGAAGAAAAAAGTCATTTTCCTTTCCTGACAGCCTCAGAAGACAGCGGTCTTGCTAGGCCAGTGTCCATGAGCAACAAGAGCAGCAAACGGTTGTGATTTGCACTAATATGAGTTAACATAAGAAACAGTCATGCCTTGATAATAAGAGGATACAAACACTGCTCCCACCAATAAAACATGCCTAAACTCAGCACCGGGAAAACTGCCCATTTATTCTTTTAGGGTTGTGGGAAAGAAGATCAAATCGTTTGACATAAGGATCTAATATTTTTTTGCAGCAATGCCATGCTAGCTCTTCCGGCCAGTTTGTGCAATTATTCTTCGTTAAATTCTTTTCAGCAGATTGAATAAGAGATGGGGGATCATAAACACAAATATATTTTATTTCTAAATTAAGTTTTTAAAAGGGAAGAATAAAAATAGCTTTAATCATCAGGCAAAAACTGCCCCACAAAGCCACAACTGATCCACATCTGATTTTTTAAAATCTCTGAAGGTGAAAATGGTGAGGGGAAAAAAATCAAGTCCCATCTCTATTGTCAACTCTTCTTGTGTGTGCAGCATCTTAGAGGATATTTTACCTCTCCAGCCATCTGATTGCTTTCTCTGAGGCTCCTGTTTGTCTCTCGCTCTGACAGGCCAATCAATAAAAGACTCGCACAATTATACTGACCATTAGGACAGCTGAAAAAAGTCAAAACTTACAAGCAAGCTACAGGATCATGCAATACAAGCAGTTCATTAGACAAGAATCATTGCAGAATCATCATCTCTTCTGAGTTCTATTAGCACGCAATCATGGAGTGCCACATTGTTTAGGAGCCAATATTACATGTCTTTTCCATTGTTTCCTCTATAAACAGTAAAGTGCTTGTCAGGGAGCTTTAATGATACCCTTGTATAAAACAAGCGGCAGGATGAACATTGAGTACAGATACAGACATATGCTAATTTGTCTAACTAGAGATCTTGTAGCCTGTTCCTCTGTTTTGCTGTTACCGCCCCCCCTCTTGCCGCTCAAGGAGCTACCCTGTTACATTTACATCACGTTACATTATCCACGATACTTGGTATATAGACTGTGTATAAGCTTGAACGTTACCCTTCACATTAATTGAAGAGAGTCTGACTAGTCAAATATAACGTTGTGTGTTGTGCTTATACAGCGCGAATAGAAATCATCAGTGGGGCAAAGATATTAATGATCATGTGAAAGTTCAGCATGTAATTCAGCAGCCCTGAATGAATGTAGGGAAAACACTGAGACTTGAAGAGCTCAGAGCAGGAACCCTTGGCTGGGAGAGATTTTCATTACTGTGGTTTACAGCAGAATTACTGAAAGGTTGGCATGAGTTCCCTGAGGCTAATATATCCTCTTGTCGTCAGACAGTGATAGGCAGTGATTGATGGGTTCCAAGACCAGCGTTGAATAACACATGAAAGACAAAAAAAGCATCAGATGATGGTCTGATAATGGTATCAAGTAGAAGAGGCTTTTTTATTCCCAGTTTGCCTATACTGAGAAAAGTGTTTGATGTAACTCAATCTATTACCTCAATTTCACCCCAAACTTGTGTTATGTTCTCATCTATTTCTTCCACGTTGTGTTATTAATGAAAACTGAGGATCTGGACCACTGAATATTCAGTGAGTCTTGGTAGACTAATTTTAATGTGTCTTCATAAACTCGGGGACTGCAGGAAATAAATGGATGAGTTGCTTTGGTGCAGCTGTTTCTGTGGGCTGCTAAGAAAATCCTTTTTTTCTTTTTCTTTTGTACAATAAATTAAACCAGCTTCAGTCCATTACATTAAACTGAATCGCTTTCTTAGTTTGAGGACAGCAAGAAATGTATTCCAAGCTGTGAAAAAGAGGCACGTTTTATTGTTGTTGGTCATATTTGTGGTGCTGCTGGATTGTAATAAAGAAGAATGATAGGGGATGTTAAGGAGGGCGAATATTAAAATGCCTCCGGCAGGTTTTGCTCATTGTTAAATGGGATATTAAGTCCATCTTGGGGAAAGCTCGCTCAAAACTAATAATTGATCACACATCCAAACAAGTAAGTTTGAATGTGTGATCACATGTTTGTTGAACACGTGGAGCATGTTCTTCAACCTCAGGATAAATGTGTAGACAAATACACGACCATGAACTTATGAGGATATCCTGAATGTAATAGGCGTTGAATAAACATTCAGACCATAGACTGTATATGCTATGGACAAGGTGGTTCCACCTTCTGCCAGTATAAGGATTTGAAACCAAAAAGCATTCGGTATTTCCAGGATTTTTCTCCACTTCCTGAAACCAACATTGCGCAGTAGCATTGTATGCATTCGGAGGAAGAGTCGCCGAGAGTTGCGGTGATGACGCTTGGCTCAAACATTGTATCCCCCGGGTGAGTTACGCAATCTCCGTAGACCCTTACCCGAGAATTCCACTGGACCCGGAACGGCTCTGCTCCAAGATGGTGTCCATTACATATACAGCCTATGATTTAGACACTTCATCTACATTTATGACACACTCAGACAAAGACACACAAAGATAGCATGCTTTATGAGGAAAAAAGGCCATGCTTTGTACAAGCTGCATACTTTTATTTTAAAAAGTTGTCTCATTTTTTCTCCTTAAAATTATAATATATGCTAATATATTTTTTATTTCTTTCTGCCCACTTTACAGAAAACAAGTCAGCCCATTGGTCAAAGAAAAAACACTGCTTATGTGTGTCAATCAATGTTTTTAAACATCTATTGAAACTTTTATTACAACCAAAGAAATAAAAACTGCTACTTTTAGTCATTTCAGTAAAAAGAAAGAAATTAGTCCATTAGACTTCAGCTACAATTAGCCTCTAATGTGCATTTTTAAATGTGAGCATAAAACGTAAAAGAGGCTGTTTATCTTTTTTGAGACGGGCCGAGAAATCAGTACAATGATCTAAAAGTCACTCTAATTACACAATTATCAGATTTTGTTAGTAACTTTTGATAGTGAGGCCCTTGCAATTGCTGTCAGGCTGTCACAGTTATACAAGTTTTCCTCAATGGATGAACAAGCTGAAAGTTGCAGAAAAATAAGCAAAGTAGGGTAAAAGTGAAACGATGAGCCATGATCGGACCATTTATGAGTTGAACGGAGAAAGTGGTGGAAGTAAATGAAATATATTTGAAGCTTCCAAAAAGAAAACAGGATAGCCTGGTCATATCATATGGTACAGCAGAATACAGCTCTACAGCTCACTGCATTCAATCAGCTCAAGAGCTCTGACGTCTCACTGAGTCGGGACACAGTAACCACACTGTGCTGCCATGTATCACTCCAGTACCACTGTGAAGTGAAGCTTTCAGGAAGCAGATTGAAAAATTACCTGACCAGTCATACGGCTTCTCTGTACATGCGCAAAATATCTGAGGACGTTAAGTGTAGTTTGAGGAGCCAGCCTACTAGATCTAGTTTTATCAGGAATGCCAATCCTTTCATATGATCATATGTATTCTGTTGTTTGTTTGTTTTTTTTTCTTTTTTTAACCATTATTTTATTTTCTTTTTTAAATTCAAGATAGTTTTGTTACTAATACGTTCGTGAAGCACCTCTTTTTCTTTGTTCTAGGATGGTGGCTATCATTAATTTGATCTGCTAAAATTTCATAAAATTACAGATTACTCAAAATAAATTTTACTGTAAAAAAAAATAACCCAAAGTGCAGAAGTTAGTAAGTTACAGAGTGTGCTCTTAACTTAGTCACTTAATGTTTCAGCTCTTTTCTTGCTGTAATTTCTTCTGAAACCAATAGGAGATGAATTTCAGGAGTTAAATCAGCCAATTAAGTGTTGTTAGAGGAACTTAAAGAGAACAGTGTGTAAGTATTTTCTCAATCATGCAAATGAGCTCAGTTTTGGTAGTGAGAGCACTGTTGGAGTGTGTAATTGAAAATGCTAAAGATTGTCTCGCATCACAAAGTTGAGGGACGCTCCGTCTGGCTGCAAATCAGGATGGCCCTCGTGTGCCGCACATGCTGAATCATACCTGATCTCTCCAGAAATGAATTGTTTTATTTTAGCTAACTGTGCAGAATACATCCAGGTTTGCCTAGGAAACTTTTTCTTTTTTTTTTTTTTTGCCAACCCTATTTCCGCCAGCAAACGCATACAGCCGTAATTAGTATTTCTGTACCTGGCTGTGTAATTGAGGGGGAGAATGGGATGCTGTCTGTAAATCATAGCTTTGTAAACTGTTTCCTCAATGGATTGTCTACTTGTATCAGTTAGAACAGCTGTTGCCATTTATCTTTGGTATCATGTTGAGCATGCTATTTCTATCCATCTTTATTCACGTAACTCATAAGGTTGTAAAATGCATTTTGCAACTGTGCTCAAGAAGAGAGATAACTCATGAACATCTACATGCATAGAGCCCAGGCAGCTGATTATATCTCTCTACTGTTGATCTTTGACCTAAAACAGATTCCATCACCACCAACACACAAAGCTGGCAACACACTGGAACCGATAATCATTGGCAAGTGCGTCACAGCTAACCTATGTGTGACACCTCTCCACCTCTCTGACTATTACTTTATTCAGTTTTCACTTTGCCTACCAGAATTTCAACAAGCTACTTCTCAGTTAAAATCATACCACAGAAACAATTAGTCACTTGACCCAACTGAGCTGTCTCCTTCACACTCTCTGTTAAAGACGTTATGAGTGAAAGTTAGCGAACCAGCACGATGGTCGTCCATCAGCTCCCCTCCAAGCAGCAGGTGGTCCAGGTGAGGAGGTCTCCTGGAGGCCATCTTCAGACTTCTCAGGGGTTTTTCCTCAGTCGTCGGTCTCTCCGGTGGGTTGTTTTTAAATAAACAGTTGGTTTGTAGTTTCTTTCTCGCTTTCTCCAAAGTTTGCTTCCCACAGCCAAAAGTTCGCTGCTACTCTTTACCAAGTTTGAGAGCAAAGGGGAATCTAGAATATTCAGATGGTTTAAATAACCCAGTTTCCGTCTCCATGACGACTGACGTGCATGTGCGTGAAAGACAAAATTAAAATATATCAAATAATTTTGTTTAATACAATTTAATTCATTTTTTTTGCCCACATTTTTGTTTTTTTTTTCATAAATTTATTTATTTGTGTATTTTGCCATCAGTTCAATGACTTTCTAAGTTCACTGAACAAAAATATAAATGCAACACTTTAGTTTTTACTCCCATTTTCCACGAGATGAACTGAAAGATCTTGGACTTTTTCTCTGTAAACAAAAGACCTATTGCTCTCAAATATTGTTGAAAAATTTGTCTAAATCTGTATTAGTGAACACCTCTCCTTCGCTGAGATAATCCATCCACCTCACAGGTGTGGCATATCAAGATGCTGATTGGACAGCATGATTATTGCACAGGTGTGTCTGAGACTGGCCACTATAAAGTTTATCTGGAAATTTATCCCCAACTACTCCTCATTCAGAGGTCAGATCTGCTTACAGCCATGATGAACCTCTGAATTGAACAGCTTTTTACATCCATTTACACCCTGATGAACAGAGCAGAGGTCCCTTCTTTCATTTGATTAAATCATAACCCGCTGAGCTCATTAGATGTGATTTACATTTAGAGATTTTTTTTCCCTGCTCTGTACTTCCTGAACTCTCTCAGCATGAGATCTGTAATCGCACAATTCTGATGACCCGATATTTCCTAACCCGCAGAAATCCCCGCTCACAAAGTCGTGTCCGGCCATCAAAGCTTGGAAATAGCACCATGCTGCTTCAAGATCTACTCTCATGTATTCAGTGTAGCTGGTTAATTATGGGGGTGAAAGCAGATCAAAGGTTCCTGGTAGGTTCACTCATTATTATGAACCATATCTGACACCAAATTAGAGTCAATCAGAGAAGGAACACTTTGGTCATTTCTTTTATTAATATTTTTATTATTATTTCATTATTATTTACTTAAGTAATGATTGGGCAGCTGTTGTGTCCGTGGAGAAATCTGGAGGATTTGGCTGTTTTAGGTTAGTTTTATATTAGAAAGCTTTGGATTTAATCATGAGGAATGAAAAAACTGGAGACACTATCAATCATCAGCCTCCGTTTTTCTCCTGTGTCAAATTACCCCTGTACCATCTCACCATCCTAACTGCAATTTGATAGAAAGTACCACACCTTATCACCCCAGCTGTCAGGGGAATGACGAACCTGCAGATTATCATGTTAGAGCGGCGTTAGCTAATGAAGTTTTACAATTGAATATGAAAAAGCTTCTGCACAGCCTGCCGTGCCAAAAGCATGTAAAACATACAGAGCAGCAATGTGTTTGAATATTAACACCCCAGATTGTCGGTGTACCCATTTGTTCACAGTTTTTTTTATTTTTTATTTTATCCTGATGAAGAAAGGATTGATTTAGAGCTTATTTTACATTTTACTTTGCAGTTGTTCTCCTAAAGGCTCCTCAATATGAATCAGATTCATGGTGTAAATTAGAAGTGCCTGCCTCATCTAAAGCATCTTCTATATAATCCCGGTGTACTTGAGCTGTCAGCAGGATGGAAATGGAAAACACACTGTGTTCACAGCTGGAGACTGACAATTTCTACCTTTTAGTGTTGAGTGAAACATAGAAAACCAAGTGAAAAAAACTGGGTAATTTTTCAGCTACTCCTCTGACATTTAGCCACACACTTGGTGTTTTAGGTTGTTAACACAATCTTGTCTCCAGGAAGCATGTGATATTATGAAAGACTCACAGTCTAGACTTTGTCTCCGCCCACGTCTCAGAGGTAAATTGCTAATGAGCTACTGGAACTCTGCAGAAGAAAGCCCACGGAAATGACAGGTTACGTGATTTTGGCTAAAAACTTCATGATGAAAATTGAAAGACCACTGATAACACTTGCAGTTGGAAAAAAAAAAAGAAAGGAATCAGAGTGAGACTTTGAAAAAGTTATTTCCATCAGGCCTTGGGCACTGTCTATTTCAAATCTGCATAAAAGACTCAGAAAATGCAGATAATCTTTCCTACAACAGCTGATAATGAAATCAATGACACTTGGCACACAAAATCTTATCTCGCGGTGAAACGACTTCAAAACTGGCAATGTTCCTCAGATGCTACATTTATTATAGACTCCAGGAAGTTATTTTTCAATTTGCACTCCTTCTGTGAGTTAAATCAACCATATGCTTCTTTAATATACATTTTTTGGGTCACTGCTGATTCTTTGACCCAGACTGCTACATAATCTTCTCGGTCATGTTTTTTCTCCCTCCTTATGGACTTTTCACAAGAGATGGATTCCAGTGAGAAAAAGGGAACCAAAACAGAACTGCACTTTTGGCACAGTGTAATAACACTTCAGTCATGCAAATGAGCTTGGTTTTGGTAGTTAGAGCACTGTTGGAGTGTGTAATTGAAAATGCTAAAGATTGTCTCACATCAAAATGTGGAGGAACGCTCAGGCTGGCTGCAAATCAGACCAGCCTCCACATGCTGCACACATTGAATCACTGCCTTGATCTCCTCAGGACTGCATCATTTTATCTTCATTAACTCTACTGAATCCATCCAGGTCTGTCAGAGGGCCAATTTCTTTCACCAACTCTCTCCCTTCTACATTTGGCAAAGAGAAAAAGATGATGTTCTCCCCCCTCTCGCTGGCTGACTGATATGGACTGAGACCAGTGACGGAGGATGGGATGTTGTCTGTTTAGGGGAGAGTGGGGTAAGATGAGCCATTTTTCATATTTTAGATCACTACATCAAGGCAATTGGAGTTCTGTCTCTAACTAGTGTATCTGCATATATTTCAAGACGTTATGCATCCCTGCAAACCAACAGAATGAGTGTAAACACAACTGTCTTGATAATATAGCATGCCAAAAAAGGTGGTTTCCTATGCTCAACTTACCCCGTGTATGGGAGCGGTCTATGGAGCGGGGTAAGTTGAGCCGTATCCCTACTCAACTTACCCCAGAACTACTATTATGACTTTATTAGTCCTCTAAGCAAAAATGGTGGACTTTTATGTTAGGTTTTTGACCTCATGTTGTAGCGCATAGATACAACAATTAATGTATAAAACAAATTTAAAATGATCTTTTTTAGCAAAAAGCATGATGCCTTTCTGACATGTTGGGTTCACATTATTAGTATTAGTATTTTTTTTTTTTTGTTTTTTTTTTGTTTTTGCTTTGATTATTGTTATTGTCGATTTAAATATTCTCATTGTTTTTGTTTGTTTGTTTTCAGTTTACTTTCTTGTGTTGCATGCACGTTTGAAAGAATAAATAAATAAATAAATAAATAAAAATAAAAATTCAATGAGTTTCCTGGAGTGGCCATACAAAGTGTTCCCGTCTGGTGCTTTATCATATCGCATTAAGAGACACTTTAACAAGCCCAATCATCAGTTAACAGACTTCTGCTTTTTATTTGTCTGAATCTGTGTCCAAAAATCAAGTTTGACTATGCAGAGAAAAAAAGACTTTCCAAAAGTCAGTCCTCTTTTTCTACAAAAACTGTCACGTCTGTGTGTGACAAAGAAAAATTGTCTTTTTACCTTTTATTGCTCTTCTGAAGTGAGAAAATAAAACCAACAAAAGCTTTTAAGGGCCAGGAGGAACAATGCCAAGCTGAAGTGAGGCATGATTCCCACTATGAAGTGTGTGAACGGCTCAGCTGGGTTGTTAAGGGACAACAGTGGCCATTGAATGTGAGCCTTAAGTAAAAAAACATTTGTGGATAATCAGCTGCAGTGATTTAAAAAAAAAATCACTCCCGGCTTGTTTCGTCCTCAGTGGACCTCCTGTCCTGCTTGGCCAGCCATCTGCTCTGGTTTATGTTTCATACTGAGGTCATGACCAAGGCTGTGGATGGTTTTTATTTTAGCAGAGTTAATACAGTGACACGCACACACTGTGAGATTAAACAAGCAAGTTTCCAGGACTGCCGTTTGAAAAAATCTTTAAACTGAGAGTGTTTTTGGTGCCTTGGTCTGAGATGATAATAGCATGCTTAGATATTGATCTGCTCCCACCAACAGAGACCTTATCCTTTAACGGCTTTTTCTCCTTTTAGACAACCAGACATGTGAAGTGAATACCAATGAATGTGAACACTAATGTGCCCATGCTCATGCTAATAGGGAAAATGAAGAGAGGAAGCAGAAGTGCACCCGACAGAGACACACAGGATCCACAGGTCATTAAAGAGCTCTTTCTGCACCCTGTTATATTAGTTTTCTAATATCAGCAGTTTCACAATAAAGGTATCATCTGTTAGACTCCTCAGGTGAAAAAAGTTCATGTTATAAGTAAAAATAGAGAATAAGTCATCTTCAGTTGGCATCTCCACAATCAGCAGCAAAACATGTCGGGCATGTGAACACAAAAGGTTGGCTGCACATGTTTTACCTGGTTTCTAAGGAAACCAGTAATTAAGGATGCATAGAGCCATGAAAGCATACACTATGTAAATGTGAAGAAAGTAAAACAGAAACAGAAATGAAGAGAACGCAGAAAACGTCCAAATAGATGTGACAGGAAGCAGGAACAAGAACCTCGAGAACTCATGTTTGTCCCTATCAGTCTGTTTACCAATACCAAGACATAAGGACTCCTGAAGTGTCAAGGTGGTGTTTCTTGGATTATATTAAGAGAAGATTAACCCCGATTTTGGATTTAAAAGCAACATATGTACAGTATGAAAGTCTCCATAAGGCTTTCCTCTGAATGTAACAAACACTGTATAGTTGACATCCTATGTAGCTTATAAGCTGTGCTGCTTGTATGAGATCTGCTATACTGTAGTTTATAACGTGTCAATATCCCTCGGCTGTTTGGTTTGCTCTGTAAGGCTTCAACTTGCAGAAAAGAAAAGCTTAGTTCAGATGTGTTTTGCATCAGTGAGTCGGTTGGCTTAGCTCACTCTGTTATCACAGGGCTCGTGGAGTTGTCTTTAAGCTTGTGTGAAATGGGGACAGAGTAAAAAAAAAACAACTCTCTTCTTGTTATCTTGGAGAAAATAATAAAATAACAGACTTCCATCCTCTCACTTTATTCTATTCTTGATTTATTGCATTGAGTAACCTTTTGCCTCCGTATCACCCGTATATAAACTGTTAATGATGAAGAAAAGAGAGTCATCTTCAGATATCTTATGATGTGCCACAACTTATTTATGATTGTCTGTTTAACTAAAGAAACTCTGAAAAGCTTTTCTTCTGTAAAAATCCACAGCAGTCACAAGGTTATCATTTAATTGAAGCATTTTCTGCTTCTGTTAGTCACTAAATCTGAAAAGGCTGACTCTATCAAAACTGACTAGGTCTTTGTCCTTTTTGAACTGCAGAATAATCATTTTACCTCTAATCTTTCCATGTTTTAATTCAGACTGTTTTGCTTATTGCTGACCAGCACAACTGCATTGCGTTCTCTTTTTAAAGCTGCAGTGAAAAACTGGTAGTTTGTGCTGACTTCAGAGCCCTCTTGTGGACAAAGTGATACCTCCTACTGTTTTGTGAGTTATTGTCATGGAGGAAAGTTGAAAAAATAAAAAATAAAAAAGGCTGTTTCTTCAACCTGCAGTGAATCATCTTGTAGAAACTACTCTTAAGCCAAAAACATACAGGATCCGTATTGAGCTGTTCCGTATTTGCTCCTTAGAGCAGCATTTGGTATCGCATACAGGATGCGTATTTGGAGCGTAGCAGCAGTGTAGTGCAGCCCCGGGTCAGCTGGGTTCAGTATAGAGGAAACAACATGCTCACAACAGATTACTTTGCCTTTCTGTGGTCTATTTCCTGCTGGTTATAACTCAGTGACCGTTGAGCCTCTACTATATGTGAAAAAGCAACATGATTTTATAGTTTTGGTTTTTGCAGGTTTACTCGTGTTTAATAAAGAAAATTATGTCCCTTTATTCTGTGCTGTTACTTTCAGACAGAGTTCGCAGTTCAAAGTCCTGTTGGGGTCCACATGGATCAGGGATTGACCATCAGATTGTTCTGTGTTACTAATAAATCCATAACCAGGAAGTAGTTCTCATCTACATGAACTGATACACAGCCGAGAGTTTGCATATGGTGTTTTATTTTGAAATACTGGATGAAATGCACAGTTTTCATGCTTGACTGGAAGCGTAGAGCAGCAAAAAAAGACTGCTTATCTTTAGCAGTGCTGCTCTCGATACGATGCTGCAACGGGGCTGATAGGCATCCTGTATGCTTTGCTGCATTGATTAGAATGGCAGCCTATTTGCTATGTGATACACGACTCTGCTGCCACGCTCCAAATATGCATCCTGTATGTTTTAGCCTTAACAGCAAGATAAGGCCCTTAAAATTTAGAACAATGATATTATTAGTTTTGTTGCTAATGGAAATAGTGCCTTTAAAAGCCCCCAACCAAAAAAGAAAAAAGTATGATTTGATTCTGAAAATCTCCCTTTCATTTATTTCCATCTCTTTTCAAGAGCTTAGTCAGAACATCTCCAGTTGTTACGGAGAGCATTTATCCTCTCCAAACTAATGGCGGATGAATGGCCTTACAAAGCTTTATTAACTGTGGGACTTAACTATGCTTAGCAAAGAAGATTTCTCATCCATAATTAAAGACATCAAACAACTCCTCGTCACACTGCTTTATTATTAGTGACCGTGTGTATG